GACCGCCCGGCCGCGGGCGCGCCCGCCTTCACTTCGGGCAGCCAGTTGCCGCCCGATCGAGCCGAAATCGCTGGGCCCCGCCCGCCCTCGCATTGATTCAAGCAGGAATAAAAAGGCCTTGGGCGTGCGCGTGGGGAATGCAAAGAGCGCGCGGGGTGATCGGAAAGGCGGGCCTTGCCAAGTGGCCGCGCGGCCGCTTCGAAAATGGCGCCCGGGGGCGGCGCGCGCCCAATCGGATGCCCAGCCAAAGGAGGAGAAAACATCAGGAAGAGATGACGCGGCGGGCCATGCAGAAAAGGGCAGGGGCGGCATGCCCGGGCGCCCGTCCTTCCGCGGCCTTTTGCAGCATCCACGCACAGAAGCAAAAAGCTTACCAAGCTGCGCGGATTCGTTTGCCTTTGTCCATTGTCCAACACTAGAAGGCCGGGGCCCCTTCCTTGGGGCGGGTGCGCGGCATAGAGACATGGGGCAGCTGGGCGCCCGCTTGCCTGCGTGCCAACGAACCAACCTAGGCCCGTGCGCGGCAAAGTACCGAGGTGCGGTGGCTACACGCTTTCCCCGCGGCCAGGGGGATGGGCCCCGGGGTATTTCCGCTATGCGAGGGCGGTTTCCCGGGCGGAGGCGGCGCGCGTCCGTGCGGGTTTGCTAGAGGTAAGCTTGGCGCCCCCCCGGCAAGGCGGGTGGGCCGGGCTCCCTTACCCTTTGTTGCTTGGGCTCAACTCATTAGGTGGCCAACATGGGTCGCCGATCGAAAGAAACAGGCCGGCGCCAGACAAACCACGGACCGACGCCCGGGCCTATCCGGCCCTGCCTGGGGGCCGGAAGGGGGGCGAAGAAGAGGGGCGCCACCGAAGCCCATCGCGAAAAAAAAGGACCGCGCGACGCTTTAAATCGCGGCGGCAAGGGGGGGATTGGGGCTTTCCTGTGCGCCACGGCGTCTGGGGGCGGGGGGCTGGCGGAGCAACTGAACTCCCTCGGGCCCCCCGCCGGCCCGCCCCAAGCACCTTCCTTCCTTCGGGCCCGGCCGCCCGGTTGATATCTGGCCCGCCCGCCGCTGGCCTCTGGCCCCCGCCCTTGGTTCGTTTGTTGCCACAGGAGGCCCCCCATACTCCCATCCTCCCCCGCCCGGCGGGCCGGTCCGTCCGTCGGTCGCCCACTAGGGAAGGCGGCTGGCCCCCGCTCCACGCCCTTCCGCCCGCTAGCTAGCTAGGGGGAACACAGGCGGCCCCCATCCCTAGGCCTTGCCGCAAAAGGCCACGAACACAGGGGGCCCCCCCGCCCCTCTCGAGGGCGAGGAGGGGGCCCCCGCCAATCCCCGTGGTAGCGCAGGGGGCCCCAGCTCTGCACCCTCTCAGCCGCGCCAAAGAACACCGGGGGCCCCCGCCCCCCGCCCCAACTTCCTCCCGCCGGCCCATCTCCTCCACCCGCCGGGGGGCCCCGCCCCGTTCGGTCGGTCGCTCGCTTGGGAAGGCAGGGAGCCTTTTCTTCGCACCCGCCCTCCCGCTAGAGGGAAAACAGGGGGCCACCACCACCCGCCCTTGCGGGCGCGGGCCACGAACGCAGGGGGCCCCCGCCCCTCTCCGTGGTTAAGCAGGGGGCCCGCCCCACCCAACCCTGCGGTAACACTGGGGTCCCCCGCTTCGCACCCTCCCGCCCGCTAGGCGGAACGCAGGGGGGCCCGCCCCCCAACCTTCCCCCGCCCCGCTCCCTAGCTAGGGGCTTTTGTGGTGGGGCGGTCTTGTTACACCAGGAGGAGTTAGCTATGTGATGCGAGTTCCTAGTGTTAAGTTCGTTACACGGAGGCCAGGGCTAGTATATAAAGAAGGACTACTAGCACGGCGTGCGGGAAACGGACATCTTCATCGTCGCATACATCACCATCCACCATGCTAGATGATCTAGAACAGGGTGGAAAAGAAGGGAATAACAAGAACCAGACAGGATGTTGTTGATTAGATTTGTCAACGGCAAGTATAGAACTTCACCCAAAAGAGTTCTTTGTTCCTCGTGAAATAGAGGAACTTATCTTCTGCTCCTCCCAAATGTAGATTCTTCTACGTTAGGGAGCAATCCGTTTCAAGTTCGGCATTTGCTCCAGGAAGAGTTCTTGGACTTCTTCGTCGTACTTCTGGCCCACACTGAAGTTTTGCAGTTCCTCCTTCATCGTGGGGACCATGTTCTCGTATTCCTTTTTGAACAAAAAGTTCTGGTACACCTGTGGTATTCGTAAGTTGAAATGAAATATAAGTAATCCGGTCGTGCACGTGCAGCCAGTTATGATGTAATTGTAACTAAGTAAGTAAATGATCTAAATCTTCTATGTCTATCGACGGTCGTTCATCATCACATCTCGTAAGAACATTGCGCCCATCCTGCCGAACAATACTCTCGTATCCTTGTGCCACCTAATACATCAAACGGGTAGCACGCTTGGCATAGAGCAGAAAAGACGAAACACATCAAGCTAAAGCCATGAGATACAGTGCGCCACCGTTTTTGTACCGGTGCCTGCTGATTTTTTATTCAATTTCAAAGAGAAAAAAAGTAAACTTGTTCTATACCCAGTGCACGTATTCCATGTGCGTTTTGGAGTTCGCGTCGAATCCGAGGATCACGGCTGGGGCCCCCTCTGCGGCCAACTTCTCACCAAACACCCGCACCTGGGCCCGCTGCAACGTACCGGCTCCGCGAAAATGCATCTCCGACCCGTTGGCCGTCGGCGAAAGGATCTCCACTTCCGGACGCACACCGCCGTGCCGCGGGGTTGTATGGTACCGTTTCCACGGGGAGGACTCCTGAGACTGACTACCATGCCCGGACGACGAGGACGATGATTTTTTGCTAGCCACTTCTTCCTCCTCGTCATGTTCCTCAGTAGCACTACTAGCACCCCCTGCTCTACTATGGGAGTGTCAGGATTGACAACGGCAAAGTTGAAATGATTTGTAATGCTAAACCGACCAAAACCACTACACAGCAGAAAACGGACGCCAGTAGGTGCCTAGTTTTCAAGTGGCGCATGACAAATTTGGCCAGAGCCGAAATCCAGTTTGTCATGCTGTTTGAGTAAGGAAGAGAGACGCCTTGTGTCGTGCTACTCTAGCAACTCTATTTCTACTGCTCCTCAACAGGAGGCTTACAATCTGCCTGCCTTGCCTATTCTGCAAGACAGGCATTTTGCGGGTTGCATTTTAAGTACGCGTCACAAACTGAAACTCTTTCAACTTTTACGATTTCAATCCTGACGCTTCCATATGCAGCTCCGTGGTGTCCTTCCGCCCACAAGTGCTTTCGGTGGTACGCTCCACTCAACGTTTCTTTGAATGTGTCTTCGTCGTCCATTTTCCCCCCCGACAGGTGGCTCGCACCCTCCGTCAAAAGCCGGATTATGCATTGCAAATATGTCTGGGTCTGGAAGAATGCCAGACTTGTCATGCAGGTTTTCCATGACCCATGAGGTCTGGTATGTAGGACAGAGCATGACAGACTCTGTGAGAGTTCTACCATGCCTATCTTGCATGAGAAACTGCCTCTCGATTAGGTCAAAAGTGGACAGCTTTTGCTAATCATGCAGCACAGATTTTATACAGGATTCAGAATCTGATTTAGCATGACAAGTTGCTTTGATCCAGACCCAGACATTTTTGCATTTCATAACATGCGTGCCATCAACCCGGAATTGAACGAGTCGGACTTCGACTTTTCGTTTTATTACGCCGGAACTACTAGTATTAGCGGCGACGTGGGGAAGGGGAAGGAGCTGCAGCAGCAGCTGACGACATCTACTTCACAGAAATTCCCGTACGTAAAGAAACTGCTGGCGGAAACCAAGAGCGGCAAGGAGGAGGGATATGACAATGCACGACTCCCCCTCCCTCTCATTTGTATTTGTATTATAGCATGAACGGCAATACAAGCATCAGCAAGAATGCCGGTTTTGCATGACAAAGCTACACGACTGGAGTCTAGTGCTATTTGGGCTACGAGAACTTGTCATGGAAACAGTGCCAAGTAGAGGCACCGCCTGGATTTGGTATTTTGTGTGAAGACAAATGAAGGGGACGAGGGGAGGGGAGTTGTGCACGCTGATAAGGGAGTGCTGAAAGCCATGATGCATGCGGACGACAAGGCGGTCTTGGGGTTGCCCTTCCCGTACATCCTCCGTCCCTGGTTGGCCAGCGACCACTTGCCACTGGAATTGACGGCCACTATTAGAGTCGACATGAAACAGAACAAAGACCTGCTGGAGAGATTCGTTGCAAAGATGCAGCAGGAGCTTGATGTTGATGCTCCAGGACCGACCGAGTTGTCCGTGCCCGAGGTATTAACTGCCGGCATGGCCGGCCTCGCGGTTTCGACAGCTGCTTCTGCGCCAGAAATCAGACGTCGCTGGTTCAAAAATGCCGTCAACTTCTTGAAGCAAAACTACATCAACATCAAGAAAAAGACTTTGCAGTGGAATACGCTCGGGTTTGGCGTTGCGCCGATGGTCAACATGCCCAAGGTAACAGTAGCCACCGGGGAAAAGGTAGAGCACTGGAACATCGAAACCGACACAAGGGAAGTTGTGGACGAAGAAAAAACCTACAATGTGCAGCCCGTATTTGCCGCGGCCGTGTTGCAGAAAAAGCTGCGTGAGATGGACGATTTTTTGGAACAGAATCCCATGTCGATTGTCTCGGTGATGTTTCAGGAAGACTTGTACACGGGCGAGCCGAACGAAAACTATGGCACAGAAGGCGACGCCGACGAAAACACACTCAGCTGCCACAAGAACGTGGAACTGCTGGAGGGGTACTGGACCCGAATGCTCAGGACGCATGGCTACGAACTAGCGTCGATCCCACAAAAATCGTACCACCAGGGACTGCCGCCCTTTATGCGCAACAAACTAGTTGACCACGAGCCAGCCGCGCAGAAGTCGGAGAAAGAGGTGTTCACGACGGATCCACTGTTCCACTCCGAGCTTCCCGAGGGGCGAAAATTATTGATGGGCAACACGGTCTACGTCAAATTCGGCGCGATGCTGCGGGAATTTTGCGAGGGAGATTTAGTCGCGGAAGCGCACGGTTGGAACGGCGCGATGGAGCACTACCCGCCCGGACTCCCGCGCCGGTCGGCCGCTTATTATGTGGCAAAATGCCAGAAGGTCATCCGTATCAAATGCAAAAATGTCTGGGTCTGGAAGATTTTGAGGTTTGCGTTTGTCATTGTCATGCTTGTCTTGCATGACCAAAAAGTTTGTGATGCGTGTCCAAGAAGAGACCCTTTTGCCTGTCATGCAAAAACGCAGTTTGTGATGCGAAAAACGCAACACAAAGAAGCGCAGATATTTCTCATGCTTGCCTTTGCGTTACAGAGCATTCACTATTCCCAGCGCAGCATTACAAGTTTCCAGACCCAGACATTTTTGCAGTTGATACATGTGCACATCCTGCAACGATTCGTTCTCTGCCACATACATCGTGTCACAGGTCGCGCCAAACGCAATGCCGCGGACATCGGTTTCAAAGTCGAAACCACGACCAGTCGCAGCTTGTTGGGCTCCTCCACGAATGGTGGGAGTTGTAGAACGACCTGAGCGGCTAGGACTGCGTCTAGAACTACCCGGGCGCGTGCGATCAACAGAGCGAGACGGGCTCCTGCTAGAAGTACTACCTCTGGCATAGCTGCGTCCCCGCGACGGCGGATTAAAGCCCGTGGAACTCCCTCGTGTGGCCGCGGTGGTCAAGGGGTTCCTGATGACTGCTCCTGATGCAGGAGATGCTTGCTCCTGCTCTCCTCCTCGTTCCTGCTTCTCCAGCTGATGCATGTACCAGTCCGTAGTTGTCAGCAACTTCAGAAAACTAGCCGGGTATTTCGGCTGATTCGTCCGCTCATCCAGAAATTCCACTCGCCGCGAGGGCGTCCAGATGTCTGTCATCATCGCGAACGCGGTGGAAGTAGGTGCCCACAGACGCCTCGCCTCGAGTTTCCGATTCTCATGCTCGGGGCCTTTATACGTTGGCAGTGTCTTCGGCGTGGCTGCAATGTCTTTGGGGTATCCGACGCAAATATTAATGAATGCGTCGCGCAAGTCGACCTCGACGAGCTCGCGCTTCTACCTTCTAATGCCACAGAGCATTACAGCCGCATTGTTGCTGTTGACAAACTTTCTCAACATATCGATATCCTGATGCAGCACAATAATGATCAATGCACAAAATTCAAATCCCAAACTCGCTTATTTGTGACTTGCTCAACAAAGTGTAGTGATGTACATGTACTCTACTGCTGCCATTGTTTGTGCCGATTTCGCAATAGTACATACTAGCGCGACACATACTATTTCTGCAAAAATGCGTATTGGAACGACGTTCACCAGGGCGCCAGAAAATTTCAAATCGCCGATCTCATTCCTCCCAACGATCTCTTCGGCAATGTGAAACCGCAGTTTTTCAGAGGGTTTAGCACTGGTATACTCCGCGTTCTTCCTGTAGTAATTCGCATTCGCGGGATCAAAAAAGCTCTTCGCCCGCTTGACGGCGTCTTTTGTGGTCGCCAGAACCAGCGTGTGAACGCGGCGCATCAGGGAATCCTGGCCCTCCGGGGTCAAGCTCTCAAAATCTTTCTTAGCAAAGACGGTCGTGTGCCCGCGCTGCGCACGAGGACGGCGCTGTCCAGTCCCCCTTGCGGCCAGAAGGTGTCCCGTCTGGTGACCACCACGCGCCGCCGGGATCGGCAGGAGCACTGGTTGTTCTGCTTTAGGTTTCCACGTCCATTTCGCTTCGTTTTTCCCTTTCCCGTTGTTTTTCCCACCTTTTCCCTTCCCTTTCCCCTTCCGTCCAAACGCAGGAGCTGCACCGCCGCGGCCCGGACGAGATTCCATGGCAAGGCGTCCGGCTACACCAGTGGGCATGACGACTGCGATTTGCGCTAGCTGCTGCAAAGCCAGCACTGCACCGATCTTCGAGAGCCAAGAGCGACGCGAAGCCATCTTGAAGATCTTGTAGTTGATTTATTTGTTTGAAAAATGCAGCAGTTTTATATAGGCTGTCAAAATTTGACTTTACGAAATTTCCTTGTTCTTGAGTCTGTTTCGGTTATTTCTGTTGTCGCACAGAAGCGGCCGAAGCTACATCAAAATGAAAATTTGTACTTGCGTAAGGATGCTTGTCGCGACAATAATAATGATTTGATGGTTTTGAGAAGATGAAACCGATTTTACAGGTGGCAAAAAGTTGTAGAAGAACAAAACCAGCCGACGTTCGACTAGAGTGAAGTTGACTGATGTTTTATCATTATTTTTTGCGAGTTTTATTCATCATGACAAGAAGTTCCATCACGGGAAAAAGATTTGAACCGAGCGTGTTTATTTATGGACGTCCAAGGAATCAAGTTGGTCAAATGGTTGGAATCAGGTTGGTCACTGGAAGCAAGTTAAATGGAATCAAGTTGGATCCTGGAATCAAGTTGACTGGAATCAAGTTGGGTCCTGGGATCCCGTTGCGTGGAATCAAGTTGATCCCGGGAATCCCGTTACGTGAAATCGCCTTGCGTGTCCGGTTTCCCGTTTCCGCCAGAAGCACTGCGCGGGTCCCGTTATCTCCACTGCCAAACGTTATTCACCATGCACGCGCGTGGTGAAAGCTCTCATAGATGCATGCACGGCGCGGAAAGCTCTCATAGATCCCCCCGGGGCGGCACGCATCTGCTCCCCCGAAGCGAAAAAAATTGTAAGTGCTTAGCCCTGCCGGTACCAGCGAGCGGAATTCAATTCCTGGCTTCACGGAAGACAAAAGCCCGGGTGCCCCAGAAGGGAAAGTTCCACGCTTCGGGCCCACCCGCCTACCTTCACCGAAGGCTGGCCCGCCTTCCGACGGGCCATACATGTTCCGGGCCCCCGGGCCCGGCGTGGATGTTGCCGGACATCGGGAAGACAAGACGGAACTCCCAGAGAGGAGATCCGTGCCAATCGATCCCCAAAGATACATTCCGAAAGAGGCGAAATAGAATCCCCGGAGAGACCTGCCGAAGGACAAGGAAGGCGAAATGGAGGCCCCCGAGACACCTTCCGCAGGAGGGCGAAATGGAGTCCCCTGGGACCGCAGGAAGGCGAAACGGAATCCCCCGAGACTGACAGACACCATCCGCATCCCCAGGGAGGCGAAGTGGAAACAGAATCCCGAAAGCGATGTGTCTCCCGAGAGGAGGCGAAACGAGCATGGAACTCCGAGAGGGGCGGATGAATCTTCCGAGGGAAGGCGAAATGAAGACGGAATCCCCAGAGACACACACCTTCCGAAGGCAGGAGACACAAATGGAATCCCGGGAACTTCGGAAGGCGAAAGCCCCGACAACTTTCGAAAGGATGCCGTAAAACAAGACGGGCGCGGCGCGACGCTTAGCTCTTACACTATTCGCCACGTCTCTATCGACCAGAGGAAGAAAAGCCAGACATGTTTTTGATAAACGTGGCCGCGTTGATGAAGTTCTGCTGGTTCACTTGATTCCATTCACCTTGATTCCAGAGAGTAACTTGATTCCATATAACCTGATTCCAGGTTTAACTTGATTCCAGTTAACTTGATTCCATGACCTTAACTTGATTCCATTCCTTATTACCATTACGTCATCTGAAGAACATTTCCATCCTTCAAGGCAGAAAAAAGAGAACCGAGCGTCTCGTGCATGTATTGTTGTGGCATGTGGAAAAATGATCCTGCTAAATTTCAGATCTGTATTTAGTTACTCTGTCGTGCTCTGTAGCGTAGTTGATGACCCGGATCGTATTCAGACTGTGACCAGGACGCGCAAGATGAAGTAGGAACCACACAAGCTCCAGTGCGTCGCCTGGTCCTCGTATTGCTAGATTGCTTTTCTTGAAGAGCATGAGCAAGAGTCGATCATGGACCTGGGGCATAATCTTTTTTCATGCCGATCAGAGGATGTCTTCTTGATCCCTTTGGACAATTCATTTGACACCACACTACAACCGATATTGAATCGTTCTTCCCATCTGGTTCGAGGTTCCTTCTATGGACAGCTGACGCAGACGTCGTCCGCGCGGATTGCCATTCAATATTTGAGGTAGTTTGATTTCTTGTTCTTTCCCTTTTTCTTGTTTCGATACATGATTCGTCAGGTTCATCAACCTAGAGTTCATTTCGAGCAGTAACAACGGACACGGAGAGATTGAGATCATACGTTTGAACGAATAATGAAAGATCTTTCAACTTGAACTTTCTCTGTTTCTCGTAAAGAAGTGCTCATAGAGGATGCTCAGATGAAGCTCATAGTTGTAAAGTGAGGCACTGCCGCACGCGTGCCACACAATTGGAGCGATGGCCCTTCCTCACCTTGAAGGTGTACTTCTAGTTCATTTGGTGGGTATGAAGTAACTTTTCAATAGAAACTGAAACAAAAGTGAAAACTGTAGAGTAGTTACTTTACATGTACAACATTACAGAAAGGAAAGCCGCGAAGAACCGGAGCCCAGCTTCTGGTGTACTTTTTACGTGTTTGCCCCCGCTGCGCCGTTGGTCCTGGCCTGTCGTGCGGGTCTGCTTCATCAGGTCCTGGTGGGGTTTGGGTTTCATCTTCTCCCCCACTTTCGCGATTTTTCCTAAAACACCAGATCCTTCGCAACCAGTGTGGTCAATTTGATTTCTTCCGACCACTCGGTTTCCCAGCGCTTCGTCCTGCCCCGGACCCGCGCGAAATGGACGCGGCTCGGCCTCAAGTCCGTTAGCACGAAGCTGCGGTCCGTCCCCTTTATCTCCTCGGTTTCGAACACCAGTTGCTTACGTAAACGCGGATCCTTGGCGAGCAGGGAGAAGGGATTTGTTGACATCTCGCCTTTTTTGCTGTTGCCGGTCTGCGGAGACCTGATATTAGTCGTGCCTCGATGATTTATTCCGGATGTAGAAGATGACGTTGAAGCGCTATTACTTGAACCCGTTCTCGTTTTGTTCGTTTTGGCAGACGGCGAGGCGGCAGAGCGCCTTTTTGTCGAGGAGATTCCGAATTCCCAGTCGACAAAGCCGGGCTTTGGGGGAACGGCGCTCGGCTCGGGTTCGTCTAGTTGAGGGTCGGTCTCGCTAAAATCGTAGGCGTAGACCTGGAATAAACATGTTATGGATCCTGAACTGAAATCGCGGTCGCTTTGTGGAGCGTCCGCGGTACTCAGTTGCAAAAAGGAAAAGTGAAGTCGTCTACGAAACCTCAGCTCCTGGTGCATGAGCACGAAGCAAAAGCATGAATGCCCAAGGACGCCACACCGTAAATTGCTGTGAAAAATCAGACATACCTCCATGACGAACCGTTCCACGTGTGGGTCGACTTCCGGCGTGCCCACGATGTGAAACTTCACCTCCGCCGAGGTCGACGTCACGCGGCCTACGCGCAACAGCGGCGCCGCGCACCGCTCGGCGCCGTAGTAAAGCGGGACGCCGTCGCGAGCGCCCTTCCAGATGCGCCGCACCTTGGTCAGCGAGTCCCCGAGAGTGAGGTCCTTGGGAACCGCGCCGTCTTCGAATTCCTTGTTCACCGCTTTGCGAATACCTGGACGAGAGAAGACGAAGTGTTTCTTGTTTCAGGCGAATGTTGAAAAATGAGAAACTCCCGTTAGTTTATTTGTTAACGAAACTCAATGGAGTTTTATGCTACGATCAAGAAACCGCATGTATTTAGTCCTCTACCTCTTGTCAGTTCTGCGAACGCCTCCTCGTTCCATTCAACTGTCTCCTCGAAATGGTGCGGATCCGTGCTATCGGGTACAATTTCTACAAAATCCAACTCGTGCGTGTCATCCTCTTTGACGTTGACCTTGGCCACACACGAAAACGACTCCAGCTCGTCGCAGTTCACCAACCGGTAGAGCATCTTGTTTTGTTTTCGATCCGATGAAGCTAGATTTTTCGGCTGCACTAAGATTTTCGTTTTTCTAGTTCTACCGGACTGGCTCGTCGTCCTTGTCTCGGTCCGAAAACGGACACATGTAAGCGAAAAAGTGCTAGATGATGTTTTTAATCTTTTTCTGAGGATCTTCATCACAACGAGATGGTTGGAATGTCGCAACACCGCCGCGCCGGAGTTGGTACGACGCTCTTGGTCTTGTCAACCTTTCGCGATAATTATGATATATACCTTCACTCCACTACCTGCACCTCTATCACCATCTTCATCACGATCCCCTCGCATAGCTTTCACTTTTCAAGTTGATGCAAATGACTACTCACTTCACACCTGAATCTCACTCGCAGATAAAATTCTAGATGAATTACGAATCGAAGGACGATTATTGAACATCGCTCGCAGGCAGGATCAGGCTAATGTCATGTTATACGCTTTTTCTTGCGTTCTGCTTCTCGTCTACTTCAGGTACTCAACGTGAGGAACAAGAAGTTGAAGTTCCGAAACTAAATGCTGCATAAAATCGGTTCGTGACTCACGTATGTGCATGTGCGAGGACGACTGGACGCTCACTACATGATGGTCCTGCGGCTGGGAAGATTCTGCTACGACGTAGACGGCCGCGCAGTTAAAGTTATATGAAACTCGACTGTAGTAGGTGATGAACCGTTTGATCACTAAAAGGTTGATACATAATGCTCGTACGTTACAACTGCAGATACATGCGGAAACTTGAAGATTATACTTGGCTCAACAATTTGATTTATGATTATGTCAACAAATCGAGCTATCTTACATACGCATATGGATGTGAAATCACTAAGTTCAATAGTTGTTCGGGTGTAGTGGCAACTGCTGCAATTGCGTGAATGCATGTAGTAGCCATAGCAATCTCATTACGGCACGACGACTTTGATGCCCCAGGTCGGGCAAGTCAGAAGTGGATCGCCTGCATAAGTATGGCATTCCTTCATCTTTTTACACGCCTGTTCGCAAAACAGCGCTCTCGATTAGAGCACACGAGGCACCACCGTCGGCGACGCCACTGGTGCCACCTGCTCGGTTCCGCCTATCAACCTGCTTTGCGCTAGCACTTCCGCCTGCACCTGCTCGTCCCGTAGATGAACTACTATTCGTGGTCGTCCCGGAGTCCTCACCCGCGGCCCCCAATACGGCTGTACAGCTCTCGGCTATTTTCAGATCAACCGCGCGGGGCGCTGGTCGTCTTGCGCTGCGGGAACTTCCGCCGCGCGAGCCCGGCGGGGTTACGGTCCAGACGCTGCTAGGGGCTCTACTTCCTGACGGACGAGGAGCAGAACATGAACTACTAGGAGGCACAGGTGCACCAGCGTTGCAGGAAGGAGGAAATTCCTGGGCTTGATTCAGTTGCGTCATTCCCGAAGTAGAAGACGTAGTGGCTTTGCAGTTGGTGATGTATGAGGTTGAAGATGTTGCCGTCGTTCTCGTTGCGGCTTTCTTGGTTAAGGACATTACACGCAGGGAGAGATCGTTGGCGCCTCGCGGGTCGATCCGTCCGGCCTTCGTGGTCTTCTTGGGGGCTGCAGAACCATCAGGAGGAGCACCATAATTTTTACACCGTTCACATTCGCCTCCGCCTCCGCCTCGATCTCGGTAATTGCCATACGTGTTTGGCCCCTTCTTCTCGTCTTGCTGCAGGTCGTTTGTGTCATCTTCGTGGAGGCCTCTCGTCCCTGCTCCCGCACTACCTCCTCGACTAGCGCTCGCAGAGGGGCCAGAGCTACCAGAACCAGACTGAAATATCGGATGTTGAACAGAAGCGACGCTTGTTTTGTCATTGTGAGCGCTGTGTTGAAAATTTTGGGCGAGAAATTCGCGAAAATCCGGCACATTCTCGCCGGGACCCTCGTCTCGCCTCCTGCGTCGCGAGTGTCATATATGAGAGGGCCCAACCCCCCCTCCCCCTCACTCGTGTTGCATGAACAGCAACACAAACACCAGCACACGTGGAGCCTGTGCGTGACAAATTCATACGCGTAGCGTAGTACTGTTTGGGCTTCCGGAATCTGTCATGCAAACAGTGCCACAGGAAAGCACTTGGGTTTGGAGTTTTGCATGCTAAATCTTTAGGGGGCGGGGGAGTTGTGCCCTGTCATATCGTAGTCCGCGAGAGTGTGGACGATGCGACGGCGTCCAGTGCTTGGAGTTGGAGGAGGAGTCTTTTTTGCTTGCTTCTGCTTGTTTTGAAGAAACGCCCGCTGCTGGAGCTGCGTCTTCAGTGCTGGTAGTTGCAAGAACGGGAGCAGATTTGTCGTCTTCCTTATTCGTACACCTCGTCATTTTCGATGCACTAGTACTGGTGTACGAATGATTTTTAGTATTGCCTGCACTATTACTAGCACTGCCCGGCTGCAGCTTGGAAGACTTTGATTGCTTGAGACTCTCTTTCTCCGTGAATGGGAGCACGTAGGAGGCACAGGGCAGCGCTGCTTTTTTACTAGCGCCGGCCTGTTGATTCTTCTTACAGCCAGGGGCGTTGAAAACCACCGCGCCGCTTGCTGCGCGCGTGGACGGAGCAAACAGCGGCGAGTTGTCGGAGGGATGCGCTGTCGTTAAAAGCGTCGCGGGGGGTGCAGCGGGAGGGCGGTCGCTCTTGTTCGGGCTGTGATGTGTGTAGTTATCAGGATGAGGACCGTGCCATCCATCCTCAGGGGCCCTCTTGCCGGGTGGTCGTGCCGGCACTGATTTGTTCGGTTTTGCAGATTTGAATGCGATTTCGTCCGTGTTCAGAGCGAAATCTCCGCCGTCTTGCAGGCGCCCGGCCTCAGTTGCAGTTGAAGAACTTGAACTACAGACTGGATGAGGCAGCGGAGCATTTTCTGTGGTGCCCCCCGATGTGAGAGCACCAGAGGTTCCTTCCTGTGCAGCGCCATCCGTAGTTCTTTCTCCGTCTGCGCTGTAAGTTGATCTGGGCGGCTGGTCCGCTTCTTGCAATTCCTCGCTATTCTGCTCGTCGTGCAAACGCAGATCGTGGATATCAAGTCCGGCCTCCGCTTGACCTTCGCCTATGACATCTTTCGCGGCAGCTGACCTGTGTTGCCCGTGAGCAGGTTGCATGTTGTCTTTCGGTAGTTTGTCCTGCCGATTTTTCCCCGAAATTTTTGATTGCTCGTTCTATCTAGTACATACAACTACGGCGCATCGGTGACATCAATAAAAACCTGGCCCTATTTCTGCGTGATGACTTTGCATTCTAATACCTTCGACTGAGACGCCCGCCTTCTACTCGAAGCCGCCTCCGCCTTCCCAAAAGCGATCCGGGAGTGGTTGGTCGCGACGAGCTGCTTGGTGCCGTCCTGCCGACGTTATTTGAAGCTGCACCGGCTTTATTGCCTTTCAGGGACGAGTCAAGAACAGCGTCTGTTGCCTTGAGAGGTGTACCAGCTTTATTTCCGTCGGAACAAGAACGCCGGTGGTTTTGGTTATCGGTGTTTTCGCTCCTCTTTGCAAGGCCTCTACCGACGTGTCCTCTCGCCGGTGGTCGCATCCAAGAGCTCCTCGAAGGGGAAGTAGATTTCATGAGGGCATTAAGCATAATCCGCATGTTGCTAGATAGCTCGTCGTTACCTTCTCTGTGAGCATCATCTTCTCTTTCTCGTCCGGTCACCAAGTCTACTTCTGCAACCGTGGTCACAACAGCAGAAGCAGCCTCTTCGTCTGCGCCAAGAGGTGCGTGTTCCACACTCCTCGCAGTAGCTGCAGCGCGAACATCTTTGACCCTGCTGTCCACCTTCTCCTTGTTCATCGCAAGTTGTGACTTATTTCTCATCCTAGCCACGTGCAAACTCGACGGCTTGACACTGGCAAAAAGCTGCGGCCCGGCGTTTCCCACGTAGACCACGACGCCATTCACGACGGTCGCGCAATGCGGTGGGTGGTGTTGTGATGTATCGGTAGGAGCAGTCGTGTAGTTGTCGCCGGGCGTCGTGGGCGGATAGCCTGTGTGGGCTATTTGTCTTTGCTGGGCGTGGAAAAGTTGTTGCTGATCGTGTTGATAGCATTGCCTCCAGCTTTGTAGCTGTTCATCTTCACCACGGAACTGCTGCTGTACACCGCTGTCATCAGGACTCTGACCACCCAAATTTCGCTCCATGAAAATTTGAATTTCAGACGCCGAATTTGAGTAAAAATTATCCTCACAGGAGCCGCGCAACAGATCCGACTGCACATGCACCAAATGTTGCTCTGCTTCCCAATGTTGTATCATATTCGCCCCCGACGCGGAGGCACTAGTTGCTCCCAGTACTGTTGTAGGCCAGACGTAGTTTTGAAGAGTATTTTCAAAGGCCTTGTCCTGGCCTACGACGCCTTTGCCCAACATGCTGTCGTAGAGCGAGCGCTCGTTGAGCTGCCCGGTGGTGAGGTTTGGTTTTGAAGAAGTGGACTTTTGATTCTGTACTACTAGACCTTCCTGTTCGTCAGACAGATCTACTTCAGGAACAGCTTGAACTTGCTGGACGTCTGCCGCGGGCTCGTCGTGTCGTAGTCCCGCGCAAGTTCTAATACTACTTGGAGCAGCGTCTTTTTCATCTCGCGAAAGAACCTCTGCGGCCTCTTCACCAGCTGCTCTGAGCTTTTCTCCAATACCTGCAGGTCTCTCTTCAGCGACCTTCGCCTGCTCCTTCCCCGGAGATGCAGCTACGGCTGGCGGGCACAACGAGCTGCTAGTTGGTCCACGACCACGACCTACACGACTACTTCTTTCCTGTGCCATTCGCCTTTGCAGGCCTCGTAGAGTTATTTTCCCGTCTGCATCCAGCGGAGTTCGGTCGACGGTCTTCTGCTGGCCGCGGCTTGCTGTACCAACCGTCGCCGCCGAGGGCGTTGCCGGCCGTGCAGCTGCCCCTGGTGTTCGTTCACCATTTGTTGAAAACGGTCCCGTCGCAACTTGCGCAATTTTCGTCGCGTGCAGCGCGGTGCCGTACAGGGCGATCGTTGGACTGGTGGAGGGGCGGGCTTGGATTTCTCTTTTTTCCCGGATCCTTTCCGCGTGCTGCTTCTGCTCGCTTGTGAGAGCATTGTTGAAGTCTATGTCACGGCGATTTTTACCAAGTTCGTTCGGCGATTGACTCCGTTTATTGTGGGAAGACTTGTGGTCCCTGCGTCCGGTAACAGGTGATGACTGCGCTCTCGGTTCTTGTTCTGCACAATTGCTAGCAGCACCCCAACAAGAACGCGCTCGGCTGTCGAGTGTCGCTATCTGCGGCCGGTGCAGCTCATGTTGTAGTTCCGGTTCTTTGTCTTTCGCTGGTCGGGCGGAGCTGTAGTTCATGGCAGACGTGGGAAGGGGTGGTTGATCCGGGAGCACCCCGCAAAACCAGGACGGCGTTGTGGAAGACATGTTTTTGTTTGTCTTGTTCACCTGCTCACCTCGCCTCGGTGAATCAGCGTGGTCTCCAACACCTGCAGGACTAGTTGCAGGTCGAGTAGCGACGAGGATCTCTGCAGCCGGCCGCGTATTTGGGTCTTGCCCTTGTTCCGACCGATTGTTCGGGTCCGCATCTTCTACAGTGCTCTCGCCTTCAAGAAGATTTTTGACATGATCTCCATCTCGTCGAGCCGAAAAAGGCACGGCCCTGGGGGCGGCTCCGCGAATGACTCGACCTGGCGTTCGGCCGCGATAAGTATGCTGGTCTGCGTCTGTTACGCCTCCCGGAGCCGTGGAAGCACGCGGCGGACTCGGGTCTCTTGTTGCCAGGGCTGTTGTGCCGATAATAGCATTTGAAGATTCGTCGGCGGCTCTATTCGAAGAAGATGCAGGTCGCGGCTTCTGGTTCTGCTGCAATTCGAGTAGACGAAAGCGACTTCCTTCAGACGTGGCAAACATCTCAGCTGCGCCAGCAGTCGCCGGTCTTGCAGCGCCAGTAGTAATGGCTGCAGGATTTTTGATGTGCTCCTTGCTTCCAGTCTTGCTTCGGGAAGACGACGCTGTGATCTTCTCCTTACTCCCCGTCTTGCTCCCAAGCCCGTCACTAGCCCAATCTGCGGCACCCCCTCTCGGCCCTGCGGAACTGCTGCGTTTGGTCGGGGCGATGAGCTGTGACACTATCGCTGGGGGTGTGAACGCATCCTTCCGGCGAACCTCTTCAATTTGCCCATTCAATTCAGCAGCGGAAACCACGACGGACGCGAGCGGCTGGTGGAGTGGCAAGTCAGCGTGAAATGGATCACCACTCTTGCCCAACATCATGGTCGAAGTTCCACCAGTTGCAGTTGCTGGCGGGAGAACGCCACCACTCACACCAGGCGGTAGTTGTCGCAAATTATTGTTTCCACCTCTTCTAGCGCCTGCCTCCGTCTGCTTCTCCACAACCGGAGCAGCCTGTTTCGCGACATAGCGCTCGTAGTAGTTGTTTCCCTCAAGCATCGAGTCCTTGGAAAGTGTGCGCGGCAGGAGCGAATCTTGTTGCTCATCCGCAAGTAGGAGACCTTGCTCCGGGCTTGAAAGCTCTACTAGATTGTCGTCTCCTCCGCCGCCGAACAGAGACGATCGTTTGCCCATTTTCATCATAGCCCGACTGCTATTTCCATCTCGCAACGTCGATCCGCGCCTGGTGTTCGGCGACGCCGGCACCTGTCTGCCCCCGCCAAAACGTGCGGCCTTCGCCCTCTTCTGCTCACTTGCAGAAGAACTGCCGCCTTTTGTCAAAGCGCCCAAAACCGCTTCCACGTCAAAAGACCCAGGCCCGATTGCGCCACTAAGGCCAGATCCTCCGATGCTATTCCGCCTCCCTGCGCCGAGGGACTCGGACGCACCGCCATTGATGGAACTCCGGCGGGAGGCTGCGGACACGCTGCCCAGCGAACTTCTTCGCCGGCTGCGGGGAAATTTCCCGAGCTGCAAAGAACCCGCACCACCGGTGTTGCCAGCCTGGTTTGATGTTGCAGGAGTTCCAGAAGTGTTCGTTGGTTCAAAAGGTCCGCCTGCTGCGCAAGCACCAGTTGCTCCTTCTGTCCGGAAACGATCAAATCCCGGACCCACCACGAGCATTGGATCTGGTGCGTTGCTTCTACCTGTACTAGATTCAGCTGCAGCGGTGCCTGGTTTTAGAATGCTGGTCGGTGGTTGATGCCCAACTGCTTGCTGGCCAGGACCACCTCCTGCTCGGTGAAGTGCGCTTGGCATAACGTGTTGCATTTGCATGCCCTGCTGCATCATTGGGTTAGTAGTACTCCCACCACCGTACATCATTTGCATTTGCATCTGCTGCGGATGGGAAAAAGCAGAGGCCATTTGGGGGAGGTGCTGGGCGAACATGCTAGCGCCCGCAGCCATCATCATTTGCTGCTGTTGCCACATCATCATCTGTTGCTGCTGCTGTTGCCACATCATCATCTGCTGCTGCTGCTGGTGCAACGGGTTCATATTCTGGTGGTGGTGCGCTCCGACTGGTGGCGAAAAATGTTGGTGAAAATGCTGTTGAGCAGGTGCGGAACAAGGCTGCGTTCCACCCGCGGCACCAGCGTGTGAAGCAGGTTGATGAGACGGAGAACCCGTAGTACCGCCTGCGGTACTACCGGCGCTTCGTGCGATGTCATGATCATTTTGCCGACGAGCACCTCCTAAAGCCGACGCTGTCAGACCGTCTCGATTGGAGTGCCCTGCTGTCGTCGTGTTGCCTGCTCTCCCCGGATCGCGGTCAGGCGAGGGAGAAGATGCTTCGCTACTTGCGGCACCAAATTGCGGTAGCGTGAAAGCGCCGTCGCGTGTGGAGGCAATGATTGGGACCTGAGGAAGAGTCGTGGTTTACGTAGAACAAGTTAGCAAGTTATCATTGCATCTTAGTTATGGCTCATGCATTGTGATAAAATTCTCCTCGTTGTCCGGCAACCGCCACAGCGAAGAGGTACATAATTGAGACAAGATCCAAAACCAAATCGGTATCCGTATCGCCTCAAACACAACAATTTAAGTACTTACCGCTGCTTTCGGCGAGTAGTTCTTACTTTCTCCATTTCCAAACTTTGGCGATTCTGCTCCTGCACCAGGAACGGCCCCCGCCCAGCCCCGCTGGTGAGTAAGACTCGTCATTTTTGCATGGGCGTTGCCGGATCCACCTCCAGCACGACGCTATTGGTTCATTTAAACGGAAAGGCAACCTCGAAGCTGCGTTTGCTGCCGGATGCGGGGCACGCTCACTCTGCACTCCATGTCAATGTGTCTCCGTCTTCTCACTTCCTCCCTGTCGGAACAACAAGCAATGGGAACCCGCAGCCCCTACATTCACATTCGCTTTTTCCTCTCACACACATGCATGGAACAAAAGCGGCCGAAAAACCATGGCAGCCGACGTTAAAGCGGCCAAGAAAACCAATGTCGACCAAGACGAAGGCGCAGAACCAATGTCGGTCGGGGTCGCGCAGTTTGGTTGGAACCAGATCTGGCTGCCTGCACGCTCCGACGGGCGAAGTACTTTTAAAAAAAAGAAACGAGCGGCGGCCGTTCGGCCGAGTGAGACCGCGCGCACCGCAATGACCCGGCCAAGCAGCAACCCACGCAGCGGCACCACCCCCATATGGAAGTTGCAGAAGCCGCGCCCGCTAGCAGCTCGCGAGGCAAGTTTTCTCTTGCAATCTATCAACGCTCGCCCCACCCCGGCGCGGCAATGCATGGGGCAGGGGAAACCAACCCAGCTAGCCCGCCAGGGCAGACGAGGCCACGGGGCGAAGCAAGCAAACACATAGACCGATGGCCCGGCCCCAAGGCCGCTCGCGGACCGCGTGGGGCGCAGATGGTTGGAGCGCGGGCAAGTGGCTGGGCGCGCTGCCGGGGCGCCCGACTGCGCGCGCAACGCCGGAAAACACACACGCGCGCAACTGCAAGGCGTCGGCAGGCGCGCGCAACCGGAGGGACCGGAAAACGCAGGCGCGCGCAACCGGGCCGGGGGCTGGCGTCGGTCGCTGCGCCAGGGTGGTTGCCCACCCGGAGCACAGCCAAAGCCGCACCGCTCGGGGGCCTCCGGCAAGTATCAGAGGCGCCCTGTGCTCCCGCTTGCGCACCAGCAGCAAGCTCGTCGCTTTTGTTAAGCGGTGCGCACTAATGTCGCGCCCGCGTCGTTTCCCGATGGCGCTTCTGGCCTCCTTTCGAGAAACTTCGCCGGCCGCTTGCGCCACGCAGTTTTCCAGAGCGAAATAGGCACCATCTTCGTCCGGGCCAGAACGCGCCGGCGCTGATAAGCGGGGCCGCCTTGGCCACCGCCACGGGTGTGCATTCGGCATACTCCGCTGGACTCACATCAACAGGCGCAGCGCGTCCGGGTGCGTTTCTGGGCAGACGCCGGGAACTGCCCGGCGTATTTCAACGGGCTGGGCTTCTGGTGAAGAGTCTTTCCGCCATATTATGTCCAACACCGTCGGAAATCCGGTCGCCAATTTGATACCGGCTGACTTCACTAGAATCTCCGCCGCCTCCCGGGAAGATAGCGCTTTTTTTTTCTACGCCCTTGCTGTTTTTTTATTGCGCTCCTGACCTGGATTCTGGCCGCCCTTCAAACGGTAGAAAATCGCCTCCAACTCAGCGCGGGGGCCGTCCCGCCGCCAAATTAATGCGCGCTGCCGGCCCAAATGCGCGCGGCCTCTGCGGCACTGCTTCGGGCGGATGAGCACCATCGCCCCCGCCAGGGAGGCAACAAGACGGCCGGGCGGATGCCTCGGGAGAGGCTGAGCCCACCAATTCATGAAGCAACGAACGCCCCCGCGAGCGCCGGGCACTGGCTAACATTGCTGAACCTACCACGCCCACCCCCGTGGCTACGCTTGAGCCCGTTCCCATCGCTGCAGACGCGGGCAGGCCGATAAATGGCACCCACAACACCACGCGCCTCATAGTCATAACAGCCACCACGGAGGGCGCCGCCGTCATTGTTTTCGGTGCGCTGGCGTAATGCCGGCACCTTCTAAACGCGAAACGCGGGCCCTGTTTCCCCCCAACGCTGGCGGGGGGGCCGCTACCCCACCCGGTCCCACGGATGCCCGTGGCACGACAGGGCAGGGCTGCGAAAAGAGTGCGAGCGCTCCCTCAGTAGAACACTCCGCCCCGGGGGCGGGATGGAACTCGTTCGCCGCTGATCAGCCGGCGCCGCTATCGTTTCAACCGAGTAACGACCAACCCCAAAGCCAACCGGGCCGGGGAGGGGAGCGAGCAGCTACACCGCACGGGGGGCCGGAGCCTTTGCAGGACTGTGGGGCCGCCTGCTGATGTAGGCCGCGCTCTTTCAGCAATGAATAGGCGCAGACGCGATTTGATATGGCTCCACTCTTCCAACTCAATCTGGTTCCACTCCCAGTGCCAGTAGATTAGGATCACGGAACATCACCGGGTCCTTGTCCTTGAAGATGATGTGAAAATTTATCACCTTCACCACGTTCCATTGCCAAAACTACGACTTGTTATTAGACAAAAACGGCGAGCGCAAGGGCGTGTGATGCGCAAAACACTTCATATTCAACAAGCAGTTCCTGATCAGTTTCGGTTTCGGTTTCAGTCGATGTAATGGCATTTTATTCGTACGACGATCTTTTTGTTTTTCTGAAACGAAACCACCTACACGAGGAGGAGGAGGTTGAGAATGAGTAAGCGCGCAGTGCATAAACTTCAACTTGTTCATTTTTATATCACCATCTTCAGCAGCACTCGCAATTCACAACTGCGCCCGCACTCCCCGCACGATGAGAGGCCGTTCCGAGACTTGCAGCCACTTCTCGAAGGAGGCCACCGCGATGACGCGCAGCAATTTAATCAAGACCAGCCAGATCGTGATGAGCAGCCAGAAGAAATCGCCGTTCCACAAACCAAAAACCTGTCCGAACTGCACGGCCCCGTACAACAAGCAAGTGGTGCTGCCCCACCCGACGCAGAATCGCAGTGGGCAGAGCAACCGCGCGTGCGCCTCCGCGCCCAAGGAGAAGAACGAATCGCTGCGCACCTTGCACCGCAGTGCCGCCAGCGCGGCCGCGTCGGCGAGGAGAAAGAGCATCAGTAGGAGCCGGATCAAGGTCCACGAACCACCGCCGTAGCTGTTCGTCGTGAGGATATCGACTTGGTTCTTGCCCGCAGAAGAAGTAGAAGTGGTTTTTGAGGACGACAAAGAAAAAAAATTATCGGTCATCTGTAGTGCTCGGGGAACAAAGTAGCTGTAGCTGTAGGAGAGGACGCCTTGTTGTCCAGAAAAATCGTCGTCCGTGGTATCACCTGTCACGGAAAGAGTATTCGTGTTGTACGAACCGTCGTTTCCAAACAAACCGAAAGAACCCTTTGCTTTCAATTTTTCGTCTTCGCCCGTCGTCGTCCTGCTCGCGATGTCCAAGTGCGACGTCTCGTGCTCCCCAGCCCCGGAACCTGTTGATGTCCATGACCAGAAGGACGTCGAGGTGAAAGGGGTCGCCGGTGGCAAAAAAATGCCATGTGGTGATCCTCCAGGGGCTCCGACCGTGTTCGCCAAAATTTCTGATCCTGGTTGAAAAGTAGTCGTGATGAGATTCGGTTCAAGAAGGGCTTTGTTCGGTACTAAAGTATTGGATGCAGCGTTGCTGGCTGTCGTCGCTGCAAGCGCAGCTCCTCCTGAATGATCTGACTGGTCGAAAACCAGGCCGCCGTGGATTTTCTCTGCAGATGAATGTTCTTGTCCTGCGGCTGCTAAAACGTTCGCAGCTCCACCGCTTCCCGGTCCGTCCGAAGTGACTGCGCCGATCAGTAGCGCTGGCAGCTGCAGCATCATGAGCATCACGTCGATTCCAACTCCGACAGCAAACAGACGCAGGTAATCCTCCCGCGTCTTCGTCTCCGTTCGTGTCAGAAACGACACGTAGTACGAAATTGCGGCGCCCATGATAACTGTCGTTTGGATTTCCCTTTTTTTTTGGAAAGAGGTTTTCGTCCTTTTTGTGAACTCAGAACTTGTTAAACCTTCCTCTTTGTCGCATCGGGGCTGATAGCTGCACTCTTTCTCTTTGATGCATCCGAAGCTGCAATCAAGCCTAGGCGCCAGCCACGAAGGAACGTTGATCCGTCCAGATCTTGCGTTGGCGTTGGCCTAGCTTCTACGTGGACGAGATACGACTCAACAGAACGCCGGATCGGTTCCTGCCTTCCGATGACTACGGGCCGAACGGTCGTTCGTTCGGATCTTCTTTTTGAGACGATTTTCATTTTGCTGTTTTGACGTACCGATGGCGAACACAGATACGTAGAAGGTCGTGCGACGTTCCTTCATAATCTTCTCTGCAACATACAGCACTCGCCCCTTCTCGATCCTGCAGCCTGCATTTGCCTCTATCTCAAAGCGACAGAGCAGATGAGTGCCACTTACCTTTTTTATTCCAAATCGTGTTTAAGTTTATTATACAGGAGACGTCGAAGATATTCAGTTGTTACGCTTCATACGTCATCGGTGCAATTTTTCAGCGTTCTTCTTCACCTTCCAAAATATTAGCCATGGTGTACACATGAAAAGATCGTCCAGCAAAAACAAAAAACTCAAGGCCAGGAATCTACCAGAAAAACTGTATCGGCACTATCATCTTCAAGGAGCTTAGTGTACAACTGAAATAACTCACTCTCAAGATACGAGCGCACAAGCGCAGCTGTTTGGTGATAAGACAGAAAATTCAAATGTGTGCATAATTGTAAATTGAAATTCAAATTGTTTCAAACGGAAAGTCTATACTATATCAAGCGAAGGCTCCTCAAGTTCGACCACAGTAGACTTGATGGAGTAGTACTAGAAGAACCAATTACCGCGGGACTTGCTCCACCGTCCTCTCTCATGGTAGGTATCTATTGTACATCCAACGTGCAGAAGCACAGCTGACCGAGGTGAATCTACTATGGTCTTCTTCCACGATCGCAGAACTGTATCGCGGAAGTATCGTTCACGTTGTTCATTTCTTCGCACCTCCTCCCGCACCATGGTTGTTCTCATCCCCGGTCGCACTGGACGCGGAAATCCAGGTCGTGGCGAGCGTTCCCCCCGCCCGGGTATCGAGCGTTGTCGTGGAGTGCGTGGTTTATCCACAGTAAATTTCCCGTACACGTTGTACGAATGCGGTCTCTGCTTGACAAAACTTGGCTCCGATCCTAGTCTAGCATGACAAGTGTTAGTACACTCCAAATTGGTGAAATTTGTGACGCATCTTGTACATGGACGGGAAATTTGTACTGCATATGGTTTTCGTGCCGTCGACAAGAAACGCATCGTCGATCACGCTGTCCAACTCATCCTCAATCAGCCGCCGGGGTTGACGCAAAGAGTCCCCACTGGTTGTTGTATTCATCGCGGGTTGTTGCAGTGTATGATCCGGGTTGTCGTGACCACGACCTCCAGCATCCGCATCGACAGCAGCGTTCGCGTTCGCCGGCTTATGCTCATTGTCATTTCCACCTGCTACTGGCGATTGCTGTTTGTGTGTCTCCTGGCTGTTGTCCTCACCTCCTGGCGTTTCTTGTATTTGTTCGCCCGCCGGCAGTGGCAAGACTTCGACGTCGCCTTCGGCTTTATCTACCGACAGCCCACCAGAATGAACAGCAGCAGCGTCTCCACCACCTGCGGTTGTTGCTGTAGTTCGTCCACCAGCCCCCATCTCCTCTTCCCGCCCAGGTCCTCCGGCCTCCTGTAATTGCTGGTGAAAGGTCCCTGCGGTGGAGGAAAAATGCGCCGAGGACGCCGCCCCACCGGTGGTCCGCGCGGCGTTGTTCGGATCGCCGATGGTCGTCGCGGTCTCCGACAACCAGTCCCGCTTTCCCTCGATTTCCTTGCGAATTTTACTGATCTCGTCGCGGCTGTCGATCATGTCATCAAGGGAGAGGCGCGCGACGTTGTCCAGGAAAAGTTCTTCTTGCTTCTCGGTTGAGTTTTCGTCGGCTTTCTGGTATAGCGTAATCGACCCGTAACGCCCTGCCCCCCGGAAAGGAGACACACCACCGTACTGGGGGACGTACCTTTTGGTTTTTGTTTTTACAATTACATTCATGCACCTATCATCTATCACAGTCAGAACCAGAAGCATATCACAAAACATCGCGTTTGCTACAGCTACTATCCTGTTGTATATCGAGAACCAACATCTTCTACACTTTCGTGAAGAGTCGTGAGCTCCTGTGACCACGTGCGTATAAAACCGTTTTTTCATACCTTTTCTGCAGCACTTGTTCGTAGGTATTCGCCGCGTCAATGACATCCAACGCGATGCTGTCGCCCGCCAGAGCCGATTTCTTGGGCGACTGCGACTTGTTCTTCCGCCTCCGCAGCCTCAAGGGCGACAAGCTATTCGGACTACCGTTCTGCCAAATCGGCTGCATTGTGGCACCGAAGGACTTATTGTTGTTATTACCGGTTGTCGGGTGTTCATTCCCCTGATTTGCTGGAACGCTGATGTTCAAAAACAGCTGCTCCTTCGCGTAGGCCAAAGGCTGCCTGACAGCCCCGCTGACGCCCTTCTTCCCGTGACTATTCACATCGATCAGGTAAGAACTTTGTTGCTGAAACAGTTCGTCTTGCGTTCGCGCACCGGACTCGGGGGAGAACATCATCGGGTGATTCAGCGTCGTCGCCGTCGCGGCAGACAACGTCGGCGTTTGGGAGCGCATCGTGCTGTCTTTGTTCGTGGAATTAATATTGCCCGACATCTTGTTGATGTTATCCTGCTTCCCCGGTGACGTTTTGTTCAAATTCAGCTTCAGCATCTTGTTCGCCTGCAGCGTGCTCATCGTTCCGTCCCTGTTCTTCGCAGTGGATTCTAGGTATTTTGAAAAGTCTGAGTTATTTCCGAATGTTGAAGTTTGATTTTTCGTACTCGACATCGTTCCTCGTCGGTACTTCCCAATGTCGATCTGCGAAACCGCAAGTGCGCCAACCGGAGTGCCGACGGAGATGAAACAAGCCGGATTATTTTTGGATGTTGTATCTCCACCGCGGAATTGCGCCAAGTGGTCCGCCGGGGTGACAAGGGTTGAATCGGCGATGAGTTCCCGGGTCAACCGCAGTTCATCGGAGGTCATCTTCGTGCTACTTTCTATTCCAGTCGCGTTTTTTTCGGATTGGTCCAATAGTTGTTGAATTTCCTCCGCAGACATGCGCGCGATGACCTCGCTGGCATCGTTATTCCTGTTCTTCGCCAGCACTCCACGACCCGCTGCAGTACTATCGTTTATCGAAAAATCGCTAGTAGTGCTCATATTAGCGGGCAGTTTGCACGAAGACCCAGACAAAGAACTCGACTGCTGTTCTGGATGTTGGTCATTCGTGGGCTGGGACTGCTTATTTATTTCCGGTTGCGGAGGACGCCGCGGGAGGGGGAGAGGAGCACGTTTTCCAAACACCATTCTGCTCTGCTTCGTTTCTTGCTCGCCTTGATCTGGCTTGGTCGTGACCACACCGCCTTTCGCTCCCGACGAGCTGTTTTCATTCTGCTTGTTATTGTTGTGTTTTTTTCCTTTACTTGTCGCAGCCTCGTCACCGTCTTCCCCATCCTGCTGATCATGATCCAGCATGCTGACAATTCCGGCGAGCGCACTGGCAGTGGCGGCCGCAAGACCGTCGGATTTATATCGATCAGTTGCTTCACCTTGTCGTGGCTCGGCTCCTGTAGTTGTGCTACCGTCCTTTTCCTTGTTCGCAGGCGCCATCTTGTTGCTCTTCCCGTCCGCACCGCGCCGTGGCGAAGAACCTCCACCACTGGCAGCTCCCACGCCACCCCGCAAATCCACCAAAGACTGACTCATCGCGTCCGGGCCGCTGACCTTCGCACTTATCACGCCACTCACCGTATTCCCCGCAACGCCGCCACCCTCTATCAACGCTCGCTGGTTGGGGAACAGCCGGACGGGAGACACTTTTAACTCCGGGTCAACTTGTATCCTATGTAAAAACGTCCCCACCCGATAGTTGTCTTTGTCATGCAAATCTGCATGCTTAAAATATTTCTCATGCAAAGCCCCATGCGGGGCATTCTATAGTCGCGCTTCGAAATTTGTCATGCTCCAATACGCACGGCGTGCTAGGTCTGTGATGCTGCCGAACTAGCTAAAGCAGGATCTCACTCCGAGGCCATCAAACTTGTAGTGTGCGCAACAGCCAAAGCTTGTTGACTTGTCTAGCAGATTTCCCATCTTGACTATGGGATAGGGAAGTTTTTACACAGGATAACTTGAATGTTGTCGTCATCGCTGATGTTGTCGAAGTCGCTTTCTTGTTATGCTGTGCAAAAGTATCGTACTCGTACTAATTGCAGACATGCATGACAAATCGCCTGTCTTAGCTAAAACAGCATTACAAATTTCATCTGTCATGCTAAGGAAATTTGTAATGCAATTTATACTAGTACGATACTTTTGCACAGGATACTTGTCTTTTACTGGAAACTGCTTTGTTGCTTCTCCCAGCACGGTGATCATTCCTCAGGCTGTTTATTCCTCCAGCTGCAAGTAGATGGTGATCGCCGCCGCCATAACTCGGAGAAAATTCGTGTATCGTCGCGATTGCTTTGACTGGTGGTGGCGCTGCCGGGATCAAATACTGAAACTGCAAACGAAACTCTCCGCGTTGGCCCAGCATTTTGTGCGGCGACCCGGAGATCGGGATTTTGTCGTGCTTACCGTAACTGGAAGTACAGGCGGCCGCTGCGCCCAGATTGCAGGTGGTCGCTGTCGCATTGGGAGAATTACAGTTCATAAAGCCCCCGCCGTTTGTCGTTCCGTTTTTTAACGCGTCAACCTGCTCTCGCAAATTCCGGCCAACATTCGCCACCTGGTTCAAGACCGGCACTTTCGGGTTGATGTGTTTCTTACTCGGAGGACCCCCACCGCTGCGGGTGTTTTTGCTCTGCGCATGGCTTCCACTCTGGTGTGATGATGGCGACAACAACTGCCCAAGTAAAGCCACGCGGTAGCCCGCCGCTTCAGAAGAGGTGTCGGTTTGGAGGAGGTTTCTTGTGAAATGGCGCCCGTGTAGCGGCAATTGCTGATTATGTCCTGGCTTGTTGATGTTCGCAGCTCCTGCGCCGCCAGACGTCGAAGATGAACTGCCGCCAGCGCCGACAAGCACTCCGTGTCCCTGCAAGTAGCCCTTCTGCTCAAGAATAATCTCACCCTCCACACTGTCGTTGACATCTTCTTCCTGTGCGGTCGGACCTCCCGCAAATGTGGAAGCCGCCGAAGCAGGACCTCCCTGTTTATTTTGGTGCAGCAGTTTTGCGTCCTCGACACCAGCGTCCACATGATCCTCGATTCGTTTCCCACGGTTCAGGGTCGAGACCCGCGGCACGGAGAAGAAATATTTAGGCGGGCCCTCGGGGAGGCGGTCGCTGATCCCCAAGTGGGACAGAGTGCTGACTACGGATTCCGGTTTATTTCTGTTGCCCCCGCCGCTTTCGGCGTCCGAGAAACATGCCGCGGGGTCGCCGACCGGGCCGTAGCCGACAACTCGGTCGAGGTAGAAAGACGACATCTGTTCCGATACTTTTCTACTGAAGAGAAAGAACTGAACCGTACTACAACTACAACCTCACTCTATATCTTTCTCCACCTTAGACCATCGGGAGGACGCAACACAATGTGATGTGTCCCCGTGCTTCTGGCCACAAAGATACCAATCGCATCTGAGATGATTTCGAGAGAGGAGTCCAAAGTTTGAGTTGTGAGATCGCAATTGCCAAAATGATCGGAACGCATACACGAATACGACTTCTTGCGATGGAGGAATTTGCTCTTCTTTCTCTACTTCTCGACGACAACACGATTCGAAACGAGACGGCGACAAACCATCACGAAGACATAGAATCTCATTCTCAAACACGACATACACGAAAGAAATAATGGAGGCATTGATTGTAGTTGTAGATCAGAGAGCGAAAATCGGTCTGCTCTAGCATCTACTCTTACTGGTGACCAGCGAAAACAATGAATGAAGGTTCTCGATGATGATTTTTCATACCATACTTTATTCTGTCGACTCAAGGATAGACCAGCAAGCCATAAAGCAAGGCGTCACCGGGACAAGAAATGAGTCTGTTATTGTGGCGCTCGTGTCTAGCGAAATCTCCGATGAGTTATTTTACAGAGAAATCGTTGATTGTGAACGCATAGTAATAGGATCGTAGCGGTCTGAGGATCTTTCTGCTCTTTGATTTTATCTTTTACTTTTAGAAGATGATGCGCCATGGACTCAACGCCATCGTCATCCTTAAGCAAAGCTGCTTCACCAAAAAAAACAAGCGAACCGTCTGGAGCAACGGACCCAGTAAAATTCCACGGAACACTGCAACGATGCGGTCGCTAAAAAACACATGGCTACTATACCCGTTCTTCAGGAGCAGGGCAGCTCTTTGGATTACCACGTGGATGATGGGAGTGCTCGCGCACGACGTTTCATCGCCTTTAATATCCAGCAAAAGTCACAGGTCTTCCCTCGCCCCCGGTACCCAACTCCTTGGGTACGCATCTGCGTCGGGGTAGTGCTCTTTTAATTTCCCAAACGGATCCGCCTCGACCCCGTTCGGCCGGAGCAGGGTCGCACGGAAATCTCCCAGCAGTGCAAACCGGAGCTTCTTCTTCAGATTCGGATCACTCGGCTTCGGATTCACTGCGAGAAGATCGAAGAGCAGTTTTTCCGGGTAAAAATCCACATCCATGCGACTCCAGACACCGTTCCGGCTCTTTGCTACCTCCTTACCCAAAGCGACCAGATCCGGGGCGGAGTGCCCATCGTAGAGGGCAGTTGAGTTTTTATCGTTTAGCGTTTTGATATTTGACGGCGCGGGAGTGGTCGTGCTGGTGGTCATTGGCGCGGCAGCTTCTTCCTCCTCGCTGCTCTCTTCGCTATCCCCGGGGACGTGCAACGGTGTGGTCGACATCACTAGCTCCGCAAACTATCACAATGCACAGCTCCCCCTCCACCCCTCATTTGTCATGCAAAATACCAAATCCGCCTTTCTCCCTTTGGCACTGCTTGCATGACCTGTTCCGGAAGCGGCCGAAACAGCACTAGAGTCGGTCCCGAATTTGATGTCATGCAAGAGCTGTATTTATGCCAGTACTTGTGTTGCTGCTTACACCCTTCAAATGAGTTGGACGGGGACGAGTTGTGCACTTTCATACAAACCGCTTCGCCACGTATTTCCGAAAACTCGTGTAGTGCCGGATGACCTGCAACGAGTTCGCAACCGCGAACTGGTCAAACGCCAGCCCGGGGTCGTTTAACGCGTCAAACGCGTGCGGTTTCGGGGACGGGTCGCTCCACCACGGCAGGTAGATCGTGTCCGGGGGGTGCCGCTTCCGACCAATCGGGTCTGGCTCGTCCTGGTCCCTCCCCTCGGGGTCGTCGGTCAGCGACATGTGAAAGGGGACGTACAAGTCGAGCTCCCGTTTGAAACTGATGTCCGGCCGCGTGCGGATGAACAGGTCGTACCTTACCTCGTTTTCCGTCCCCTTCCGGAGTTTCAATCCCTTCTCCAGCTGCTCGTGCGCGAGTTCGATGCTCATGGCCATCGCGAGGACGCGGAACGGCACCATGCCGCGGGCGGTGGGTTCCTTGATGAGCTGTTCAAAATTCTGCTCGATGTGCTGGTGGTAGAGATCTTTATCGGACAAAATTTCGGCCTTCGTCCGGGTCATCATCTCCTGCACCGTTTCATTGTTCGTGGAAATCAAGACCTGTCGCCACCGGACATTTCGGAAGGTGGCACTCGTTGTTTTCGCAGCTCCAGTCTTCGGTTTTTTTCCATCAGCTGTGTCCTCCTCGTCGCTCTCGGAATTCTCCGCTTGGTCTTTGTCAGTCTCTGTATTTGCGATAGCGTCTTCGAAGTCCTTTTTTGTTTCGTTGGAAAAAAACTCGAGTGTCCCCTTCGCGACTGCCTTCTTGTACGCTTTCTCCGTCGGAAAAAGCGCCTTTGCAGCAGCGATATCGTGCTCGGGGTCCCAATTGAAGTGCGCAAAATAGTCTAAAGTGCACTCATCGTTCTTCTTCTCCACAAACTCGAGAAACGTCGGAAACGCATCCAAAAACGCCCGCATGGCGCCCGAGATGCAGACCGCCACGCGGCACTCTTGCCTCATTTTTGTGTCTTCTTTCTTCTTGTTGGCTTCGCTCTCTTCAGTAGAAGCGATAGAGGGCATACTGCGTGTAACTGCGCACCATAAATGTTGTAAACTGGTATCTTCGCTATCGGTATCGGTGCTGATTGATTTTCCATAATTGTCGTAGGCTCATACTAGAAGGTATGCTGCACACGACGTCAGAAATGCATACGCAGGTGGAATTTTCATATTTAATACTGCTAGCTGCACAGGAGTGAGCAGCTTCTATTTCGCAACTGCAGATGAGAAGAACACGCAGCACTTTAGGCTACCACAGCCCAGCAGCACGGGAAAGTGGCTGTCCGGTGGAGAAGCGTAGCACTAAGACGAAGTAGACCGCGTAGTCGACCACGGCATTATCTGTGTTTCTTATACTGCACCTCATTCCACCACGACCGCAGTTCATCAAGTTCTCACACTTCCAAGCGAAATTTAAGACTTTTTTCACTATCGGGGTTCAGTTTCTGTACGCCGTTGAGCGAGTCAAATTTGTCGCACATGGTCATGTTCTTTCGTATTAATTCCGCCTTTTCCTGCAACGATTTCCCGCTGTCGAAGGCCCACTCCGCTACGTACTCCGGGACAAACGGATACCAGAGCTTCGCGTGCGCCCAGCAGAGGAATGTGGGCGCCGGCAGCTTCGTGGCGTAGTGGTGGTTGACGTAGGGCAGCAGGTCGTTGTGCACGAAGATGGCATCCGTGCCGCCCACGTTGAACAGGGAATGCGTGCCAAAAAGCAGGTCGGCCACAATTTGTAACGACATCCCGACGTAAAAGGGGTGGCCGGCGCCCGGGAGCGACGAGAGAAAAGCGCTATCACTGCCGTCGGAAGAAGTAGGTGATGCAGTTGAAGATGTTCTTTCACCACCTGTATTTTTGTCAATATCTGCCGCGTTTATTTTCTCCTGCGACGGTTTCATCGTTTTCCCTCCCAAATATGAACTCGGCACTCCGCCCGCGTCCACCGCCCGTCTCACCCGCACGTCGCGATCCTGCCCGGAATCATGCATTTTCGCGAGAGCCAGTCGCGTTTTCCGGGTCTCGGCCGTGTCCGTTTCCTCCTGCTTTTGGACAACTTCCGGGTCGAAGACGCTGGTATAGCGGAAGGGCGGCGGGAACTGGGCGGCAATCTCCACGTGGTAAACCAGCACCTTCTATCAAATGCAAATATGTCTGGGTCTGGAAACTTGTGATGCTGAATTGCGCATGATTGAAGCGCTTCCAATGGCAACCAAGCATGACAAGTTTTTGAGACGCCTGCTGATGCCTAGCACGCAATACAAATTGCGTTTTTGCATGACAAAGAAAGCTTCTCTTTTGCTGCTCATGCAACACAGATTTTCTAGGAATGCATGACACGCATTACCAGTTCCACTTTTCCAGACCCAGACATATTTGCACTGGATACCTTCCGGCCCGACTCCATGGATCGCCTGTGGATCGCCTGCAAAACCTCGAAATCCCAACTGTCAATGTCAATGAAAACGAACTCGATGGGCGGCTTTTCTGCTCTTTCCTGCTCTTCCGCCTCTCTCACGTGTTCCTCGTCCTGTTGCAGCAGTGGGAGGAGGTTCGCGACTTTCCGCTTCAACGTAGTCTCCGCGTGAAGAAGATGTTCTTGCTGACCGGTTCTACCTGTTTGAGAAGTAGCGAAGGATCTACTTGCAGTGTGGTGGAACGGAAAAGGGATGTGAACGGTTCGTGAAGTTGTTGTACTAGTCGGCTCGCCGGGCGGAGCGGAGCTTTCTACTTCTTTTCCAGCATCGTCGATATCCCGAAACAACCCAGTTTCATCCAGCAAATGGTGGACGTTTTGCGGCGTGACCCCGATCCCGGACTTCAGCGTCAGGCCTGGCAATTTTCTCGCGCGGCAGTCATCGGCACGGGATTCCAGGTACTCCCACCCAAAACCGCGGGTCAGGGCGGGTTCGGTAACGGCTTGGACCTGCTTCCGAATTTGTTGTAGGTTGCCGACCGCAAAGGGCAGGACGCGCTCCTCGTAGATAGCGCGGAGGATTAGTTCCCCGGAGGGACGTTGGTTGTTGCCGATGGCTGCACCATGGCCGGCGGACGAGGTTGAGGCCGCTTTACGAGGACCGTCCTCTAGAAAAGCGTCGAGCTCGTGGAGTTTTATGGAAATGGTACTGGTGCCCGTTCTTGAGGTCGACGCCACAGTTGTCCTCGTACTGGCTGGCTTTACCATGTTGCCAGCTCCTGCACTGGTGATTGTACCATTGTTCTTGGTCTTCGCGGCTGCAAGTCCATTCCTTTTTTCCCGCTGAAAAGCAAATGCATGCTCTGCGCCGTTTTTCTCCCGCCTTCCAGGCGGCAAAAGCAGGTCCAACCACTGCGCTACGTCCCGCGTAAACGTCGAGAACCAGCGTTGCCGGCCGATCTTCTTATCGTAGAAGGAGCTCACCGCGCCGGCAAACTTCGCGCATTCAAGGAACATGGTGAGCAACGTCTCGACGTGTTTCTTTTTCTCTCGTCCCAGCTTTGCCACTTCACTTTTACTACTTCTCCCACTCCCGGTCGCGGCAATTATTTCAACATCTCTTTGCTTTTCTTCTATCACCCTGACCCCTTCCTCGACCGCCACCATATCATTGAAAATTTCCGCACCTTTCCGCCTTGTTTGATCAGATTTCCTATCGTCAGTTTCCTGCGACAAAACGTCGTGCATTTTCGTCACGTCAATCTGAATCAAAGCGAGTACCAGTTCGACAAACTTCCTCTCCTCCTCGATCAAGCCCCGCACGCCGTACAACGGGTTCACCAGACGAAACCCGGGCTCAAACACCGGGTCGCAATCCCCCGCCCCAAAGTTGAGGAAAATCCCGCTGCGCAGGTGCTGCGGCATCATATGACAGTGCACAACTCCCCCTCCACCCCCTCATTTGAAGGGCATGAACAGCAACACAAGTCCTGGCACCAATGCAGCGTTTGCATGACAATAAATTTGCGACCGATAATTCCAGTGTTGTTGCGGCTTCTGGAATTTGTCATGCTAGCAGTACCAGAGGGAAATAAAGGGTGGATTTGCTGTTTTGCATGACAAATGAGGGGGAGGGGGACTTGTGCACTTTCATACATCACGGCCCGGACCCGGAAAAGAGACCGAGGGTAGAGTTCGGTGATGTCGGTCGCCATAAAGTCCGCTAAGGCGAACCTTTGCGGAATTTCGTCCTGGAGAATTGATGTAACTTCCGGGGTGGAGAACCTGCCCGCGGCGAGGTCGGCGTCCCGCTCGTCTTCCGCGGAGAAAATTTTGAAGAGTTTGTGGTTCTCGTTGAGTCGCGTGGAAGAAGTGGCTCCTTGTAGTCTTGCTTCGTCCACCTCCACCAGCACCAACGGCTTCCCGTCTTCGTCCTTTTCCCACTCGATCTGCCGTAAGAACTCCGCCAAAATCCCCTGCTGCAATTTCCCCTGGACGAACTTCCGCAACCGCTTGACTCTGGAACTCGGCTCCACCTGGTGCTCGTGCTTCCGGCCCGCGCAAACGTCTACCGTTGGCTTGTCCATGGCGTGGCCAGTCAGCGTCGTGGCATCCCGCCACGGGGAGATCACCGCGAAGTCGGTGGAGAAGTCGGAAGAGGAGGGACGAGCAGGTTGTGAGGCATCTTCATCACCTCCCTCGTTCAACAACCACCTTTTTCGCCTTTTTTCGTCGTATGTCTCCTCGTCAAAAAAATTTATCGGAACGCCCGAGACCGCGCCGTTCTCCCACTTCTCGACCGTTTTCTTCAGGTTCTTCGCCGCGGCGATTTTCTTCTTCTCGCGGTTGAGGAGAAAAGCCTCGAGCATGGACTTCCGCGCCTGCTGCTCGTCAAGCTGAACTCCGGTCGTGGAGAAATTTTTATGGCGAAGTTTATTTTGTTGAACAAGCGCACCTGTGGCCGTAGCAGAACCAGAATTTTTTTGACTGTTCCTGTTCCTTTTCCTCCACCTGTGCAGGTCTTTGTTATACAAGGGCTGGCTCTCCAGATAATCGACCCAGCCTCTTGTTGCTGGGAAGTAGGATGTTGAAGAAGCGGGTTGAGCAACCGCTTTTGCTTTCAACGTTCCGGAACTTGATGAACTTCCAGAAGAAGAAGAAGACGCTGGTGTAGTTGACATTATCGCCAAACCTGCCCCCGACGTCTGAGCACTCTGGTTCCACGTCTGTGCGTCATCGTAGAGGCGTTCCAGGAAGAATCCGTACCCTCTTCTGCGCTTCGCTGCGTCCACCATTTCATTGCGCCAAATGGTGCTGGCATACACCGCTTGCCACCAGGTGCCGTTCTTTGGAACCGGGAGCAAGTCGTAGGATTCGCCAGTTTTGGTATCTTTGTCCGTCAGGGGTTTATTATTTGTCGTTGTACTCCCTTTTGCTTTCTTTTTCGCCGCTATCATTTTCTGCTGTTTCTCGTACTCCTCGTCGTCGTCCTCCCAGCTTCCCAGGTAGTCCAGCGGCCTCGCGTGCACGGCAAAGGAAAGCATCGCTTTCGAGCAGAATCTTTCCGGCGTGAAAGATCTCACCGTGAAATACGTAGGTGTTCTCACCCGTGCGCCGATCAGTTGCGGGTCGGGGGGCTCTGCATCTGCTTCGTCGTCCGTGCCTGTGTTGGTTCTCCTCGCAGTATTGCCGATATCAAATGCAAATATGTCTGGGTCTGGAAGAGTCATGCTGCTTTTGCATGACACAGAAGGTCTGGCATGGCAGCTTGAGCATGACAGGTTTCGAGAGGCTTCGCTTCCGCAATGCCGAATCCGCATGGCAAATGCTCCACTTTAGTGACAGAAAGTGGGCAGCTTTTGCTGCCTAGGCATGAGAGATTTTTACGTGTCGTGAAATGCGCATCACAAGTTTTCATTCTTCCAGACCCAGACATATTTGCATTTCATACCCGAAAAGCTCCGGCAATTCCCTCTCCACCTCCTGCAAACTCGCGTAGTTCGCAAACAACCCCCTGCACTGCGTCGGCTTGTTCAACGAGCCCACGTAGCAGGTTTTTGTCCCGTAATGAAACAGATACGCCTCACACGCCGTGTCCTTGCTGCACTCATTCGCGCACCACGTGTCGGTCGGATACGGATTGTTCTCGGCATTTGATGTTGGTAGTTCTTGCAGTCCTTTGCAGACAAAACCCTCCAGCCGCATTTTCCAGTCGGCAGCCCCCACTTCCAGGGAGCGACGGGCGGGCCTGGTCGTGGTTTTCTCGATGTTGTCTCGTTGTGGAGAGGCATGGACGACGATGAGGGGCGATGAGGGGTTGAGATCGACGCAGCAAACGAAAATAAATGTAAAAACAACAGCATCCAACGCTGTAAGAGCAAGCGGAAGAACGAAGGACATGAACATAGTTATAGGTCTTTGAAGACAGTACAAGGAAACAACAACGCAAAAAAAATCCTCAACTTATGTATGCGAAACTTGTCCAGCGTGATGCTCTAAATCATACAAAGGTAGAGGCTGAGAGGTTCGGCACTCCTACTTTCATACATCGATGTGGACCATCCTCGAAATGACAAAGGCGAAAGACGAGCTCGAAAAGGCGAAAAGCATACGAATATATTGCCATGCAGGAACTAATAGTGATCAAACACAAAACACGAACAGAGTGAAGAAGTTCTTTCACTTTGACCTTGGCTACAACCGAACCGAATGCAACCTCATGATCGTCCAAAAAAACCGTGATGAATCTGCTCCTTTTTACCTCCGCTGTTGGCAGATGGTTAATACACGTACCAGTCACTTTCGTATCGACTCCGATGATGCGTTCGGGCTCGGGCTCGGCGAGCAGTCTGGCGGGCACGATTTTTGTTTTTCAGCTTCAGGTTGTCATACAATAAAGCGAAATAAAGATAAGCAAAAGTCTGTCACAACTGCGCTGAAAGTTGTACAGCGAGTGTTCAAGAAGCTCGACAAAAACCGGAAAATGGTTGTTTTTTTTTATTTGTCATGGGTCCTCTAAGGCTACCTGTAGTACGTAGGTAGTAGCCGTTGGACCGCACGACCTTGATATTTATACGTCACTGTGGCGTAATTTGTGTTTTTATATACTTGTGATTGTGCTGAGTCTTGCTAGTTATAGCTTGCAGAAAGCTCAAGCTGGGAACCGGATGAAGTTCTTAGAGAACTCCTGAGTAGAGAAAATCTCGTTTACGTAAACGTAGGTCGAAGACAAAGTAAGTCGTCGTAGTGTCGATATTTGATACAAGAAAGTTGGTTCTGATGAAAACTATAAATTGAAAACGATTTTAATGGAAGTGAGCTAAGCCGTACAAGAACGTGTCAACAACGACGATTCTGTTGATTCCACCATTGGTAAAGTCTCCGTTGATAGCGATTTAGAGATGAAAGTTGATGAAGTACAATGTGTCACAAGTACTAGGCTCGCAAAGTGAATACATCAATAGGACACGATTCAATAGTAGATTGATGACAAACAGCGACTTTGTCCATACAGAGCCAGTCAGTGCTGGCGCCGACGACTGTGAGCAGTCATAATTGCCTTCTATCCATGTCTTGTTCCTCTCGCCGCATGAGGCGTACTAGGCCCAACGAAAGCAAAGTTTCAGTTTGCCTTTAAACAATCAGCCGTCGCTTCTTCGGCGCCGGGGATGTGATGCCCGCCCGAAAGGAGAAAGACGACGACGATTCCTCCTCTGCCTCGCAGAACTCGTCCTCTTCCCGCCCACTGAAAAACGAGCTGCTCTTACTCGTCTTCTTCTGCTGCTTTATTTTCTGCCTCTCGGCCGCGTTCAGGATCGTGCAACTGGTGCAGAAGGTGGCGAATTGGTTCACCCGCACCCAGCAGTTCGGGACCGCGCCCCAGCAGTAGTGCTTTTCGGCACAGTACTATGCAAGAAAAAAAAACAAGTGTAACTTTGTCTTGCAGATGTTGCAAAACACTGACACAACTTGTCATGCTGGATATGCATCACAGGCTATTTTCAGACGTGTTTTCGCATACTACCTACGCATGACAGGTTTTCTCTGTCATGCAAAACAAATCTGTGATGCTGTTTCTGCAAAGAAGTTACACTTACACTCACATTTTCTTTCTTCGATAAGTACCCGCAGTCCCCACACGGGTCCACCGCGAGGAAGTAGCACCCCGGCTGTCGGCACTTCGGCTTTTGGTTTTTGCTAGACATGGAAGATGCAGCTGTGGTGCTGGTGGAGGTGGTTTTGTTGAAGCCGCTAATTGTTTTTACCGCAGCTCCTAAATCCACAAGAAATTTCCCGTACACGTACAAATGCTGTCTCTGCATGACAAAATTGGGCTTCGATCCTAGTTCAGCATGACAAGTGTTGCACTCCAAATTCGTGAAATTTGTGATGCGTCTATATGCATGTACGGGAAAGTTGTATTGCATATCCCCCTATCGGTGGCTGCATCGTGGTAGAGAGTTCCGGTGATGCGGCGAGGGAGGTGCTGGAGGACGAAGCACCATTATTGCCAACAGCGAGGACTTCTGCAGGAGCTGCTTGTTTTGAAGACGGCTTTTTCTTCTTATTCACAGCAGCACCAGTAGTTCCAGTTGTGCAGCAGGAGCTCTCTTTCGACACTGCTTTCATCTTGTTTCTGACAGCCGCTCCTGTGGAAGATTCTTTGCTGCTTTTCTTCTTCATCGCGCCTTGTTTATTTGCAGCTTTGCCTTTGTGTTGTGGTGGTACCGGCTGCACCAACTCGGAGGTATTATCCTCGTCCTCTTCGTACTCCAGCTGACTCGGCGCCAGCTGCGCGGCCTTAATAGCCTTGTTGTTCCGAGCGCGCTTGTAGTTTTTCGCACCGTTATTTTCTTGCTTCTTCGAATTGTTTCCAACGGCTCCTAATGCACTTTGCTGATTCACCTCCTCCGTGCTGGAGAAGTTGTTATGACCGCCTGTGCCGGTGATAATTCCGGTAGTCACTTCCTCCTGAAGGATTTGCTTCGACTGCTGTTTCTTTCCTCCGGTGGTCTGCTTGCTGCGCACCTGCTTCGACGGGACGGCGCGTGCTGGTCCCCCCGCTCCTCCAGGAAACGGAAACGAAGCGTGATTTTTTTGCGCTGCTGCGACTACCGCAGGGGGCGGGAGGGATTTTACGGGTGGCTGCTGGTGCTGCTGTTGTCGTGCTACAACAGGTAGTTGTACATCAGTAACTGCTGCCGCTGCGACGTCCATCTGCACGGGAATAGTATTAACCGGCACAGTGGTCTTCTTCGTCGGGGGCGGTTTGTAGTTTTTGTGCTTCTCGCAGTACTTGCCGTATTTCTTGCCCGTAACCAGCACCCGCTGGGGCTGGTCGCAACCAACCACAGCGCATTTGAACCTGGTATTCGTATTAATTGGGAACGCACGCATTGGAGGTAATCAGAATATTTGAACGTGCATATTGATTGAAACATTCCTCTTCATCGTGAAGCCGAGTTGACATTTCTCTTCGCTTAATAATTCTCACGCGCCCTTCAATCATCATCATGCAGAGCAAAGAAGATCACAGTCGTTAGCCTTACCTGTGTCGCTCGTCTAGACAAAACGTCGAGCCTGCTGCCGCCGCCTTGCAGCACCCTTCCATGGCGCATTTTTTTCGCGACTCGCGTTGCGCCATGATGGAGATCAGGATGGGAATGGGCCTCTGGTGGTAGTTCTCAGGTCCTCATAGGACCACTCGAGCGAAGGAGACGGAGCTGCTCCTGATGGCGACGAGATTTACAGGTACTGGCTAGGCTCCTTTGTTCCAAAGGCAGGAACAGTCAGTGCCGCGGTTCTGCCGCGAAGGGGACGCAGGATCGTAAGTGGAAATGCAGATGCGCGACTTGAACCGATGAATCGTACTAGCCGGCGGCGCGAAAGTGAAACACGTTATCTTCTCGTCACAGTCAGAGAGCAAGGGTACTTACATTGCCTGCCTCGGTTGATCGTCTGACTACAACTACGTACTTTGCGCAAAAATTGTAGATACGGTCGTGTGGGCATCGAAAATACTGCTCACTTTCTCTAATCCCTCATCTTGTGTCCTCCGCACAGGAGAACGACAAAAATAGCGAAGCGCGAGCGATGAATGGACATGGAAATTATGTGGTCCAGTAGCTCCTGCGGTTTCTGCTTCTTCTACCCACGAAATTTACAACGCATAGAGAACAAGTAGCTGCTCTACCTCACCCTCGAGCACGACGAAAGTAACAAGTTCTGGCACACCAGTCTTCATTGGTCCGTCTTGTGTAGGCTTTTCCTCTTTCTCCAGCGCAACAAACATTATTTGTTCGCTCTCTCTGTCTCTCTACGGAGTCTCAGGGACCACGACGCACACAACAAGTCGAGGCTATCAATGTGTTAGAGTCCGTGCCCGATGCGCGTGTTTATGGTATCTATTTGAAAAACACTCGAACACTCGTACAAGTTTCAGTTTGAGTGTCGTTTTTATTTCGAACTTAGAACAAATAACGACTACATTGCGCTTGTTTAACAGATATCATATGCGTAAAAACAATGCGAATTTACAAGTTCAAACCACTTTTGAAAGAACGAGTTCTTCACATCAAGAACTGCATCATTTTCATTGTCCCTCTTCCGTGCTACTTATGCAAGCGCTTCCGAATCTGGGCCGTTGTTCGGATTTCCGCCCCAGGTGACCGGGTGCCATTTTGGGTACTGTCGTTTGTACAGGTCCATGCAGATGGTGTCGTTTTGTTTGATCCGGTCGCCGAAGATGCACTTCATGTAGCCGTGGGTCCCCAAAGACTCCCGGATGTTCCCCCGCAGCCCGTGCTTGGTCCGCAATTCCACCGGGCGAAACCACCGAATGTCGTCGGGCTTGAAGAACATGTGGCGGACCACCGCTTTGTTCTTGTGGACGCGGAAGGGATAACCGGCGAGGATGCACCGTTTCACGATTATCTTCTTTGGGTTCGCGTCAATCACCTCGCCCCAAGCTAGCAGGTTCTTTTCCCCGGCAGCTGTCCAGGCGGTGACTCCGGAAACGTTTTTCTGATTCATGGTGTTATTCAGTGCTGTAGTCGCTGTTGTTGTTGATGTTGATTTTGCGTCGTCGGTCATCATCGTTGTGTCGTCTTGTTTCATCCTCATTTCTTGATCCTGCATGTTGTGCCCATCATCCTTCTCAACATTTTTCGTCTCGCCGGACGAGTTAGAACTGCAGACCCTGTCAATATCCCCCGCTTCCTTCTCGAACATGAGAACCGTGCAAGGCGGAAACAAAATCGGTGCGTACACCGAGGCGACGCAGCTCTGGCCCGGGTGGCAGTACCGTTGGTACAGGTGTTTGTCCTTTTCCGCGCAGGATTTTTTCGGTAGCTGGGAGAAAATCGGTCGGGCGAGGAACCTGCGGAAGCCGCAGTGGAATTCGGTTTCGGTTTTGGACTTGATCGACCGGTCGAGGGTTTTGCCGGTGGTGAGGGAATCAGTGCCGGCGGTCGTGCGGTGGATCTGGAAATGCATCACGGACACCTGGTGCTCGTGCTCGAAGAGGGTGGATAAGATCACGGGGCCCTGGACGACCACGGTGGAAGTGCTTGTACTGCTATTTAATTCCCCATCGGTGCTTCTCAGTGTCATGTTCCGCACCATGTTCAAATTCTTCAGCTTTTCCAGCGCAGCTTCCGTGATGTTCCCAATCACAATGTGCACGTACTGGCCCTTGATGCTAGAAGAAGTACTGGCACTAGTACTGTCCTTGTTCCCGTCACTGTTCGTCCATTCCTGCTCCACATCCTCCGCGTGCTGCTCCTTCGCCGCGTTCACACAACTCTTGAAGCCGTCGAACTCCCAGATTCTGGAGTACTCCAAGGGTAAGTCCTCGTAGCGGTCCCACGGGGAGGTTTTCAGCGAGCGGAGACCCCGGTATTTTTGGAACCTAGGGACGAGGGTTATTTTCGTATTGATGTTCGAAAGAATCAAACGATAAACGCAAACTGACAGCTGCACATGAGAGACACACTAGAATCTGTGAAAAAGATAGATGAAGGGTGTGAGGACCTAGAACTTCTATCAGAAATGCTTTTCGACTTTCGCTCAAAGTTCGGCGACAACAAAACGAAAGCGCTTTTCCTGGATTCATACCTGATTTTCGCTTCTGCGGGCGGCAACGGGGTGTCAACCTCGTCCGGGAAATCCAGATCTTCCAATGCGCGCTCTTCAAACTCCATCGTTTTCTTTGTCGGGCACTCCTCCGCGTAGCGGAACAGTTCTTCGTTTAAATCGGAAAAGGAAAAATCGGAGTCCTCATCTTCGTCCCTTTGTTTCAACCCTGCCGTGCCCAGCATCGTTGGCACCGCGCCCTCCGCCGCGTCCGGGATATCGGTCATGGCGTCGGCTGCGATTTTTTCATTTTTTCTTTATTCTTGACGGCTGCTCTAGTGTAGTGTTGGCGGGAAAAAAATATGCGCGATTTTAGATGATCGCTTACGACAAATCACGAAAGAAAGCAAACACATTTTTTGCAACGTCAAAAAAAACCAACTCCTTACCGTCCCCCGCCCCGTCCATCGCACAGTCATTGTTTGCCTCCTGCTCCCCCAAATGCTGCTCATTCTGCGACGGATCGTAGGGCTGCAGCCGCTGAATTTCACTAACTGCTGCACTACCGCCTTCAACAGTACCCACTTTATTCATCCTGACCCGTCTCTGCTTCCCGTCCGCGGTGGCAATTTCCAAAACCGGAAAATCCCCCACTCCGGTCAAATGCACCAGGTTATTGCTGCAGATGCCGGAACCGCGGAGAAAACCGGATAATTTCAATTTCGTTTTGTCGTTCTCGAAATTCGGTTCCGCTTGTTCTATCAGCATGTAGCCCCGGTCTTTTCGGTAGGCCAGGTCTTTCAAATTGGTATTTGAAACGTGGCGGACGAAATTGGTCAAGTCGTTTGGAGTACTGCACTCGAAGAATTTCTCGCCGTTCGGGAACTCTGATTCGAAAAAGCGCTGGACGAGCTTCGACATGGCCTGTTTTTGCTTCTTCGACAACATCTGTTGGGCATGTTTGGAGGTTGTGGTCGTCGTTGTGCTGGAGGAGGAGGAGGAAGAGCAGGAGGAATTCGCGACCGTATCCTGGCTGAACAGCTGTTCCACCATGCTCTGGTAGCTACTATCACCCCCCAGCCCCTGCATCGCCCCCACCACCGTCGGCACGCCCTGGGATTTTAGGCAGGACAGGGTCTCGTACCCAATGTCGTCAAAAGGGCGGGACTCCAGGGACCCGTGGGGTCCCATGCAGAGCACCACCACGTCCGCGACCTTGGCGGCATCTAGGATGTGAAACTTGTCGCGACTGGCAATGTCCCAAAACGTCATGCGCTGGTTACCTGTTCGATGATGGGGGTGGAGATAGATTTAGATTATGCACATTCACATGCGAATAAATGTACTTATCATCATCTTCATGGTGAAGAAGGCACGTCCACGTGTTGCAGCTAATCACTGACTTAGGGTTTTTCATGGTACTCCTGAAACAAGAACCTGATGGTAGATTGGTTCAGGTTGTTTAATCGACGATATCCTCTTCGTCATCTTAAATGCCTGTCAAAGAAGTCGTACCTCTAGTTCCTTGTCCGGCTCCTGGCGCGCTGGTCTGTGCCCAGGGCGGCAAATTGACCGTCACCGGCGAGTACGGAAGGTGTTCCGTTTCGTACCCGACCTGCTTCAGGCACTGGGTTTTCAACAAGTACGGATTTGCGCTGTCGTGTAACGCGACGAAACAGACGAGTTTCGGGGCGGTAGCTTTTGAGTTCTTGTCACCATTGCCAGACTTGTTGTTCTGCTTCTTCTTCCCTTTCGAGGCCAGCAACTGCGGCGCAGGCTGGTTTGGTCCGGCCCCGCGCTTCTTGTTGTGCGCCTTCTTGACATTGTTCTGCCCAGAACGGTGGTGATGAGCTTTGGATTTCGGCGGCATGGTCGTGAGTTAGTGGAAGGTTTTTACTCGTTACACAGAAAAATACGATGAAGCGTCGTGCTCTAATTGATAGCAGTAGACGGCGCGTTCCTTTTACGTTCAGACCTTGTATAGCATATGTTGCGCGTACCCGAACGTAATCTATGTTAACATGATCTTCTTCTGGCCTTCCTCGCTTGTAGTTTCACTTTCTGTGCTACGCTTTCTAATTCTAATCCTTCACCTTCTGGCGATCGATCCAGATCCTGCAGGAAAAAAGTAAAATTACGAGCAAAAATCATATCCACCTTGCAATCACATCGATTCAGACTTCGATTTGTTGACATACTAGACATGGTCGTCTAAGGTTCTTCTTCGGGATCATCATATTTTTTGATCCACAAGGAGCACCAACGGAGGCCGTTGGCGTCAACATTGACACTGAATTCCATGTTGAATTTTTGTGTCTCCCTTTATCGTCATGAAGATTTTCAGACACTGACACATTTTGGATCCGCTCGGTGATTGTGAAGAAGGACAAGGTGGAGATTATCTGGTTCATTAGTGCTTATTCATCTTTTCATCAGTAAGAAAGAACCACTCTTGTCGTGATCGTCAGTTCATGCGAACGACTCCACTGGGATCAGACTGACATATGAGGAACTCCTGTGCTCGGAACGTACACGTAGTTGGAGATCGATCGGATCACAATTATCATTCATTCATGTAAATCTGGATAGTACGGACTTCGAGGCGAACAGACCGTTATTTCAGGTCTAGGGATCTCCTGCTGGCACCCTACTGCTTGTGGTTTTTCTTACCACATTTTTCACACAGTTTTCGGCACTTTGTTCGCTAGACAGAGTTTCCCAGAAAAAAGGGCAACATTTTCACAGCTCCAATACTTTGTCGTCCTTGTTCGCTTGCAATTTGATGTGCTCTACACATAGTGGGAGTGAGTGCCGCATTTCGTTATACATAAATGCGGCCACTTGAGTTCGAGTTGTAGAACTTACCAGGAGGACCAATAATTTTTTCTTCCGTAACTGGTCCACCAACTTCTCTTTTTCTTCGCCTTCTTTTCCGCATCACTCTCGATGAATTGGAACGGCGCACTACATAAACCGTTGCAATGGGAACTCATATCGAAGATAAGACGGGTCGCAAAGAGTAACGGCACAACAGACGTCCAATAGTGATTCCACACTGCGTTGAGGAAGATGTTTTCGTAGAACAAAACCGCCTTTAACGCGAAGCTCAACACGCGCACCCCTGCTCCGACGGCGGTCAGGGTAAAATGGGTACCAATCGCGAAAACGAGCGTGAGCAGGTTGTAGACAATTGCGAGGTAAGACCGTAGCTGACCTTCAGCGGCAGGAACGTTAAAATTTTCTAGGAAGATCGTGTAGGCGGAAAGCATGAAACTTGTGCCATCGGTGGTGGAAGCAGCTGTGGGCGGAGAGATGAACGTGTGTAAAAACCCGCCGGAACTCGTCCCTAAAAACTCCGCGAAATCGTCAAAAATCAGGCGGCCCGGTTCATCCGTAGAAGTGAGTGCCCATTTGAGGATCGAAATGTCATGATCAGCTGCTCTGTTCTTTGTAGAATGCGACGAGGATATTCCTGTTCCTCCCACGATATCCACAAGGCTTGCGAAGATCACCCGCTTCGAGCCCGCAAACAAAACCTGCGCTATGCACAGCAGCAGCCAGAACCGCACGACCCTGCCACTGTTCACCCACAGCCACTGCGACAAGCGTCTCGCGCGGAAGTGCACCTGCGCGTGTTTGTCCAAAATTGTCCAGCGGCTGATTTGGTACTGGCCCTCCGGAGCAGGATCGTTTTTCGTCGAGGTCAAGTAACTGTGCCGGAAAACGACCACCTCCCAAAACTTTCGGTCCGTCACCCGCCAGGACTTCTTGTAATTGCGTCGCAGCCCCTCGATTTTTGGGGACATCTCGTTTTCCCAGAGGCTGGAAACATGGCAAAGGATGACTTTCGCTCGGTACAGAACGTTCAGAAAGAAGCGCTTCAGCCGGCTGGAGATTGAAGATGCGTTCCTCGTTATTTCTTCTTTGGTTTGCTTGGTCGCAAAGTCGTTGACATTAATGTAGACGAAAGCTACGAGGAATATGACGAGTCGGGCAAAGACGGTGAGTGCACGCAGGATGAACAAGGTGGTCGTGCTTCCTTTTTTCTTCGAAGATTTGGATGCACTCCTTCGTCTTGCCGGCGAGTTTTGAGCGAGTTCCGCCTGCATGGTGTCGGAATCAACATCTGCTGTGAGCTTGTTGACGTTGACGGAATCTTCATTCGGGGAAGGGGATGAATGTGAAGCTGCAGGAGTAGAGCCAACTGTTGAACCCGCCTCGTCCTGCGCCGATGACTTCGTCGGTCCTGAGGAAGTGGCACTGGCTGACGCGTTTTCGACATGATCCCTATGACCTTGGTGCTCGCTCGTCGTGTCATCGCGACTTCTGTTGACCTGGTTCATCTTCGATGACTTCGCTGTTGCGGGTGGCGAAGCCAGCGTCTGGTCACCATCGGTTTTGCCTTCTGTTTTATTTGCATCATGAGTGCGTAGTTTTTGTTTTTCTGTTTCGCTTTCCTCTTTTCTCCTTCCCTCCACTTCCTTTTCCCATAACTGGTCCGCTTCGAAGGGCACGCTGTGGAAAAAATACCGCGTGGACGCGTTCCAACAGAACCAAAAAGTGTCCTTTACGCACAACGCGATAATATGGGAGTGTCAGGATCGAAATCGTCAAAGTTTGTAATGCATAAAACCGATACCAGTTGGCGACCCACTTTCACTTAGCAAGCGGCGCATGACAAATTTTCGGAGCACCGAAATCCAATCTGTCATGCTGTTTTGGCACAGAAGACTGCTTTTGTCATGCTCCTTTAGCAGCTCTATCCCAAACCCTCAATAGGCTCACAATCTGCCCCACTTGCCATCCCGGCAAGACAGGCACTTCATGCCTTGCATTTTATGCATGGCAAATTATTTCAACTTTGTCGATTTCGATCCTGACGCTCCCATAGAGAAACCGCACGATGTAGTCGCACTGGGCGAGAAAGCCGTACCTCGTTTCTTCCAATTCGCGAAAATACTTGGGGTCCCACCGTTCAAAGTGGTCGCCCTTGCGGCGACCCATCACGTTGTCCATGATGGTGTGCTTGATATAGTGACTTTATTTTAACGTGAGTGTCTAGAAGGTTTTCGTTTTTAAGTTACTGCAGCTCTTGGGCAATAGGTAAAACTAAACGGGCGGCTTGCAACTGACGAAGATATCCCGACGTGGACTCCGCATATTCTTTTTTTGTATCTTTTTATCGACTTCTTGTTCTTGCGAAGCTTGTAGTTATATCATGGCGCCTTCGCCTCCAGCCTTCCATATCCAGAGTGATAGACTGTTGCGCAACAAGAAATCTTTCTTGGCGAGGAAGTTCTGGTCTTCACCTTTCCCTAGGATCTGTGAAAATACAGCCAAGATAAAGTCAAACAGAGCAGTGACTTCTTGCTGCGAACAGAAGTCTGAACAATCATATATACAACTTCAACTGCAACGGCTTCGATCTTTGACCAACTACTAGGACCAACACGAGCCACAGCATGAATATATAGGAGTAGATCTTGGTCTTTCTAACTGGTTGCCAATAATACGAAGGAACCTGACGGAGAAGACCTGGATTCGGGTGATCGCTATCCCTGACCTCGGCGGGGGTAATCGCCCTATCGGCCATGGGGTTGGGCCTAACCAAGTACAGTACATCTACGCGAGGCAGAGCCTAGCTGCAATGAGAATGACGGATCACACTCATTGTCATTTTCCTGTACAAACAAAGAACAGACAGAGCGTCGCTGCAGCTGAGTACGTAGTATATACGCAAAGGCAAAGCCAACACGGAGGACCAAACTTGCTCGCCAGGCGTGCCTGCGGTTTCGGATAGCGGGCGCGGGGTGCGTCCCTGCCAACATATCGAAAGGCGCGCGAGCGAGCCAGCAAACACAAATCCATGGCTGCTGACGACGCAGGGTCGGTGGCGTTCCAACACGGACACACACCCCGCGGTCCGCCCGGCGGCCCCCGAGGGAGGGGCCACGCCACCCAGCGGGGAGTGACGTAGAGGGGGCGGCCGGCGGCGGGCGCGCGCCCGCAGCCAAAAGGCGGGAGGGGGATGAAACACGAAGCGGCACCCTCCCCCCCAACAACAACCCCAACAAGACGACGGGGCAAAGACGAGGGAGGGCGCATGTCTGCGGCGCTACGGGGCAGCCAACCGGCGGGCCGGGCGCCGGCCGCGCACGCGCGGCAACAGAAACAAGCAACGGGCCAGCCACGCACGCAGCGGAGCCAGCGAGGCGACGGCCAAGGGCGCGCGCGCGCTCCTGTTGTCTCCTTTGCGCCCTCCGAGGGCGCCCGCTCGTCGGCCCGTCTCTAAGGGGCCTTACTTTCCCCACAGCAAGGCACTTGCGTACGCAGGTTTTGCCGACGACGACCATCGTGCGTGCCGGGCCGGGCGAAGGCTCGCCCTGCTGCCGGCCGGCCCCGGGATTGGAAATCGTCCGAAGCGGGCGGCCGGCCCTACCTTTGAACCCGCCCGGCCCGCGCGCTCTTTTTGCACGACAACGATGGCGCCGCCCATGCCCGCGGGGGCCAGGCCGCGCACCTCGATCGCGGCGGGCTGCCCTCTTTCATAGGGACAACGGCCGGCCACACCTCCGCCCTTCCCTGCTGCTGCCTGCCGAACTGCCGGCGGCGCGCCCCGCCCTGCGCGCCCCATCCTGCTGGCGGCACACCTCCGCCCTCCCCTGCTGCGGCCGGCAACACTCCATCCACATCGGCATCGCGCCTGCGAGCGGCGCTGGGGGCGTGGTTGTGAGCGACACAGAAGCGCCGCGCCCTTATGCAATTCGTTGCCCAATGATAGCCGTCCAGCCTGGGCCACAACTGCTCGGCCACGCACCTGGGAGCCCAATCCGGCCGGCGGCGAGTGTGTGCTGCGGCGACGCTTTCCGGCGCCGGCCCCATGGGCCCGCCCGGCCAACATCAGGGCGCCACCACTTCGCCCGCCCCGCTCGGGCCCGGAGCCACACCGCCCCCGGAGCCAAGGGCCCGGCGCCCCTTCTGGCCCCCGCGCCTGCCCGCCGCCTGCGCCAAGCGGCCGCGCGCGCAGCTAGCACCTTCGAAAAAGAAGGCAGCGCCTGCCGGGGCCGGGGGGCAGGCCCCCCAAAACCACCCCGGGCCCGCCAAACTTGCGACACCGCACCCGCGGGCGAGGCAGCGCCTGCGACCCCGCAATCGAGGGCGCAACACAGGGCCGCGCGCCTAACGCTTTCCGGTGCGGCGCTGGTACTTGAAGAGCCCCGCCGCCCCCGGTACGTAGCACGGGCCGCCCGGCCGACGTCGAACAACTCAACAAAAGGCCCGCAAGCAACTGCCGTGCCCGCCGGTCTGGGACATCAGCCGGCCCGTGCGGGCGCGCCATGGCGGTGGCATACGGCGGGGAGCTGCGCCACATCGCCGCAAACAGCGCCCGCGACCGTGCGGCCGGCGACTTTCTCCTCTGCCGTGCACCCACGCTCTGGACAAGTGGCCCGCCGGGGCGAATATATAAAGCGAAGCGAGCAGCTTTGGCGCGGCTGCTCCGGAAATGCGTCAGAACACCGAAGGCCTCCGGGGCTGGCGCCCATTAATTTACCCCGCTGCCGAACCAGCAGGCGCGGGGAGCGCCCATGGCCTGGCCTGGCTTCGCAGCGAGCCACGGCCGGCGCGCGGCGCGCCACTCAAAGGCAGGGGCGCCCGCGCACAGGGCTGGGGCTCCTCGCCACCCCAGGGGAAGGGGCGCGCCGGGTCTGCTCTGGTACTCCGGCGCCTTTGCTCTCTCTTCTTGAGCTCACAGAGCCCCGCCCGGCGGCTCTTGGCGCGTGCCTGTGGTGAAAGTCCTGGCCTTTTTTTGATGCCGCAGCAGGCCGTCAAGGCACAATCTTAAAAGAAGTTTGTCGTCCGGAAAACACAAGAACACCGCAAGTAGCTACGTGAGACGAAATGAAATTTGCTACCAGCATCGGCGCATTCTGGCTTCCCATGGGTAAAAATTAGGCGTCCGATGGTATTCTCCTCCATATCGGATGTGTATACTTTCGTATCTATTCGTATGATGATGGTGACGTCCATGATGTACCACCCATCTATACTGTCTGACTTTCCATGGGCTCAGAAATCAGATTTGAAAGTCGCTACTTAGATTTTCGTCGCTTATCGTTTTCTTTATTTTCTAAATTGAAATTGCCAAAAATTATTTGCTCTTATTTGGATCTCGATCGGGCTTAATACTCAAGATTGGAAAACGAGAAGTCCACTTTATTTCATTCCAGGCCATTCAAAAATGAATGCATCGCGGCCATTCATCTCCCAGCACTCAAGCCCCGATCTCCGCCTTGACGATATCTTGAACCTTGCGTCTTTTCACATTCAGCCTCTCCCGCATGGCCGACATTTCCGCGTTTGCTTCGTGGTCACTTTCCCCGGGTTCCTCCTTTTTCGCACCGCCGGGAGCCTTTTTCACCCGACGGGGCTCGCGCAGCGCAGCGGATTGCCCCGTGCCGGCCCCGCGTATTCGGTACCTGGTGTTCATATGTTGACCATATCAATACATGAGCGATTGGGACCACGCCGCCGGGTCTATTGTTTTACACCATGCAGAAATCTTCGTGAAAGCACAAGCGCCACACATGTGTCAACATGTCATGGAGCTGCATGCAGCTGCGACTACAGACTACACCATGAGCATCTATATCCAGTAGAAGAAAATATAAAACAGCTGCGAAATCAAGATCAAATCCAACCTGCTTTCATCCACCGCGCCTTCGATCAAAAAGTTGTGTACGGAGCCACCGACGGCGTGCATCATCCCGGTGTTTTCGTCCAGGGACGTGACCCGCGCGCCCGCGCCGCCGAACAAGCCGCCGCCGAGGCCGCCCATAAACCCGGCGTCCTTGCTTCGGCCGCCCAACCCGCTGCCCGGGTCCGGTTGCGCCTTGCAGAACTGGTCGAGGGGAAGCTCGGGAACCTCAACCGTCTGCAGTACGCTCATGATGTAGTCCACGTCCGGGGCTGATCCCTTCAGCACCTGCTGTGAGGTTAGGTGTGGAGGACATTTCTTTTTGATAGTATGTGGGTCGCGATAGGAAAAAAAGCGGGTTTTTGTCGAGCAGGAACAAAAAAAAGTATATAGTCAATCTGCGACTGTGTCTTGTACTTCATCTACTCACTCTCCAATAAATCTACCACCTTCAAGACCAAGAGGCATCTTCTAGCATAAGCAAAAGCGTATACGCAAACGCAGAATGAATAAAAAACTAAAAAGCAAGTAGAGAATGACAAACCTTGTGCTTCGGTAGCATTTGCTGGAGGTCCAGCAAGACCTTCGGCAAAATGTTCGACACTTGGCCCAGGTTCTGTCCCGCCGAAGCAATCTGCACCGCGTTCATGGGGTTAAACGCGTGCATCCGCGCCGTGTCCGGTCGGGTTACGCGGTTTTTCGGGGCCGCAGCGGGCTTTTTCTTCGTGGCGGTGTTTACGTCTACTTCCTCGTCCCGAAAGTTGATTCCCTGCATCAAGTCGTCATCGCTGTCCTCAAACTGTGCCAACATGCGTTGCTTCACCATCAGCGCAATCTGATCCTGATCCTGTTCACCTTCCGCGCCGGATGCAGCTGAGCCCTCCTTGTTTAGCAGATTATTTCCTGTGGTTTTATTCCCAGCTGCAGTTGTCTTCGCGGCGGCCTTGCTCGAAACAACCTCCTTCGAATTTTCTGCGTCCTCGGCGAAAGAGCCGGATTTGCTCCGAACCTGGCCGACCGTGAGGAGCCCGCCGCCGCCAGCACCCTGGTTATTATTATTGCGGTCGTTGTGTTTGTTGTTCCTGTTTCTGCCTCGGTTATTCCGCTGCTCCTGCTTTTCCTTCTCCTTTTCTTTCTCCTCCTGGGCGTCGGTGGCTTTCTTGTACTTGTCAAAATTCTTCGACGCGACTGGGTTCAGTTTGTTGGTGTTGGGGGTCAGGTGTTGGAACTTGAACCTATGGCGGATAAAGGAAAATTTGATTTTCTTGAGTTGTTATAAACATTGACACGCACCATCTTCACACGGCGGCGCCGCCGCTCTCCGACGTAGCTGCATAAACATAGTGTCTTCATAATTGTCAGTAGAGGAAGTCGTGATTCATTGTATATCACAACATACCTGCTTTGCGCCTCGGCGAAGGGGAGCACGGAGCTGCAGGAGAAGAAACTGTTCGCACCCGGCTGCAGTATGGAGCTGAGCAGGTTCGCGCGCAAGAAGTTGGGTCGGTTGTAGTCCTGGTCGAGGTGGTAGGTGTGGATGATTTTGTCGCTGTGAAACGCGTCCCGCATGTCGTAGTGGGACAACGTCTTTCCCTTTTGCCGCTTCCCCCGTCCCTTCTTTCCACCCTGTTGTTGCTGCTGCTGTTGCTGCTGAAATTGCTGGAATTCGTCCTCGAAGGCTGATAGTGATGTTTTTTCGACGTTAGAAATTTATATCCTGGAGCTGCAGAATGTCAATGTCACATAGAGACAGAGGAACTACTTCCTCTCTTTCGAGACTTCTACACACGGCAGAGCGAAGAACAAGAACGACCACATCCAGAAGACAAGTACTTATAAAAAATCCTACCAGCTGCCGGGTCGGTCGGATCGCCGCTGACGTGCAGCATGGTCGTCAGGGTGTCGTTCAAAAACGCGTTGATCGCCGCGTCCTCGTGCGCGTCAGACAGAATATGGTCGCCGACTAAGCTCTCCGCTTGCACCAGCGCCACGTCGGGGACCGACTCGAGGAGAAACTGGTTTTTTTGCTGCAGACTATGCACTGCAACAGCATCGCACTCGTACGAATCGCATTCATGCATGACAGATCTACATCTCTACTACGCTAATCAGCATTACAAACTCAATTTATATCATGCACATGCTGAGCAAATCTGTGATGCGATTCATACTAGTGCGTTACTTTTGCAGTGCATACAGAATCTTCGTAAAGGAATCTTGGTCGTCGCCGTAGGACTGCTTATGCACTGCAAATATGTCAGGGTCTGGAAGGATGTGAACTTGTGATGCGCATTTCACAACACACGCAAATCTCTCATGCATAGGCAGCAAAAGATGTCCACTTCCTGTCACCGAAGTGCGGGATTTGTCATGCGGATTAGGCATTGCGAAACCTTCTCGAAACCTGTGATGCTACGGCTTCCATGCCAGACCTTCTGCGTCATGCAAAAACAGCATGACATCTTCCTGACTCAGACATATTTGCATTTGATACTGCTGTAATCGGATCAATTTCTCAAAGAGAAACTTAAAGCCCTGCCCCAGTTTCTGCTTCTCGGTTTGGACCCGCTTGTCCTTCTGGTTTCGGTTGTCGGATTTGTGCTGAATCTCGCGGAGGAGTTTGTAGCACTTCTGCATGGCCAGGGTAAGTTCGTCCCGGGCGGCGGCTAAATCGTTGACCGAAATCAGAAAGTTGACGAAGGACGCAACTAAAGACGGCTCAAAAGTCTCCACCGTGCGGAAGCGGTCTAGGGCTGTATAGAAGAATTCGTGAGGTTTTAATTTGCTGGAAACCGAAACTGCATCAATTTCCAGCGTTAGTGTAGGTCTGCAAAAATAAAAGCAAAATCTCATGTTGATCAGCATCAATAACAGAAGAACTAGCCGTCATGATCCAATAGCAATACCAAGACGAAGAAGTTGTTTAATACCGATTTTGTAAATCTGCGCACAGCGATCCCTCTCCCCGAAGCAGTGGTATTCCACCAACGCCTGACTGGCGTACACTTCCCAGGTCAACTTTTGGTGGTTGTTGATGAAGACTTTTTTCAACAAATAATCCCGCCACTGGTCGGGACCCGCTTGGCGACGGATGAAATTCAAAAAATGGATGATGACCAGCGCGTACTGCTCCCCCTCGAAGAACGGCTCTTGCAAAAGTTTCTCGTACAACGTGAAAACGAGTTTGTATTTCTGCTCCTTGCTGCTCCCTTGGCGGAACTTCGAGGTGTGGGGGATCTCGATTTCCGGATCCTCCTCGTCAAAATCAAACTCGATTTTGTCCGGATCGTCGGGATTATTTTTCTGCTTCGCCGTTTTCTGCAGCACCAAATCCATATCTTTCAACAGCGTCGCATATTCCGGCGAATTCTCAATGTCGAAGATCGCTTCATGGAGAGAGCTATTGATTGCAAATATGTCTGGGTCTTGTGTAAGGATGCGAACTTGTGATGCATACTTAGACCACACAAAAATCTGTCATGCTTGGACAGCAAAAGATGAAGCTCTTTTTCCTGTCGCCGAAAGAAGGCATTTGTCATGCGGATTAGGCATTGGAAAACCGTCTCAAAACCTGTGATGCTAAGCCTTGCATGGCACACCTTCTGTGTCAAGCAGACACAGCATCACAAACCTCAGCAATCTTCCTGACCTAGACATATTTGCATTTGATAAGAGCCGGAAGTGCTTGCTTGGCTGTTCATCACATCGCCGAGCAACGTCGCGTTGAAGTGCTTCTTGTAGATCAGCTCCTCGAAATTGGTGATGTAACTCAACCGCAGGAACAAATCGTTGGGGAGTTTCTCGCAGGCGATTTTCAAAACCTGCAAGGCTTTCACCGGAGAAAAGGTGTAGAGAAACTGGTAGAAGCTGTACCAGAAGTCGGCAAAGCAGGAGGTGATTAGAAGCATGTTTTGGTACAGGAAAATCACTCGCGTTTGGTAATCCGCGACCTCGAGCTTCAACGGGTTCCCGCGCTCAAATTGCACGATCTGCTCGCAATTGGACAGTAGTTCCGCCCATTTGAGCAGTTGGTTCGTCGATTTCGAGGGGGTTTTGGACAAAACGGAGACTTCGGGTTGGGGGATGGTCAGCGTGTCGACGTTTTGGTACAGTTTTTCGAGTTTCTGGTAGACGTTTTTCGCGTTGGTGATTTTGTGGTAAAATTCCTTCACGACACCCTCCCTGTCCATCGTGTTGGAGAGGGAATGTTTGTGCCCGATCAGCTTGTCCTCGAACGTTTCGTAAGCTTTCACAATCTTGTCGACGCAGGAAGAAGGACTGGTGCAGGCCTGATAGTCATTTTAATATGGCAACAAGATCGTGTGACATTAAAAATTGCATGACAAGTACAACCTGTCAAAAATGCTCTCAAGTCAGAACAGGTCGCAAGAATCGCGGTCGTGCTGTATCGCAACTAAAAAAAGGATGGCGAAGTATCTTCAACATCCACTACGGTCATAAGCGTATGGTACGTTCTGCAGACTGCAACAGCAACTGCTCCGTTCATGTAAAACAAGTTCCACGACTTCCAACATGGAATGGGAATCTGAAATAAAAAAACGTCCACACCCAACTACATCCAGCATTAGAATATACCAAGTAGCTGTACCTGTCTCGATAGCCTTCGGATGTGCTCCAGGGACAGCCTCGTCTTGACCGATATGTAGCTGTCGGAGGGAGCTTTTTTCGCGATCCACTTAATGGACTCGTCCTCGTCGTGCGTGAGCGGGATGTGCCCGCCGCACTTGTTCGCAAGTTCCGTTTCCTCTTCCGCCAGTTTTGCCGCATCCGCGTCTGGGTCGCCCAGTAACAAAGCAGGGTCGTAGTCGTCTAGAATCAGTTCGTCTCGGTACTTATGCACTGCAAAAGTATCGCACTCGTAGTCATTGCTGTTATGCATTACAAATCTTTGTTTTGCGGCAAACCAGCATGAGAAATTCCATTTGTCATGCTGAGGAAATTTGTCATGCGATTTATACTAGTACGATACTTTTGCAATGCATAGTACTTGTACTGGTAGTTCCACACGGCTTTCAGCAGCGCGATGTACTCCTGAAACAAATTATCCACAGCACATTTCCCGTACACGACGTACAAATGCGGTTTCTGCATGACAAAGCTTTCACTGAATCCTATTCAGCAAGACAAATGGCATCCTCCAAGTTGGTTGTGACATAATTTGTGATGCATTTTGTACATGTACAGGAAATTTGCATTGCATAAAAATCCCCGCATCGGTGGTCGTGGGATATCACGTCGATCGCCGCGTGCATGACTGCAACGACGCCTTTCACCGTGACGCACCGCTTGCAGTACTCGATGTACTGCCGCCACAGTTCCACGTGCGGGCAACGCCGGACCGCATCGTTATACACGGCAAGCGCGTTGACCTCGTCGGTGTTCTCCCAGTGTTTCGCGTATCGCAGCCACAGCGCCGTTTGCGTCGGGTTCTTTTCCAGCGACTGCTCGATCTCGTCGATCCGCATGGAATCCACGCTGATCGACGGCATGACGGGCGAAGTGAAGATCGGTGTCTGATCCTCGCGGTCTTCAGGTCTCAAAAATGACCAGGGAATAAAATCGTGTTTTCAACACACGACGCGACGTCCTGCTTAGTACAAAAAGATCTCGCTCGTCGTGGTGGGTGATCGGGATGCTGTGGGAGGTCTCATGGTGTCAAACATTTGTTTTTTGGGATTAAACAGGGTACTAGGCGGGGATTAAGATTATACTACGTACTGCTGTACGTGTGTTCAGTCTCTGTTAGAAATACGGTAAAGAACGTTCTTTCTCTTTATGTCTAAAGAAAGGGCTGGACCTTGACTTCTTAAGATAGAACTAGAAGTCGTACTCATCGAAAAATAAATTAGTTACGTCTACTTCATCGCGCGGCCTGGCTCTGAAAAAAATAAACCGCAAAACTTCGAAAAATGAAGTTCAAAAAGGAGATCGTCTTTGTTGACAATGCCGTAATCTAGAAGTACAACGGCGCGGCGGGACTATAGTTTTACAAAAAATGGATCGCTTGTTGTGTGTTCACTTTATCCTCGCGAAACAGGCCAAGACCTTCGCCTTAGAAATGGGAAAGCTGATGAAAAGTGACGGGGGATCATAAGTCGCGGTGCATGTTGATCTTCGGAAAAGCAAGGGCTAGACGAGATCTTCGTCTTGATCGTTCCATAGACAAAGTTCTTTGTGCCGTGGCTTTAACTGTCAGAAGAAGGAGAAGCTCCAGCTCCAGGATTGCCATCACAGCAAATCAATGTAGGAATTCGTAGCCTTGCAAAACCAATAGAAATGCAGTTTTTCTTTTTTTTCTTCGGAGACAGAATGCAATGTCATACTAGAATGGTGCGTAAATGCATCCTTCGCAAAATCTACCGTAAGTCTGTGTTTGCTCTGGAACTGTTTACCAAAGCCCGTCAAAGCGAAAGCGTGCATTGCAGTTTGCAGCAATGAATTGTGATTGATGTGAAGCGCCAGATCATCACAGCATTTTAACATTCAGGTCACATCATCTCTACGGTCTTCGTGACCATCGCAGCAACGCTTTCTTCAATCTCATGAATCGGCGCGCCCTCGCACATGTACGCCGGAGATGTCACCACTTTGTTCTTTGTGTCCACGTGGGCGTCGCTCAGCGGCTTTTCCACGTGCGTCGCCCCCACCGCCTTAATAGCGCCAACCGTGCCGGCGTAACTGTGTTTTGTTTCGTAGGAAGTAGCATTAGCTGAAAGCCACAGGAATATCAGAGCTAAAGTTGAAAATTAAAAACATGAGGACAACGACAAGTGCATCACCGGCATCTACTATCACACTGTAAAACATTGAAGGGCACGACGCCAATCTTAATGTACGGCCAGTCCGGTGATTCCGTCTCGCTTCCAACGGTTACCTCCACCCCTGCACTTTCTCCTAACGCCTTGGCGGCAATTCCCGGCGCGATGCAGCAGAACCCCATCGGTTTGCCGATGCTGTGAAAGTCTTTGACCACGCGCTCCACTTCTTTCTCCAGCGTCACCTCGGGGCCCTTCACCGCTAGATCGCACAGGTTTTTCGCCGCGCCGAATCCGCCGGGAAAGATCAAACCGTCGTAATCGGCTGCTTTCAGATCCTTCAAGTCCTGGATTTTCCCACGTGCTATCCGGGCGGATTCGACCAGGACGTTCCTTGTCTCCTTCTCCATCGGCTCCCCCTTGGTGTGGTCGATAACGTGCATCTGCGGGATGTTGGGCGCGAAGCACTGGTACGCAACTTTCTTCTTCGACAAGGTATTAAGCGTGAATACCGCCTCGTGGATCTCGCTACCGTCGTACACGCCGCAACCCGCAAGGACCACAGCGACTTTTTTGCCGCTGTGGGAGACACTGCTACGGGCGAGCATGGTAGTGATCAGCTATCTTCCTAGACTTCTACTTGCGGTATTCCGAGATAAAAAAATTTCCGCCTCGAGTGGACTTCGGCGACTTGTCGTTACTTTATGGTTGTCGTATTTTGCCAGTGAGTGATAGATTTGTTTACGGTAGTTTATTTACCAGTATTTTTAAAGCGGTAGAGCAATAAAGAGAAGGTGAAGATGAACATCCAGCCTCATTGGTGATGCCGAAGCCAATTATTGGTGATGCCGAAGCCCATCACAAAATCTGTAGCGGCTTGTTTGTAGCAAGCTAATCACGCAAACGCAGCTTGTGTAGTTGTAGTTGTACTGAAAGGCGAATGAAAATAAACAGAAGACTGTGTTTTCTTGATAGGAGCGGCAATAGAGCTCCCTGATCTCGAATTTGAAGATGAAGTCCACCTGAGTTCTTCCTTCCTGCACTGGTTCATCAAATGCAGGCGAATAGCCTGCGCGAGTGGTATGCAGCTTCGCCCCTCCATTGCTTTTCCGAGCAGCGCCAGATCCTTGGAGGAGCAGGCGGAAACGTTCTGTCGAGCGTAGGTGGCCAGGTTCTGAGCGAAGGCAAACTCCGCTGGCGACAGTGCAAGGTTTATTGCTCCGTGTGCAGATGTGCTGGTACTACAGCCTGAAGTAGATGATGTGCTTGCTCCCTGCCTTGTTCGCATCTTCTCCTCACTTGTTCGTAACAGCAATTCTAAAATCTGGAACCGCTGCGGCAAACGGCGAATGTCTTCCACGGTCAGCGCCGCTAGCTTGTAATTCAGCACTGCCCGCAGTTTTCGCGCGAACGGCCCTGGGTCCTCTTCAGCTAGAGTCCGCCCTGTCGCGCCCTTCATCTCGGCTTCGGAATAATTATCTTCTTCAGAAAGAACAAGCTGGTTCATTATTGTTTCCTGCCACAGGAGCGAAAAAACCTCGCTGACGCCCATGGCCGACAGCATGGCCCGTTCCCGGGAGCAGGACGCCTCGTACAGCGACTTCAGTTCCGGATCGTGCTCCGCACGGGCTTGGAGCCTCAGGAGGTCACGGAGAGGGAGGATGCTCAGGTGCTGGGTCGAAAGCACCGTGAGGATTTGCGAGCGTTTGCGATCGGTTTGGTCTTGTTCGAAGATCCTCGCGTGTGTTTTCTTCGTCTGGAGGCCCTCAACGTGAGTAGCGCCTACCTCCCCGTCAGGAATTTGTGCGGCGGCCGTTAGAGACGATAGATTGCTGCGCTCAGTACACAAGAACTCTTTGCAAGAATGACGATCGTCGATCGCAAGCGAAACCAGAAAACCTGTCAGCGTGAAACGATGAAGGGTTGTCGTCGTGCAGCCGCCGTTTATGTTGACACCGCTCGTCCTGGACGACGTCGAAGAGAAGGCTGCTCCCCGTCCTCCGCTGTCAAGAGTCCGGTCCTGCTTCTGTCTCAACGTCCGGAATGCGATTCGCAAAAAGGCGTTAACGCAGTCTACTAGTGTGCGCCGCAGTCTACGTGCGCAAGCAGGGCTTAGGAAGGTTACTGTCACCGTGTTCGCGAGTCTGGTACTAGGTGATATAGTTTTTGCGTGATCAGGTAAATCATTCTCATGATGATCTACTTTGATGTCGCTGCTTTCATGATCCCGGTCTGTCAGTTCAGTCGCCGCCCCTTCATCTTCTGTTACAACCTTTGCGCAGTCCAACTGATTTGCCGTAGCACAACTTCCGAGCGTCTGAGTTGTTCCTACTTCTCTCGCAAACGCAGCCACTTTCTCCAACTCCGCTGCTACGCCCGCAAGAAATTCTTCAGGATCTTCTGTGTCGCCCTGATCTCCACATGATGTTGGCACCATTATTTCCATGAAAGAATAAGAGCCTGGTGTCGCTGTTGTACCTCTTCCGTGCCCACTTCTTAAACCACCTACAGCACTTCTTTCCACGACCATTTCCGCTCGTTCCAGGCTCTGTTTCAGCCTCACCACCAATACCTCAACTAGCGCATGCACCAGATTCGAGTCCGCGATTTCGGCGTGGTAGAAACACCGCAGGGCAAGCACCGCGTCTGCGGTTGTGAGCGTAGCGGACCTCTGGAGCAGGTCATCCGCAACAGTGAGCCACTGTGAGAGCGGGTGGCTGTTCTTCACGTAGTTTATTTGCTCAGGAGGGTTGATGTTCTTGGAACAATCCGGCCGTGTCTCATCTCCGTCATCAGCTCCTGCATTGTCGTTTTCCATCATCAACGCAGCAATTTGTGAGTGCACAGCGTCGTCCGCAGCGATCTCTTGCTCTGTCAGATGCAGTATCAAATGCAAATATGTCTGTGTCTGGAACATTGCCAGGCTTGTCATGCATATTTTGTATGATCCGCGATGCCTGTAATGCATGGTCTAGCATCACAGATTTTTAGAGGGCTTCTTCGCGCCTATTCCGCATGACAAATGCCCTCTCAGCGTATACACAAACTGGACTCCTGTTGTTGGTCCTGCAATACAGATTTTCTTGGAATTCGATTTCGAATTCAAAGACAGCGTTACAAGTTGCAACCTTCCAGACCCAGACACATTTGCAATGCATATGCAGGCTCCGCAGGTGGCGTTTCCTCCTTTCTGCCTCGACGGATAGAATCGCTCTTCTCCTTTGGTTTGCTTCTTTTAACTTTGACTGTAGAAAGTTGCGGGTAGAGTTCGGCATGCGGTGCAGCAGCTCATGGGCATGTTGCGAAGGGGATGTGTTCTCCTTGGGAGTTCTTGTCCGAACTGAAGACGATGTTGACGCGGAAGTTGAGAAAAGGGAAAACGACAAGAACCTCGTAGTGCAGCGTGAAGTCGCTGTTCCCGGTTGTTGCGGGAGCAACGGTGTAGTGGCTATCGCAGAAGGCATCGGTCGAGTTCTCGTCACCAGAGCAGACCGATTCGCTTTCATTGTGGTGGTGGCCATCCTCACAAAGGACGCAACGAATGAATAGAGCAAATGATCGATAATTATCAAGACTCGTGGGCACATTGAGGAACACGAGGAATTATTGTATCAGGGAGTCGTACTTACACAGAAAAAAAGCGATGATCCCGAAAAGGAAGGTAGTACACGGCTCGACAGTTTTGCGTAAAAGAAACGTACGACAAGCAGGATTTTTCTCGTCGGGAAGCAGGTCGATACTTATCGATAACGAGAAGATCATCGTATTTTTTGTACATACAAGTAGAGAACGTGGTCGCGCTCGGCGAAGGTGATCCACTTGTGTACTTGAAGTTGAACCTCCCGGTACTGAGATGAACACCACGACGCGAACATAAATGTCACTCCGATGAAAGCACGAATCTTCGTGATGAGCGCGGCCATATTTTTGATTTTGCGTGTGCATATGTACTATTTGTTGGGTATTTTTCCAGCTTCTCTATACGTATTTCGTTAAAATGGTTTGGGGGTGGCACAGGGGGTGCGGCAATGTTTATTGGTGCCGCAGAGTGGTCTCATGTTCTTTGTTTTCATTTTTCTTGATCTCATCGTACAACTGACGAGATCAATCGAATCAACAGTCCTGACGATCGAATCAACATTATTTTTTTTTCGTCTATAGTCCTCACAGTAAATAATAGCAGAAGGTCGTCGCATTTTGGTGTTTCTGCATATCATATATAAGCATACATGATGTTTGAGTTAGGTCTCCAGCTGGGCGTGAGACCACGACATCGAGGGCGCCTCATTATATTTTAGTTTGGGTCATTTGTGCTACAAACGGGAAAATTTGTATACATGTTAAAGAGTACGACGCAAAAAGCAGTCCATGATAGGCACACGCGGGGAAAGTACAACTGTTATTCATTGTGTTCGTTTTTCTACTGCACGATCCCTCCTTGCGCATGTCCGCTCACACTGGCTGCTCATTCTTCTAAACCAGGCTTGCTGTATTCTTGTCAACATTTCCACTGGTATTTGTTAGTATTGGTATTCGTTGTAGATGTACAGAAGCAAGCAGGGCGGGAGCCAAAGTCATCGCGGCCGGCGACGAAAATGGCGAAGGACTGGAAGGTCTTGCGTTGAGCTCGAGTCACCGCTGGTGCTACTGGCAGCGCTGGAGAAGCCCGAACCCCAAGCCGGTGGCAGAAGAAATAAAGCGGGTTCGTCCTCGGAAAAAGGCGAGGACGGACGTGGGAGCAATCCGGTGGCAGGGCTAGAGAGACCGCTTCTAACGCCGACTCCTACTTCAACTTCTTCGTGCCCCTCGTGGTATGTAGCTGCTACGCCGCCGATCGTGGCAAACGGACTCAAGTTGCCATCATGGCCAAGAGTCGTATACGTGCCTATTCCGCTCTCTGACGAAGTGGACGACGGCACTGGATCCAGGCAGCTTGGGCTGATCAAGCCTCCGAGGTCTGCTGGGCAGCGGTCTACCCTCCACAGCGGCGCCCCCGTAGGGAGTGGAGGCTGCTCGTTGGCGGGGGGGGGGGGTATCGCGGCCGCTTCCGCTTTGTAAAATGTTAATGCGTTTCCTTTTTGAAAATCGTGCATACTAGCGAAAAACTTGCATGAAAACAGAAACTGGTTAGACTTTGAGATGGATATCCATTTAAAGCCATGGATCGGAAAAGCCCCCCCCTCTTCACCGGAAAATTTTTCTGCAAAACACTGGGAGGCGAAAACGGCTAAACTTCACATTAGCACCTACACAATTTGGCGCTCTCTGCTTCATAAATGCCCCATACAAATGAAATGCTGCGCGGTCAACAGAGGCGAAAGGCTGCGCGGGCCATGATCTTGATCTCCTACCAATACCACTACGACTCATATACAATAACAATAATACAAAGCGGCCAACTCCTGTGCCTACGCACTACATGCACACTCTTAAAAATGCCCTCACTTTTTGAGAAATCTCACTTTTGGGCGCCAAAAGTGAGATTCTGGAAAAAGTGAGATTTCAGTGAAATCTCACTTTTTGGGAAATCTCACTTTTGGGCGCCCAAAAGTGAGACTCTGGAAAAAGTGAGATTTCACTGAAATCACACCCGTTTCCCAGTGCCGCACTGGGTAATGGGTGAGATTTCACTGAAATCTCACTTTTTGAGAAATCTCACTTTCGAGCCCAAAAGTGAGATTCTGGAAAAAGTGATACTGGGCTCCAGTGCCGCACTGGAGCCCAGTACCGCACTGGGAAATGGGTGAGATTTCACTGAAATCTCACTTTTTGAGAAATCTCACTTTTGGGCGCCCAAAAGTGAGACTCTGGAAAAAGTGAGACTTCACTGAAGTCTCACTTTTTGAGAAATCTCACTTTTGGGCGCCCAAAAGTGAGACTCTGGAAAAAGTGAGACTTCACTGAAATATCACCCCTTTCCCAGTACCGCAGTGCTGCGGCGTAGCGGTTGCCCGGCGATGTAGAGGTGTCGGACGCGCTCAGGTGCCCGGAAACGAAAATCATTCCCCAGTGAAATCAACCAAAATTTTCCGGTGAGCTAGTCTATTGGGAGGTTCCGAACCATGATTTAAACGTCTCTCCGCTCATGCAAAACCGAAAAAAAACAGCGATCGTGCCAGAAATAGAAATACCGAGATCATCTTTATACATAAAAAAACTACATACCAGCAGATTGAGAAAGGGAACTGGCCGAGACCGAGAACGGAAAAGGAAACCGCTCGCGCTGCAGTTCTTGGCGGCGGAGAAGTGCCTGCCGCGAGAGTGCCTCCAATCCCGGCTTCTCTCGGTCGGTCGTGCCGCTGAATGAAATGCGCATGGCAGCCGGACTCTGATGCTGATGGCTTTGCGAAGTTTTTGCACCTGCGGTGGAACTACGGGAAGCACGGAACCGCTCATGCCGCCCTCCGTGACGACGTCGACCTCGACGTGGACGCGCCTCGATGCTGCCAGAGTGACCCCCGTTGTTCCACTCGGCGTTGCTTTTCCAAAATGTGCTCGTGGCGCCGCGCAACGACGTCTCCGCCCTCTTCGAGGTCAACATTTCCCCGCCGGAGGTTGTGTAGCTGGACGCCTGGTCTTTGTGCGATACGCTCTGGGGATGCTGTCCATGTATCGCAGCCGCCCGGGGGGCAGTCGGATTGTTCCCTGCAAAAGCAGTGGCTGCACAGTTTGTTCGGCTTGTTGTTCCTGACTGCAGATGTTGACATGTCGGGCCTCGCCGTGATATTAGTGGCTGGTATCGACAACTCTGGCTGGTGCGCCAGGGCAGTGCTGACGAGAGCGACACTGACGAACAAGACGAGTAGGCATAATACGGAAAATCGATCCCCGTCCATGCGGACTCGTGCTCCTCGTGGATGGTTAACATGGTGGCACGAGAAACGTGACAAGAGGAGGGGACAAGAAATAGAAACACCGCGACCAGAATAGGACCGCCTAGAAGTGGTCCTGATCCTGTACGCCCGCGCTCCACCTTCTCTGCGTAACGCGGAGGGTCCACTGTACGGCAGAAGTGCGAGGCGCGGGCTCGGAATCGGATGCGGGACGACATATCGAATAATTTTAATTTGACTTCTTAGAAGGGTAGTGCTTGTGACGCTTTTATATTTATCGTTTACAACAAATAAGGGTAGTGCTTGAAAAGCTGCTCATGCTCATCGCTTTATCTTTTCGTTATACTTTTTGTCTTTGCAAGGTGGTCCTCGTGACTGAGCACTACCTACATCTTGGTCTACTCTAGGTTTTGCCTCTAGGTTTTTTTGGGATTGAGATAAAGAGCACCACTCCAAGAATCAAAAGAATAGATCGATGCGCTTGATTTCTTGTGCTGTATGTGTATTTTTCAATATTATCATTTAGGTAATTGCCATCTCCTACTTTGGATTTTGTTGGTTGCTCGCTTTTCTCGAGTTGTGCCGATCGATGTAAAAAAACAAACGGCGCAAAATACGGAAAGAAAAAGATCGTTTCAAACTACGAACTTGATCGATGCTATGCGCAAGACAGGAGGACCTTGGAGTTCGAGAACAAGCTCACGTCAAAAATGAGAACGACGACAAATATCTTCAACAGAGCCAAAAAAATCCGCGCCACTCGAGTGGCTGTGGTGCGTCATCAAAGTTAAAGTAGAAGCGACGTTCTTGTCGAAGATGCTATGATGAATCAACGCGGTGCGTGGGATCATCATGTTGCTTTACTCACCATCGAATCACATCTTTCCGAAGCGACGCGAAAACCGAGATCCTGGCGTCAACAAACTGAAACTTTTCACAAGCTCGCCGGCGACATTGAAATCTTTGTTTACTGCCACGTCAGCTCAGGCCTCTTGGCACTGCTATGTCAAGTTTTAGTGTTTCGTGCGTATGTCAATGTGGAAGATCTTTTACGAAAACATTCTTTTGTTCTTGTCGATCGTTAGCCCGAACCAGAGCAAGGATGCGCTCGTTTCACTTTTTTGTGTTTCTTGCTTCCCTGTCAGCGCGCAGCTTTCGCAACCGCTCCAAGGTAGAGAGCGTTGACGGCGGCTCGTCCGGTCCTCTGGGGGGTTCCTGATGTTGATGTTGATGAGAGTGGAACGGATAAAAAAATTTCAAATTTTCGCATTGAAAGAATGATGTGCATCTCGAACAGGTTGGTCACAGTCTGTGTTTTGAACATTAAGACAAAAAAAAAGCAGTACTGAAATACCCCTCGAAGCCCCACCCCCGCCCGCCCCCCGCCTGATCCGGGAGATTCCCCACGCCGACTGGCCGGCACAAAGCGTGAAGAGCCGGACGCAGCTGGAGACTGCCGCCGCGCCTTCGTGCCGTCCGTAGGTATGGCGGTCTGCGCTCGGAGGTTCTGCAACTGCTGGGTGTGCGAAGACAGGCCGCGCGGGCCGCCGTCAGCACCAGCGGCGGTGCGTCCACCAGAACCGCTGCGCCCGGTCCGGACTCCACCCGCTCCTGCTGGAGTTGTGCGGTTACTGTCTCGGGAACGCCGCGCGGTCATGGCACGTAGCCGTTCTAACGCGGAGCTGGTTTGCGGTCCCGTTGGAGCCGCGGTGGCAGATGTTGACGAAGTGTTTATCGATGCACCGGGAGCAGGCCCAAGAAGCCCACCTAGGATTTTCACGCGCTCAGGTTCTTCTCTTGATGAACTGGGTGGCCCTGAAGAAGAAGATGCAGGAGGAACAACAGCCGCTGTCGACAATGGCTGCAACAAGGAATCGCCAACATCTCGTGAAGACGCATCGCCACTTTTATTTTGCAAATCGATTTTTCCAACAACTCCGGCGGCGGATGAGGGCCCAGCGCCAACATCTGAGGGACTTTTACTCGTCGTTGTGTCTAATTTCATTTGGAACATATTCGCGAACTTGCTAAACAAAGCGCCGCCCCGGCCGGATGCACTACTGCTTTTGGAAACGCTCCTGCTGGCGTCCACTTGGAGGTCCTGTCGTGCAGAAGCTCCGGCGAGCGGCACCAGAGTTCTTGTAGTTCCATTTGCAACTATTTCTACCAAGTTGTTTTCTCCGGATGAGGATTTATTTGCCGCAGGAGGAGCAACGACGGTCGTAGTAGCAGGAGGACCAGCACCAGTAATTGCCGTCGCGTTTGGATTGATGATGTTTTCATCTTGTTCCCGTGGACTGTCAAACGCATTGTCATGATCATCACCCGCTCCGGCCCCGGTAGCTGCAGCGCCGTCGTCCAGTTTGGATTTTCGTCGTCGCCCGGCGGAGCTTGCTGCGGGGCTCCCGGGAACCGCAGGAGCATGATCCTCCCGCGCAGGAGCGACATCTTCTGCTTCATCTTGTTTCGCTTGTCCACCAGCCTGCGCACCCGGTTCTCCTCGTGCCCCCAACGTAGTACTACGCGGCGAAACTCCTGCCCCACTGCTTGTAGTGGAAGTTTTCGCGTGCAACAAATCCTGGAAAAAGGGCGACGTTTGCGTGTGCTGCAGAAGGTTCTCCAGAAAGGCGTTGGCTGGTGCGGTGAACTGGGGCTTCGTTCTTCTTTTAGTGCTACGCTGATGTTGATGTTGAGAGGATGAACCTTGTTGCAAACGACCAGCCCCTCCAGATTTACTGTCTTCCGCGACCCACTCACCGAGAAGGAGATCTGGATCTGGGAGTTTGCTCTTGCTGCCGCCAGACTTCGACGCGGAGCGCAAGAATCTTCTCGGAGCTAGATTTGAGGTTGATGAACTACTGCCGTAATTCAACAACATCATGCCGCCCATGTCGATCGAGTCTTGCTCCTCCTCGGACGAGGAAGAACTCAGGTCTTCACTGTCAGACAAGAACGCTTGATGTTCACCGGATTCAATTTCTGGAGCGGACCCCACAATCTTCAGGTCCGTACCTTGACCTTGTCTCACTTGTTGTTGTTCTCCCTCTCCCTTCCGCCGCTTGAAGGAAGCAGAACCTCCCGTCGACAACGCTGACGCACGACCAGCATGGGAAGATGATGATGAGAAATCGACGCTGATCCTAGACTTCACGTCCAGTAGGGACGACCCGGGGTTATCGAGGTCGATGCGTTCCATGTTGAGGAAATTTTTCAGGTCCGCGTCTGTGTCAACCGCGATGGGGACGAAGAGGAGCTCTTGTGATGACTGCTTTTTTTCAGCACCGGTTTCATCATCTGGTGTTGCGAAAAAATTTGTTGCGCCGTGTAGTTTATTGCGCAATTCGGCAATCACATTCGCCAACCGATCTTGTATCTTGTGCCTGGGCTGGAGGTTCCGGTGCAACTGCGAATGTATGTCATGCTGGGCCGACAGGAACGCGCTGATGTACCGCATTAGAGTTGTCTCCAACGCAGTTCCTCGAGTTCCAGATCGGGTTTCCGCCCTCGGTTCCTGCTTCAAGGGAAAGAAGAGCCCCGCCCGGTACGGCAACAGTTGGCTTCGCAGCGATGCGGCAAGAAAAGTTGCTGACGTAGATGAAGAGGCCGCTTTTTCTGACGCACCAGCACTTGCTGTTCTACTTCCGTCTTGTACGGCGGCATCCTCACTTCTCTTGTGAAAATCGACAAACACGAAAATCGGCAAACCGAAGCTGCTTGAATTCATTCTCACCCTCGCCAGTTCCTCTTGCGAGCAGTTTTCGATGAGTGGGAGCGCCAACTCTTTCGCTTCGTCCACGTACGCGGCGACCTCGTCCCGCAGCCCCGAAAAGCGGTCGCGGCGGCCGAAGGTATCGTGGATACACGCGATACAGAGGAGCGAGTTCTGCAGCAGAGCGTTTTTTCGAGCCTCTTTGGGGAGAAAGTTTGGGGCAGCAGTTTTGAAATCCGGAACGGCCCACACGTTCACACGGAGAAGTCTGGTTGTACTATCAGAAGACGTCGCAGTCGCTTGGTGTGTAGTCCCACTGGCACCTCTAGGGGGCGGTGGTGGGAAAGAAGAAGAGGGTCGTCCTGGAGGGCCTAGTACGACACCTCCGACAGAAGTGTCAACAACTACATCATCTGCAGGTGGCAGAAGAAGATCTATGTAGGTGAAGTCCACCAAGCGGGACGAGCCATTTGCTGGTGTCACAGCTCGGACGACGTCTTGTTCTTTGTCTCTCCCTGATTTTCCTGCCACTTTCGCTGCGGTTCCTGCCCCCACTATGGTCGTGCCTTCAATCGCGTAGTAGTCCTTTCTAGGCGCCGTCGACGAAGAAGCTCTTTCAACAAGGTTCAGGATTTTCGACTTGTTCCTCGCACCGGACGCTGCTCCTGTCAGAAGTTGAAGCGCCGCAGCGGCGCCTCCTGGTTTATTAACATTTGGCGAAAGTGGAGAAGCAGGTGCTTCTTGTCCTTGTGTCCCCGGTGAAGATGTGGCACAGCTATCGACAAAGCTGCGAAAAAACGCTTTCCGTGCACTACCAACGACGAACAGATTGCATTCCGCGTTAATAGCCTGCTGTCGCTGCTCTTGTTGACCCGATGAATCACTGCTGCGTGGTGGTCCAGCCGCGGATTCCGCGACCACATCGCTCCCATGATGGTCACCTTTTGCGTCGGAACCTCGATTCAGGAGCAATTCTTGCGCAAAAATCGCCGGTAATGGAGGAATGCCACTTATCATTATTTTTATTTCACAAACTGAAAAACAAAAATCAGGTACACGTAGAAGTACACGACTAAGGCCGCAAACAAGGTCCTAGATTTCTTCTTGGAAATTTAAATTCTTTCATCAGTGCTTTCGCAGTATTTCATTCAGTTTCACAAACTTCTACATGCGGCCGTAGATCGCCCACCTCTTCGTGGCTAATTTTATTTACCAGAGGTTTATTGCTATGGGTGCTTCTTTGAAAATGTAGATGAAGCAAAAAACCGCTACCACGAAAAGACGAAGACGAACCATAATGAAAGAAAGAGGCAGGAGACTACCTGTGCAGTGTGGTAGTGGAAAATAAGCACCGAGCAACGTAAGTACTTTTACCTCTTCTACTCAGTCATGCAAATAACTAAAGCTTCCAATTCCAAATCCGAACGCGTGCGGTTTGCGTTTGCTCACGGTCTCTCTATAACTCCAGGGTCAGGGACGACTACTTGTTGAACATGACACGATACAACAGCCGACAAGGATGATTCCGGTAAAGGCAGATATAGACCATTTTTCCTTCTGGCTCTTTGCGATGGTGGTGCATCGCGTCTGTCATCTCGCACCATCCAGGAGCGGGAGCCTCGTCGAAGTTGTGCTTCTTTGACTTCAGATCTACTACGCGTTGTACTCGCGGCGTTCGTCACTATTACACGGCGCATATATTCAACATGAACATATCGCAATTTTACAATCTCTCTCTCTGCGTAGAATAGAACTCTATAGATGACCCTTGTCCTAGGCGTGGACCGCTTGCGACTGCAAGCTGCAGGAGAACTTGCGTTTTCTCTCGAATGAGATGTAAAACACTTTCCTGGGACGCTCAAGACCGGCCAAAAATGTGCCGACCTGGTGCTGAGCGTGCGCGCTCGGCGAGAACTTTCACCAAAACACAGGAACCTGGAATGCGTCCAAAAGCTGTGTATAGCTCATCGCGTGAACTGACAGCCTAGGTCATACTATAAGTAAGCAACGCGTGACTCGCGAATCTTGCAACGCAGAATGTATACTTCAAACTCTTATACAATGTCATCAAAAACTATGTCCGATCGTGATGTGTCAACTCGAATGAATTTCTCTGATGCTTTGCACCACTTGGTGGGCTCGTGATACTGACTCATGGAAACGCCAGGGATCTCACCGAACTTTGCATGTGTCTCGAGCTTCATGGCGCTTCGCGCAATCAAAATCGATGATTTCGAGTAGTCACACATCTCTTCGAAAGCCCCTGGGAAATTGGAGATTATGTAGAACAGGAATCTGGGACGAGTGGGAATGTCCGCCACGTTGAATCCCGTCGGGACCCGGTCGATCCATGGCGACAAGGCCAGCGCGGAGCACGACGACCAGAAGAATAGCGCCATCGTGGCCATGTGCTGCTTGGGCGAATTCTGGTTCAAGAATGCATTCTTCGCACTGTCGTTGTCGACTGACAACCGGAAATGACTCTTCGGCCGTAGGACGCTCGCAAACTCGTGCACTGCGACCACCGGAGCCACCGTTTCGAGGAACGATATGGGATGCTTGATCGGAACCGAAGATGACAAATCAGATTCAACTACACGTAGAAATCGACCATACAATTTCCCAGCAGAAACAAAAACGGCCGAGTGCCAGCCCGAACCGTGGCTGTACGAAGCATCAGTGTACAAAAGCAGGTTGTCATCTTCCGGTCGTTCAAACACAGGACGTTTCTTCAAGTTGGCCGCAAGGATGAGCTTGATGTTGTGCAAGCACTGCTTCACCTTGTCGGAAAATGCGGCACCTCCTGACTGCGGGAGGTGGATGAACTGCGCCAACGGTTTCAAGACTGGATTGTAACGGCGGTCCACTAATGCGGACAGGCAGAACATCACCTTGCCGTGTAGCGACTCTGCTACGTCGGTGGGGAGCGAGGCGGAAGCGAGGGCAGTATCGATGATGGAAGTGATGCTGTTCGCTCGCTGCATGGACACAAAAAACTCGGGCGTGTCGGCAGCCAGATCAAACACCAAGCCCAAGACTTCGGTGACCTTCTCCAGCTTCACCTTGTTCGGGTGGATGCCGAGCCGCATGATCTGAAATAGGTACAGCACGAGGTCCTTCGCCTTGTCACCAACTGCTTCAGGGACGGGGGAAGCGAAGTCGTCGACGTACACGCTGAGCATCAGTTGGACGAAGAAAACCACGACGCACTTCAATGCCATGGAAACCCGAACCCAACACACGACACTATGGACGTTCCCGAAGATGAGGGTCAGCGCCTCGTAGAACCTGTAAGCCATCCTGTCCAGGTCGAAGACGCACAACCTGTTGCACTTCCTGTGCGACGGGCGGACGGCGATGGTGTTGTACGCTTTGTGGACGTCAACCACTAGCATCATCAACGCGACCAACAGCCCGGGGGCGAATTTTTGGCGCTTGGGATGCGGATAGCCGGCGGCCACTTGAGCAGACTCGACTGAGTCGTGGTACCGCTTCGGCGGTTTCTTCAGCTCGTCCGGTATCGGCGTCCCAGACTCGACGAAAGCGACGAACGCATCTTCGTACTTCTTCTCCAAGGACCGTCCGGCCTTCACTGTCTTCCGGGTCAGCGACACGTAGTTCTGCTCGCGTAACGACGGGTCACGCAAGACCGCGGACGCGCCCAAGATTTCATGGGCCGAGCCCATCGGGACCCCCTTCGACAGATCGCTGCGCGAATTACAAGCGCACGCGGGGTCGATCATCCGAATTTTCGTCTTCTGTTCGACACAGAAACGACGCCACACGTGGCTCCACCCCGCCTTTTTCGCTTGTCTGTACGAGATGCTCTTGGCCAATCGCGCGTGCCCCAACAACGGCTCCACTTCGGTCTCCTCTTCGGTCTGCCTGTAAATCTCACGAATGTGAGCTTCAGACCAATCCGGAGGCGGGGTGCCGGGCTTGTACGAGGCGAGGTTGTGCGGGGGCTCCGTGGTCGAAAACCATGGCTTACGCCGAGTTGATGGAGCACCCCATGCGGAGGGGGCTTTGCAATCCCGAATACAGGTGCCTCCCTGTGCCAGAACCTCCTTCACTACTGCGCGGCCATTGAAACTAGCCTTCTCCAGGACCATGTCGATGAACCCGACGTTGTATTTCCCGTGGAACTTCCGAACCTCGTCGCACATCGATGACTTCAATCGTGTATCACGCGGGGCAGCTGCAGCGTTAGTTGCATCAATTTCCGCGCGAATATCCACGGTCGACAACTTAGTCGCGTCTACTGCGAGGAACTCAGAATTGAGCGGGGAAAATGGAGAACGCTTCCGTTTGTCGCAACCAATCCGCGAAAGCATCTCCTTCCACTTTTTGGAGTAGTCGTTCTGGTCTGACTGCGGGATGGGATCGTCGTAAAACTCCCCTTGCGGGGGAAGGCAAACTTTGCTCATCGTGGACGCTAGTTGATTACGAAAAGGTCATATCGATATCGAGGCGCAAGGAAAAATCTAGCAACGTCGCTCTTCCTTTCGTGACCACGAGGTCCACTCCCTGTGACTCCCTCACTCGACGTGTCTCTCGGAACTAAGACGACGACGACAGACAAACAGTGAGGACAAACACGACGCGCGCCGAAAATACTGCGACTTCTGCAGCGTACTAGAAAAGAAAGTATAGAATAGGTTGACTTCATGGAAATAGAGTAGCAACTGCTACTCGAATGGAAAGCTGATTGTCCGTGAAGTCATGCCCTCTTCGAGGGGAATCGCAATTGCGACGGTCGAATGGGCTGTGCTTTCCGACTGGAAAGGCGGTGGCGTGAAAAACACCAGAGTGCGAATGCACTTATGGAAACATGAGGCGCTCCTGTGACAGGAAAACAGGCAGTGGAATACTGCTAGACATGGAAAGTCGTGGAAAAATATGTAAATAATCGTATAGAGTGCTTGGGGTTGCATTTGACAAAAAACAAGATTGATAACACTGACGAGAGATGATAACTATTTGATGAAACAATGAGTATAAATGTAAGGCGAGATTCATTTTAAGTTGATTTTCTAAAAACTTTTTTGTCAACGCAAAACGCGGACACAAAAAACAGTAGCGATGGAATCACTTCACTTATCATCTGGCTTCTCGTTTTTGTCGTCATTGTTGTCGGAATGATTACTCTCGTCTTCGGACTGGTCGATTTTTACTTCTGGCGGAGACTTCTTCCCCTTCTTCCCCTTGTTCCCCTTCTTTCCTCCCTTGCTTTTTGCTGTGGAAGAAGACTCGCGCTCCGGAAAGTACTTGGAGATGTTATCGCCTTTGTAAATAGAGCCGCCCATCCAATCAAAATACCCGATCTTCGACAGCGCTTGCTTCCCCAAATGGGTAGCTTTGATCGCTTTAAACTGTTCACGGGTTAACTGTGACTTCTTGGAAGGATGCTTCCCGCCCTTGTCGCATTCTACGCAGCCGTTGATGACTTTCGTGCGATTTTCGCACGGCGTGCACTTCATGTAATGCCAACAGTACTTCAAGGACTTTCCTTCGGCGACTAATTCTGCACGCGTAGATGTTTCACGGCGCGGCGAACGGTCACGGCCGGGAATGCGGGAGGAAGAAGAAGTATCCGGGATGTTGAGGATGGCTCGGAACGTGGAGTTGTGAAACATGTTTGCTGTTTGATGCGACACGTTCATGAGTTGCTGCATCTGGAAACGAAAACCAGAAGCGTCGTTGTCGGCGAGCATGAAATAATCACGCGCACGCTCCTGGTAACTGGTCTCGATCGCGACGCCGTCGTGAAAATAGGTCTTGGCCGGTGCGAGTTTGTCCGCCGAAGTCGCCAGCACCTCGTAGAGCTTAGACGTGGCGATCGATTCCCATTCCGATTGGGAAGCAGATTCTGGAATCGCCCGGAAATGATCGTCCATGAGCAATACCAGCTCGTAGGCCTCGGCCGGAGACTCGAAGACCGGGGGCTGCTTTCCGCCGATTGCGAGGTGCCGCAAGAGCGTCGAAGGACGCATTGCTTGGTGTAGTTGTCTTGGTGGTCTTGACATCAGAAACTTGCGCTTGATTCTTGTACGAGTATTTTACTCCGATGTTCGCGGATTGGTGGAGGGTCTTATCCCGTACCATCGCAGAGATTTGCTTGAATGATTCTAACAAAATCCGATCCGACCGGGGAAGATGGTTGATTGCATTCGCGAACGCGGTAGATTCCTGAGCGGTCATCGGGGCGTCGGGGTGCCACGGATCGTTTGCAGATGGGAAGGCTTCCGCCAAACCAGTTACTCCTTGCGACATCGTAGTTTGCTGTTGGATCATCGCCTGCATGTTGGCGTTCTGCTGCGCCATCAGCTGATTCTGGTAATAAAGTTGCTGGAAATACATCTGCGCGTGCTGGTCCTGCCAGTTGAAATTCGCGTTGATGGGTGGCATCTGCGGGAAGATGGGGACTGCGCCCGGCTGTTGCAAGTTCGCGCCAAGGGGGACCGGACCGAATGGTGCTGGGATTGGTCCTCCGAGTGGTGCGCCAACTGGTGGTGGGGCTGCACCACCGCCCGGTGCCTGCGCGTACTGCTGCTGATTCTGGTTCCCCGGCGGGGCGGGGGCCGGAAACTGCTGCTGAATTGGTGGATTGATTTGCAGTGGAGCAGCCGCGTTCTGATTTATATTCTGCTGATTGTTGCCAGCTACATTCGCGTTCGGGAGGACTTGCGCGGCACCCGGTCCTTGGACTACGGCAGCTGGTGCAATCGCTGCACCCGGGGCCTGCTGGACCTGTGCTTGCTGCAACGCTTGCTGTGCCGCAGCTGCTTGTTGCTGCTGTTGTAACTGCTGCTGCGCTTGCTGGGCAGCGACTGCTGCCGCAGCTTGCTGCTGCACTTGCGCCTGCTGTGCCGCCGCCGCTGCAGCAGCTTGCTGCTGTGCCAGTAACTGTTGCTGCGCCTGCACGGCCGCTGCAGCAGCCGGCTGCTGGTTCAACTGCTGTTGATTCGCGATGGGGGCTTGTGGCTGCTGCACCTGATTATTGGCGTTGGCCTGGGCAGCGACTTGTTGTCCGTTGTTTTGACCGGCGGGAATAACTTGTTGTTGCGCTCCTGGCTGCTGATTAGCCGCTCCCGCTTGCTGCTGCGCGCCTGCAGCAGCTCCTCCTGCGGCTGCGCCTCCTGCTGCGCCAGCGACTTGCTGTGCGCCCGCGACTGCGGCTTGTTGCGCGCCCGCGACTGCGCCGCCTCCTGCCGCTGCACCTGCCGCGTTGTTCCCATTCGCCGGGGTGCCCGGGTTTTGATTGACGCCCGCATTGATGTTAACCGGGGGGTTGGCATTGGGATTCCCGATGGCAGCGAGACCTTGAGCAGGGGCTTTCGGAGCATGGGGCTGTTGGACTGCGCCGACCGGTTGAGTGACCGCTTTGGGCGGCGGCGGGGGACCGGCTTTGTTCTTGGCCTTTGCTTTCGGGTTCACCTGTAACTGGGGCGGGACCACGGCCAACAGCGGGTCGGCACTTCCACCGAGTACTCCTGCTTGCGGCCCCAAGCCATTGCCGACCTGCTGAAAGGCTCCTGCGTTGAGAGCCATCTTGAATTTGATCGAGTTTTCTAGCTTCTGGAGAGTGACTGCGAAATGATGAAGGGAGCTGAGTCAGAAACTTTTTTCTCTCTCCAGCATTCGTAAGAGGGCCACTTCCTGATACTGCTTGGCTTCTCTCGAGTGAATTTTGAACGTGACTCGCTCGGTAGATAATGCTTTGTGAGAGAATAACTCTGGACTCTCAACAGACTGCAGTTTGAATGTAATGAGACTCTCGGCGCGTCTGACTAGGCAAGAGCAGGCGAATGCCAACTGAGAGAATTCTCACGAGCGGACTGCCGGCGCGAATGCGAATGCCGTGCTGTTGGTCTGAGTGAATTGGTTGAGTCACGGGATGAAGTTGAGTTCTTTGTAAGGATTGGCCGCATATTGATTGCCGCGGTTATAATACTCTTTCATATTCTCCGTGCGCCATCGTAAATGACAGCCTATGCGCGTTGCACTTATCTTACAACTCATTAATTGTTGTAGACAGCCTATGCGCAACGACTGGGTACGTCCAGTACCAAAATAGGCTAGAAAATCAGAAGAGAATTCACTTCGCCAATCGTGCTGCGGGTGCGAAAGCAGCGGAATAAGTTTGTGTGGGCACAAACAATCAAGTGCAGTACCGCACAAACACTTCACATACACTCGACGAATATAATTCGACTTCAACACATATTTTTCGAGAGAAAGGCAGAAAACTCCTGCCGCAGCATTAAAACTGAAGTCTCCCGAAAAAGGCACGCATGTGTTACTTGCTCTCGAGGTCAGATGAACAACCTGCATAGCCTCATCTAGATCACCTCCATCTTCAAAATCCGATGGTGAATCGGGGATGTCCTCGCAGCAATGTGGAATGTCGTCTCCACCGAAGGAGATCTTGGACAGGAGTGTTGCTTTTCGTAACCCGAACAGGAACCCGATTCCGCAGGCAGCACCGAATTCGTGTTTCCGTTTATTGATCGGGCGCATTAACTCGGTGAGCTCGGCTAGCATCACCGGCGGGGCCTGGGAGTGATTGAATTTCCCGGTGCGTTTTTGGCGCGACACCAACTGTGACAGGTGTGTCTTGTCTGCGACTCCGAGGCTGCTTCCGCCTGGAATGGCTTCAAGCCTTCCAATTACGCTCCACAGATAATCATCTGCAGTAGCGTAAGTACTGGAGTCGTCGCTATCTCCCACGAGCGCAGTGAAGAAGTGCACTGCATGTGCTCGGGTGATGGGCCATGGTTTGCGGAGGAATTCTAACTCAGGATGCTGGCTGGCTCGCTCGCAGACTTGAAAATAACATTTCATCCTGGCGCCCTCGGTGGCATTTGCTGGACGTTTCGCCATTTTCTCGACTGCTGCCTGGTGCCGCGACTTGTCGTCAAGAAGAGAAAAAACTTCTTCTTTTTGTTTCGTGACTTTTTGTTTGCTCGGGTCCATTGCGTCCTTGTATAGTCGTAGAATTTTTGGGTGAGAAGCGACTTCTGAGAAGAGTCCGGGCTTAAGGGGTTTCTTGCTGCTCGCGGGGTCGGCAATGATGCCTTCCGTTGCTAGTTCGCAGTCATGGCATGCAGCAACTGCGGCTGAGAACACATCTTTCCCATAAGATGACGATGGCTCACTTAGCTGGGTCTTCTGGTATGGTGCACTCGTGAAGTCAGATGTGCTTCGCTGCCGCTGATGTTGAGGGAGAGGAGGGCGGGAAAACGAAGATGATGCTGATGACGGTGGCACTGATGCTGACGCGGCTCGTCTTCTTGCGAGGATCCGCTGCGCCATTGCCGCGGAGGACGAGCTGTGCTGTGCGGCACGAAGTGAGTCCATTTTGTCAGGGAGGGAACGATCTTGATCGAGGGTGGGAAAAATAAAAACAATAAGCGAATGCTTATCGAGAGCGACTGCTCACCGCCCACAATGTCTGTGCCCTTTGTTCTCTCTACTTCTCTCGATCGATTGCAAAGTTCCATTATCGTGGTTCTTTATTTGCGATTTTACAATCTCTCTCTCTGCGTAGAATAGAACTCTATAGATGACCCTTGTCCTAGGCGTGGACCGCTTGCGACTGCAAGCTGCAGGAGAACTTGCGTTTTCTCTCGAATGAGATGTAAAACACTTTCCTGGGACGCTCAAGACCGGCCAAAAATGTGCCGACCTGTTGAGAACTTCACCAACAGGTCTACGACAGCCTCGACAAATGTGACTGAACATCGAGGAAAAGTGATCACCAACAGGTCGGAGACACTCGTCGCAAGCTCAGAGGGAGGTGGCGCTACTCACCTTCATTGGAGAATGTGACGGCAGAAAAAATAAAAACAGTAAGCGAATGCTTATCGAGAGCGACTGCTCACCGCCCACAATGTCTGTGCCCTTTGTTCTCTCTACTTCTCTCGGTCGATTGTAAAATTCCATTATCGTGGTTCTTTATTTGCGATTCATTCATTCATTCATTACGTGTCTATCCGGGTGTAAAATTTGTTTCTTTTCTTTCGTCAAATCTTCTTTTCTCGGATGTACACACAAGCGATTCTTTCCTCGAGACATCGACTGTCTCGCCTCAAGCGGCAACCCACAACTCTCCCTCCTCTTTTGTGAATAGTAGGCCTGCTACCCACGCCTCCTCCTTGCCTGAGTGTTCGCAAAAGGCCTCCCATTGTATCTGGAAACGCGCCGGGTTCTCTTCTTCCGTTTCGTAGGTTCTTCCGTCTCCGTCGGGAACTCTTACCCAACGTTTTCCGCTGATTTGCGCACAGAATTGCACAACAACATTTGAACATATCGCAAAAGCATATAAAAAGTAATGATGAATATCCATCGTGCCATCCTCTTCACAGGTCTTTTCCCTCGACGTATTTTTTCCACAGAGCCTGGTTTGCACCTTTCCCCCCGTACTTGTCGTTCTCCAGGCCCATGGGGTCTCGGTACAGTTGCAACGCCACTTGGCAGTTCTGGCTGCAAACCGGCTGCTTCGTCTTTTTATCCTTGTACACCGCGGTCTTCCAGCAAAGTTCGCACAGCGTCATATCAAATGTAAAAATGTCTGGGTCTGGAAACTTGTGATGCTGGGTGGCGTCTCATGATGAGGCCAGAAATGCTGGCTCAGCATCACAAGTTTCTGAGCTTCTAGGTGTTGCCTATTCTGCATGGCGAACTGCGTTTCTGCATGACAGAAAAGTGGTGCTCTTGGGTAACGTGCATGAGAGATTTGACAGTCATGCCAGACAAGCATGACAAAAATGCACTCTTCCAGACCACCCAGACATTTTTACATTTGATACGTCAGCGGAGAGCGCATTTTCGGTTGGGCGAGCGCGACGGGCAGATTGTTCTCGAACCGCAGTCGCATCCGCTTCGCCCCGTCCGTGGAGGCGAGTTTCTGGCCGAGTTTCTCCTGCAGCGTAGCGGCGTAGCGGGCCTTTCGAGTTTCCTGCAAGTAGGTGAGATGGTAGTGATAGAGTCTTCGCTGGTCCTTCCAAAACCGGAGGATCGGTCCGAAAATAGAGACGGCATACTAAGGGGAAAACTTCACAAATACAAATATCTGCAAAAATTGATGCTTAAAAGGCAGAACTGCAGAGAAACAGGCGCCCAGTGTTATGCTTTTCAGCAATTCAGGCCCTGTCGGGCATCCTTGGGAGGGGCGCCAGAGCATTCATCTCAGGCGGTCGCCATTTAACCCGACCAAAGTCGCACCAGCGCGGGCCGCTTAGCAGGGCGGGACTAGGGCTCTCGGGGCCACGCCAGGGTGCCCGGAATTCCGGCGCCATGCGGCGCCGGCGGAGGCAGTAATAGGTCGCGGCGAATCGCCGAAAGGCGGAAATCGCATCAAAATGACGCAGAAAAATGCTCGCGGGCGACCTCTCCGGCAGGGGTCGCCGGACCCCCCTGCCTTTTCATTTGTGGAAAGTTTCCAAGCGGGAAGTGGGAATTTGGCTGTTCAGAAGGGCCCCAGATTTGTGGGTCTCCGGAGGGGTCGGGTCTGTTCATTTGTGGAAAGTTTCCAAGTGGGAATAGCGTTTTTTTGCTCCAATCACGGGCTAAACGACAAACCGCATCGGCGGACGCGACACAAAGGAAAGGCAACAGCCTTCCGATTTTGTTCTTGAAGTACATGCATGCTCGTCGTCGTCCGGTATGGCCTTCAGCGACGCCAAACCCTCCGGACCTTGCCGGACAGAACAACGCCGCGCGCTGTTGCCGTGCTGGTGTTCGACTCACCGGCGTCGCGTTTCGCAGACCCTGGGCCCCCTCCCAGCAGCCGTGAAGCCTCTAAAGACCAATTTTTGCAGATATTTGTATTTGTGAAGTTTTCCACTCAGTACGGCAGACCGAAACCGGAGGATCGGTCCGAAAGTAGAGACGGCGGACCGAAGGTTTAGTCGTTCTATGAGGTCCTCAGATGTGAAATTTCAACAAAATCGAAAAAAAAAACTAGCTACTTTAGGTAATTTAGTATCTATCTCATGAACTAGCTAGCTCAGGTAGGGCGGTTGCGTGGTCTCCGGCTGCGTATCTCGGAACGGTCTCGTCGCCAAGCCGTCGCTACAGTCCTTGTCCTCTATTTCGGCTTCTGTACGACCTGCGGTGAGGGAGGTGAGCATGGGCGCAAAGACGAGGATCCTGTGGTTGATGAGAATGTGGATTTGTGAATAAGAAGCAGCAATGTGGAACGCTCGTTGCCTAGAAACTAAGAGCATCGACCTGAGCGTATCGTTCGAAATTTACGTGCAAGCCTGATCGGAATATCGTAAATCGAAACAACATGAAAGAGCCGACTCTGAGAGCCGTGGCGGGTCGTATTCGTAGAGCACATCGAGCGAGCGGCGCCATCAGATACTGATCCTAGACATTTGTGAGCAACCTTTTTCCAGGACCCCTATTTGTGCCCCGTAAGAGCCGTGTAGAGCTTAGATTTCTCCGATCTCGTCGACGATTGTGCATCAGACCGCTACTACTGGAGTCATGTATTAGGGAACCACATCAGACATTTGCTTTTTCAATGCTCGCTCACTAGGATTTTCAAAACTCCATACAAATGGCCAGCTCCTGCTTCGCCGAGATGCCGGATCGCCGTTACGAGACGCAGCCGGAGACCTTGAAACCGCTCCACCTTAGCTAGCTACTGAACTACATAGTTATTTATGCATCGATAGTTTTTTTTTTGGAAAAATTGGAAACTTCACATCTGAGGACCTCATACGTTCTGCAGGTCCGAAAATAGAGACGCCAGACCGAAGATTTATTTGATGTTCGGCGTCCAGGTGCTGGATGCTGGACGCATGATCCACGTCGGGACGTTATCGTAAGGAAAAATCCCCCCTCCCCATATCGAAAAGGTACGGCGCAGAAAATTTGCAATGCTGATTTGCGACCACAAATCACGTCTGTCTTGCAAGAAGGCAATTCCACAGGCTTCGCCGTATTATACAAGCGGTCTGTGATGCTGTTGGGCCTACAGCGCAGACGTTTCTCATGCTAAGCGCCTAGGCCAAAACCTCTGTACTCAGGCTTGATGTGGGCCTGCAGTCCTCTCCAGCAAGACAAATCTGATTTGTGTACGCAAATCCAGCATCACAAATTTCCTGTTCGATATGGGGAGGGGGGATTTTTTATTTTGATAGACGTGCAAAAGTGTTGTTTTGAGCGAGGACAAATTGGTGCTCTTGATTGCTCATCATCTCCGTCTGTACAACCGAGGATGTAATTGCAATTGCACTAGAACCTGCAGACGACGATGACGACATCCCTTTAAACAAGCTCATGTGTGTCTTGCCGCCCAAAAATCGTTGCTGCAGCTGTACGCGCGTGTTTGTGTAGTCCGGCACCAAATTATCTTTATCGGTTAAAATAAATTCCGCGGCTACAACGCCCGGCGCAGTAGAAGTCGTGTCTCCCGTCCGGTTGCCGTTTCTACTCGTAGAAAACGCCACAGTCCGCGCACACGCAAGTGATGGGTAAATACGATTTTCCTTAGCGGCTTGCTGCAGGACGTGAGCGATGTTTTGCGGTGCATCTTGGTGCTCAACTTCGACGGCCATTACTATTTTCGGGGTTTTCTTCCTATTTTCATCCTGATCCTTTTCGATGCCATTCCGCCCTTTTCCTTTGTTCTCAACATTTCCTCTTGCCTTTCTCGCAGCAATCTGCCCCTTGAGATGCTCCAGCAACAAACTGCGGCTTTGCGCGGATATGTGCGGGTCTCTGGAGAACAATGTCGACGGCTTGAACGAACCGCGGCGAAGCATTTCCTGCTGGGGCTGCTGACCACCGGCTGTTGTAAGATGAACACCAACAGAACTTCTACCCGAAGGAGCCGCAGGATGACCGCCTGCAGGCGGAACTACAAGCGCACCACCAGACGCAGCTCCACTACCGCCCAGCTGCATGATGTTGCCACGACCTCGAGGACCCCCTCGCGCCGGGTTGATGCCATCCGTTGTTGAATAAAAATTATCATTATCTGCTTGCTTATTGTTCCCCCGCGGGTTTTTGTTTTTCATCTTTCTTTTCGCAGCCCTGATATCGCGTTTCGTCCCAACACCAAAATCTTCGTCGGACGAAATCTGCTGTTTCTCGTCGTGGATCGTAAAATCGTACTGGTGCGCCCACTCGCTTTTTTCCCGGGTTCGCCGGGGGCCGTTTTTGAACCGAGACAGCAACGCGGACCCCGCTTCCGCCGCCTTTTTCGCTTCCGCATTCGCAAGTTGCTTTGCTTTCTGTTGTGCCGCGGCGGTCCCGTTGAGGGTGGATTTAAGGGAGAATTCCTGGGGCCACAGCTTGTCGACATTGAGCATGCGTTTGCGCTTGATCAGGTCGTGTTCGTCTTCATCGTCAGAAGAATCTTCTTCGGAAGAGGAGGAGAGAGAAGCTGCAGCACCAGTATCGTCTGAGGAATTATCGGTCGCTTGCTCCACTGCGGGTCTTTTTCGCTGCTGAGGTGCTGACGGCTGACTGGCGACCAGGACACGCGCTTTCAGCATAGCGTGGGGGTCAGGACCGACGAAAGCTGCTCCTGGTGGCGCTTGTGGTCGTTGTGCTTGTCCTTTCACAAATGGTTGTTGCTGCTGAACCGGGAGGTGGGCTCCAGTGGGAATAAAGGGAATAGTACCACCAGGTGGCACGAAATTGTGAACAGGAAAAGAAGGAGCGGGGGAAAGTCCCATGTGACTCGAGGTCGCAACAACTGGCATTGGTCCTCGTGGTGGATGGTGTGGCGCAAGAGCGTCGCCATGACTCGCCATACTAGTACCCATGCCTGGAGGAGGTAGAAATGCTGCTGGCGAGGAAAGTCCACTTCGCTGCGAGTTGTCCCGAGCACCACCTTGGGAAAGCCGTTTATTTCCACCGAGCGATCGTCTATTCGTGTGCCTGGCACCGGAATTTCCAGCATGTTCTCTTCGCGTTTGCGCAGCAACACGAACACCTGCCTCTGTTTGTTGCCTCTGTTCCGGCACAAAGTTGAAACCCACTTTGCGCTCCTCCCTCCGCTGTTTGCGAGTACTGGACACCGGCGGTCCGGAAACGGCACCAGCGCCTCCAGGAGTGTGCTGGTGCCCTTTCAGAATACCTGGCGGAGCTGTGGGTTGATTTTTCCCGCTGTGCTGCTGCTGCTCCTGGTACTGCAGCTGTTGCGTGCGGTCGGTGGAAGAGGCAAACTGCAGCCCGTGCGCTGGGGTGCCCGGATCAGGTGAAGGGGCTGTCACAGGTTGATGATGGACGAGAGCACCGCCGCTCCCGGGCGTAACAGATGAAGACGCTGCCACAGGTGCAGCTGCTGCCTGAAAAGGGAAAAGCTTCTGCGGCTTGTTGCTGCTCCTACCCGCATTTTTCCCCGAACTGGAACTTGCGCTCGGGCCCGTACCCACCAGTACCTGCTGTGGTTGTTCTTGCGGTTCTTGCCGGTGATCGTTTTTCGGATCATGTCCTCTCGGATCTTGCACCTCTTTGAAGAACCCCTCTGGTGCCGTCCAACGCTTCTCCCCTGTACGCTTGTTTTTGAAATAGAACTCCCCTGGCTTAGACCGACTTTCCTTCTTCTCCCAATCCGGTGATGGCGGAACATTATTCGGCAGAACAGCTTCTGCGGGTTGGTGGTGCGACGGTAATATTTGCACCTGTGGCCCTCGTCCGGGATGAACCACCATCGGAAAAGCTGCGTTATTATTTCCGACGACCGGCGGCTGTATCTGCGTCTGGCCAGTGGCAAGATTTCGGAAGTAGAAGTGCCCTGGTCTATTTCGGCTCTCGACACGCTCCCAACCAGCCGGAACAACGGACGGTACGAACCCTGCGGGGGGCGCACCAGCTGCGGCAGGCGATTTGTTACGAACAGGTTCTTGTTGTGGGGGCATCATTTTTCCCTGAAAGAAATGTTGCGCAGAAGCCAACATCCCCGAGGACGTGGTTGCCGGCGCTGCAGGAGCAAGAACTCGTTGCTGATGCTGTACTTGTTGTGAAGACGACCCCAGTGCTGCGGCCGCACGCCTTTCCTCATGCACAGTGGGGTCGCGCGAAGCCATTGTTCCAGCTGCAGATGAAGCCACGCCGCCGGTTCGTTGATGCGGTGCACTGCCGTGTGGCCGTCCATTCTGCATACCCTGCTGTCCAACTCCATTGATCGGGGGCGCAACCCCCGATTGCGAATGCTCTCTGGACGAAGCCGATGCGGACGCTTGTTGACCCTGAGCAAGTACTACTCCCCCAGACACAGCACCAGGAGCTGCAAGAACAACTCCTGCGCTAACATTTGGAGGTGGGTTGGCTGCGCCGCCTGATGTGCGCTTCCTACGCTCTGCTCGGGTGAGAACCATCGCGCTTTGGGAGGTTCGTCGTTCTTGTTGGGCTTGGGCGGCGCGGTCGTTACAAGAAACGACGGCAGCGGCACAACTGGAATCAAACTACGCCTATGCGTACGCTACCGCTCTTGTATTGACGACATGGTCATGGTTAAGGTTATTAGAGCGAAGGGACGTGAAAGTCACCCCGCTGCCAAACCCGAAGAAAATCATAGAAGTGGCTTGACATCATTTCATGAATATCATCTGAAGTGAATAAACATCGTGCGCTTCATCTACAACTTCATCTAAGACAAATTGATGTCGCTGTCGGTGATAAAGATATTTCCTCCTTGTCACGAAGTGATGCAGCTTCATCTTGTTGAGGGTCGAAGATCTGGAGCAGGAGCAGGAGCAAGAGCCGTTTCCAGATCTTCTTGTGTCGTGTTCGGAAAGGGATCGTCGTTCATCTTTTGTGGAATCATCAGTATCGGTTTTATTGTTGTTGTTTTTTTCGAACAACTGGTGCTTGGAGTTGCGGACGGTGCGAGCGCATGTCTGCCGGTGGTCGTCCACAGAAGCGCAACAGCGACGGCGAACTTTGAAGTCGTGGGCGGTCTTTGCGCTTCTTCCACATTAAGATTGGTTTTCGATTTCGTCGAGTCATAGAAATTGGGAAGGGTTCTTGCGGCATCTGCAGCAAATGCAAAAGCAAAGGGGTCCGTTGCAATTTTACACATCGATGATTCTGAAAATTCGTATGTAGAAGATGCACACCTAACTTGATGCAGCAGCGTTAATAAAGGTTGGCAGCCGCGTTGGTCTACCCTTAATCGGTATTTTCTCTGCGCCGCTAGTTTTGGTTTAGCGTCAGTGTCTTCTTCAGAGCTGAAATTCGTAAAATTCCTTTACAATACAACTCCGCGCTTGTTTTGTTACTTACACTCTTGAATCAACGACGAGCGCGCACGTGCGCACGGTAAAAGAAGTTGAATTTTCATGAGGAAGTTCAAATCGAACCTCCAATTATTGTGTCGACGAGACTTTCATATCGACTTTAACGTCCTGAATATACAAAATTGTTTCTACAGCGTACTACTTCAGTAAAGAAAAGGAAGCTCAAACTATGTATTTTTAGATCCAATCATTCTCATTGGCGTAATCCCCCGCGCCAGATACACTAGCCGTCGCTTTCTTCCCGCCCGCCGCCGGTGGTGATTCGAAGTATCGATAATTATTCTGTGAGCTGCTCTGCTTCTGTGCTGCAACAGCACTACTGCTACTACTCGAAGACGCGCCGGCCACGGCAGTGGTGGCAGGAGCAGGTGACCTCGAAGCTGCAGCTGGAACGACCAACCCAGAAGTCTGTGGTCCCACAAACACGTCCTCGCTTTTCAATTTTTCACTGCGCAACCGGTCGTACAAACTTTGCCGCGCCCGCGCGTTCTTGTGGAGAAAGAACAACCCGAAGCTGCACACAATCGCCGACAACCCGGCCAACTCCGCGCCGCCGGGGTACTTTGCGTGGAAGCAAACGTCCAGAAAGACCGAGATCGGGATGGAGAGTGCGACCACGTTGGACAGCAGACTCGCGTCCTCGCCCGCGTAGAGCACGTAGAACCAGCACAGATTGACGCTGAACGCCATGCCGCAACTCAGGGCGAAACGGAGGCCGTCGAGGAGATTGGGCGGGAGTCGCAGCTCTTCCCAGTGCATCCAGTCGGCAAAGAAGAGAAAGGGCACGACGAGAACCAAATGACAAAAGCTGATCGCAAAACCAAAGTTCACACAGAAGGCGGCGGGGTTGCGGGCCTGTGGAAAAGGAAGATGAATAGGCTGATACATATAACCAAAGAGAACAAATAGAAATCATCCGTTCTTCTAAATTCAGCACGAACTACACCATCGTTTTCTGAAAAAGTCGCACCTTTTCCACCCCGACCATTTCCACCAGCAGACACGCGTAAGTAGCCGCCCCGACTGCTATGCAATGCACGAGCATCGCACTAGTATATATAAATTGGAATTGCACTACAAATTCCCCCAGCATTACAAATTGAATTTATAATGCTCCTGATTTACCTTGTCCTTGAGAAAGAGATTTGTAATGCAGAAATGCAATTACTACGAGTACGATACTTTTGCACAGGATAACTGCGGCCATTATGCTAAACCCAATGCCCGCCGCCGTCGGCCCGAAGTGCGCAGCAACGCCCGTGCCGGACGAGGATCCCACCAGGGCGGCCGCGACGTGGCCGCGCGGTCCCTCGTCCGGATCGTCGCCGGGGGTGCCGCGCGTGGGCGAAAACAAGGCTACGATCGCTGCACCTAGCATACACAACACCGTGCCGCTGATCTTGAACGTCGTACACCCCTGTCCGCGGGTGTACTCGAAAATGTATGCCTTGCGAAAGTATCGTACTAGTATAAATCGCATGGCAAATTTGCTCAGCATGAGAAATCAAATTTGTCATGCTGTTTTACCTTGGGAAGGCAATTTGTAATGCATGACTCCAATTACTACGAGTACGATACTTTTGCAATGCATAAAATGCCGCACAGTGCGACGTTCACCTGGTAGAGAGCCGTGACCGTGTTTATGGGAGTGCCAGGATCGAAATCGACGAAATCGAAAAATTTGTAATGCATAAAATGTAGGGCACGCATGGCCTGCGTTGGGGAGGAGGCATATGAGACCGATTGCAAGCCTGTTTAGGCGAAGGCGATGTGCTTGTGCTGCCAGAGTAGCATAACAGGAGCAGCGTTCTTTGCTCAAACAGCATGACAGACTGGATCTTGGTGCTGCCGAAATTTGTCATGCACCACTTGGAAACTGAGGCTCCAACTGGCATCGATTTTGTGCATCACAAATCTTTCGACTTTGTCAATTTCAATCCTAACAGATCCATACATAGTGTTCACGAGCAGCGTGTCCATCGCTTTCAAAAAGCACCAGTTGTAGCTCATGATCAGAATGGAGAAAAACGCCGCCTTCTGCCAAAACTTAACATCCGATTTTGAGAACACATCGCCCCGCTTCCTCGATGGGGACAAATCGCCCGGTGAAACCGACGACTCTTCCTCCTGATCCGAGTAGAGCGAGTCAAGATATTGCTGATTCTGCTGATGTCCTTGTTCTCCAGCATGATTATTTTGCAGCGATTTGTTGTTCGCGCTGTGCTGTCCAGATGAACCGCCGGCGCGAAGCTTTGGTAACCCAGCAGCCTCCAAATGCGTCGCCCGTTCTGGTGATACTTGCAAACCAACACCAGCACCTGGGCGCTGCTGCTGCGAATCACCGGCCTGAGAAGGGGCGGGCCCTGCTCCACCGGGTGACGGAATGGGAACGGGAGAACTACCCGCTGTGTCCTCGTGGTCACCACCGCCAGGTCTTTGCCAACGCATATTCCGGTTCCTCCATTTCGATGCCCATTTCGTCCACGGGAAAAACAACAATCCGCTCATGTGTGCGCAACAAAGATTGCAGAGGGGTGACACCTCACTCGACAGGTCCTGGAGTAGCTCGCTGTTGAAGCAAAAAATGAACACACTCAGTATGGCGACAAGGAGCGGTCCTTGATTCACCATATTCGGTGTTGACGAGGCCATATCGGAGGTGAGAATCCCCGGCTGCGCCTGTGCGTCGAACATGATGACGGAAGCAGATGGGTAGCTCGCAGGAAGTTCTTGGCCAACGGTTCTAGAGTTTTGTTCGCCGCCCGTGTAGCTGTGCAGTGTTGATTTCACCGACCTCGTAGCTACCACGACTTCTTCCTTGACTGCAGATAAAACCCCGGTGTCTCCCCCCACCCGCTCAAAACTTTTGCTCGCCCCAATGAGGTCGGGCTCCGGATGGTCGTGCCGTGAGTTCGACCCCGGAACAGCCTCCCGGCGTCCGGAATTCCCGGCCTGCTCTTCTTCAGACGTCACCGTTTCGGCCGTGAATCCCCTAGACCGTGGTTGAAAGCGGAGCGAAGAGGACTTTTTCCGACTCGAAAGATTATGTCTCGTCGCGTCTCCGGGTGAGGTCGACGAGACCGGCGACGAAGCCGTGCTGATGCGGACTTTGGGAAACGTGCTTTTATCTCCTGGAATATGTTGGTCCGGATGCCGGTCCTGCTCTTTTGGCGTTGTTTCTGGTATGTGTATTTGCGCTGATGAAGCTCTCCTGGCGTCGCGTGATGAGTCTGCTCCCGAACGAGGGCCGTGCCTTGGAAGATACAGAGACTGATCCAGCACTATTTTGAAGGGCTCACGACGCGGTCTACTTGAAGATTTCCCGCTGCCTGACGCGGCCCGTGTACTAGGCCGTCGCGCGAAACTTCCGTAAGATGTTGTATTGCTAGTAGCGGAAGATGAAGAGAGAGCCCCAGTGGCAGTTGTACTGCTCGACCTACTCGTACTACTACTACTAGTAGCCGATTTCGCTGCCTTGCGTTCTTCCACAGACTCTTCACACGCTTGATGTTCTGAGGAATTCACACTCGTCGTCGTCCCGTCACACTCCTCGCTCTTTTCAGTAGTTACTGAGCCCGTTGATTCCGACGGTGGAAGCAAAAGCAGCTGCTCCTCCGCAGCGGTAGACGACGAGGATGCCTCCTGCATCTAGCAACTTGCGCTGCGCCAATCGCGGATCCGCCGGGGGGAGACACGCAGCAAGCGAAAGTCTGTGCATGCGTCGCGTCGATTAATACAATCAGTGGTGCCAAGAGACGTGAAGCACTGGACAAATGAACTCCCAAATCTGTTCGGGTGCCGGAGCACAGAGGCGTGAGATGTGGAAAAAATGGTCTGTCTTAAGGCACCTATACGGGCAATAATTTCACGGTCTTGATGTTTCAACGGGACATTATCGTAACTACTCGAATGCCCTTCTGACAATACTAAAGGCCTTTCTTCTAACGAACGCGGCGGTCCGAGTCCGACCTCGAGCTTCATTGGCATGTTGACACAACAGCAGGAGACGAGAAGATGACCGCGGTAATCAGTGATCATTCTTGGACGTCGATTGAAAGCATCGATCTCCTGGCGAAGATCCGACGAGCCCGTGCGAAATGCAACGTCATTCGTGTATAGAAAGTCAGAATTCGATGGACGTATAACAAGACGGAATGCTCTCTCGAATCGCAACCAGATCTACAGCTGCACAACCTGAACACTCAACAGAGTACTTGTTTGACGAGTACTTGTCTCCAACATGCGAGGACGAGGAGAAAGGCACAGCTTTGCCTCCTGTGGCGCTTCGTGCGTGTCTTTTGATTCTGCTTCGCTCTTCTCAACAAACACAACGTGTAAGTTCGTCCAGATGCTCATCGAATGGGTCGTCCTTGTTCATATTCATGCTCTTGACTTCCGAACATGAGAACGACCGAGTCAAAAGGAAGCTACAATATGCTCATATTTTGCGTATGTCGACAGCAGCATACTTACGCCTTCTTGGCGACCTTTCCCTTCTTCTTCTTGGCCAACATAGCGGAGCGCTTCTCCTTCGCGGCAACGCGGAAGTCGTGGACGCGCTGGTGGTAAGCCGCCTTCTGCTCACGGTTCTCAACGACCTAGATTTTTGTCATAAGATTGACATTTACCATGCGAATCACAAATGCGAAGCACAGAAACTCTCATGATATTACTCTCGGAAAAACGACAACTACATACACATCACTTGTTCGCACATCATTCGAATCTCTACAACTCTCCATCCTTTACAGGCTCAGCTCTCAGCTAGAAAAACTACTGAGGGACGAGCGATCATCGTAATATCGACGGGCTCGTCTCCATCAAGCTCACGAAGGGAAGTAAACGTGAAACTAAATACAAAAATTCCACTATACCTTCTTGACAATGGCCTTGCGGACGCGGCGCTTGCGCTGGAGGCGCTGCGGGGTGACCAGGCGCTGGATCTTCGGGGCCTTGGTGCGCTTGCCATCCTCCTTAACGGCACGGCGGACGACGAACTTCTTGACATCATCCTCCTTTTCCAAGCCGAACCTGTGGATTGTGTAAAGAATTTAGATTGATGAGGAGTTCTTCAGCTCTACAAAATCACGACTGTCAGCGCTAGGGGAGGACACACAACATACATCAAAATCAGGCATAGATATTCTGAATTCTGAAAGAATGCGAAATAACGCGAAGACTGGCACTTCTAAATCCCGGAAAAAAAAAGTACATCTTGCGGATCTTGGTGGCACGCTTGGGTCCCAAACGCTTGGCCGGGGTGGCGTCAGTCAGACCCTCGATTTCCTCAGCACCCTTCTTGACGATGACCTGTTTTTGAAGATTGATGTTATAGGATTTTGGAAAACACCAAAAACTTGCGCAGCATGTGATTGCATCAGCATTGCATCGATAACAGGAAATCTAAATTAAAAAAGTATCACAAGCTTGTGCAACATCAAATTCAATACCAAGTTCAAGATGGCCAAGTCGTGTCCGACGATGCAGCCACGGACGGACTTGCGCTTGCGCATACCACCACGGCGGACGCGGTAGCAGGACATACCGTCCTTGAACAAGAGACGAACGCGTCCGTTCTTCAAGATTCCCTGCTTCATCGGGAAACCCTGCTTGTCATTCCCTCCCGTGATCTTGACAACGTAGCCCTTGAACTGGTCACCGAGGGAGTCGGCCGCGATTTCAGCACCCATGCGCTTCTCCCAGAATGGCATCATCTTGTGCTCGTCCTCGATCTCAAACGTCTTTTGCAAAGACATCTGAGGGTAAGACACGTTGATCTTCGGCATCTTGTGTGTGTGTTTTTTTGAGAAGGAGCAGACAGAATCTACTTGAAACTCGTTTCCCTGTGAGGTTTTCGTGTGGGTTGGAAAAAAGATGGAAGGGGGTTTTAGATTTTGTAGCCGGTGATGATATGTCTTCTGCCATTATTACTGGCGTATTTTAAGGCGATCTTTAAATTTTGCGATCGTTGAAGCAAGAGGAATCCTAGTATCAGAATCTTGTAAACATTCTTTCGTCCGTTGATCTTGCGTGCACCTTTTCAGAACGCTTATGGCATGACATACAGGAGACGGATTTTTTCGATCTTACAACCATCAATTTCAATCCTTTGGCAAGTGGAATCGATGTGGATCTATCATGCTTTTCAGTGATCTATCTTCTTCTTTAGGATCAGTTTGCTCTTGTCTGATGAGCAACTCCACCTCGGCCTCATTGTTTTTCTCTTTCTCTGCGGGCGCGAAATCAAGGTGAGCCGATTTCTAGATGAAGAAGAGACACATCGACCAATGTCTAGACGAAGATTTAGATTTGCGGATCACACACTGCTCGGCCAAGTGTCGTCAAGGGATCGTGAACTTCCTGAATAGGCACTGCACTTTGTTCAGAGATTGCTGTTTTAAAGATCTCCAACTGGGTAGATCGACCGATGACACCAGCGTGTAGTAGTTCTTATAGATCTGGAAGAACGAACACGGCCGTCGCGACAATCCCCCCCCAGTGGTGAAGTGCCACCCAAAGCGCATCATTCACTCTAGTTTTCATTTTGACTTCTCGGTGAGGCAAACTAGCACAGTAATTGTCTCGCTCAAACCCATGAGTTCTTTGGGCGTTCATCGGAATATTGTCCTCGTGCGTTCGACTTGGAATGTCGAGTACCAGCGATTCGAATCCACTTGTGGATCCTTCACATCGACGAAAGAAAACTTTTTTAAAAAGAAAAACCGCATATACATCAGGATCAGGTATACTGTAAATACATGAGTAAAAATCCGCGCGCGCGGTGATCTTTAAATTTAGAAACTGACTAGATGCCCTCTAACTAGAGTAAGACATCACACCCCTCCAGGAGGTGAGTAGACAGCAGAATCATGATGGTTCCCAGACTGTTTTTTAGCTACTCTTCGAGGGTGGCCTTGCAAATCCGTACAACTCTTCATCTGCAGCAAAATTCCGTGAAAGCACACTGTTTCTCGAAGGCCTTTTCTCAGATTTGAGCCTCGTCTCACCCGCGGAGGCCCGCTGTCCTGGCAGCGCCATCGCATCGTAGTGCTTTACTTGCGACGCCCGCGGAAAGGTTTCGTCGTAGTGGGAGTAGAGCGACTCCACGTTTTCTATCGCGTACTGCCGGACCGCCTGGACATCCGTGTACGTGCGGGTGATAATGATCCATAAATCGATTAGAAGCAAAATCCCAATTGGCCACACGACGATCCATTGTTCGATGAAGTACATCTGCTGCGACCAGTGCATGGACGGCCACCCGGCGTTGCTCAAATGGTTCGACGCGACCGTGGCGTTCGATCCCCCTTCTTTGAGCAATTCCTGGAGGGAAATCATCCCCCACAAAAGGAAGGCAAAGGTGGAAAGAATCATGCCCAGGAAGATGAAGTAGTACACTCTCAAAACCTCCTCTCTCGATTTGTAGGATTCGGTAATGACAATTCCAACGATGCCGGTGAGAAAGAGAAGCGCAGGCAGAGATATACGTAGAGCGTACCCGAGAGTGGTTAGAAAGCCCGCGTTGCGCCCGCTTCGCTCGCCTTCGTTGACGCAGAAAGAGACGGACATGGCAGTGGCAATGACCATCAGGGATAAAGAGCTGTACCGAATCACGGTACCACGGAGGCTGTACACCATCTTGTAGAAATTGTACTGCGGATAAAAAGAAGTCAACTTGTTCGACCTAAACAGGTATGATATATCCCGAACTAGTACTAGACTGAGTGGGCTCCACCAGGGGCCCTAATAGCAGCGCTCTTGTGATGTCGCAAACAAATTCAAATTATGGCTTTGCACATGAAGAGAGAGATCTAGCTCGCGACGAGTCTCCGCCTGCTACGATTGCGAGATTACCGAGATTGCGGGCTTGTTGCCAACCTGAGCAAAAGTACCGATTTGCGCTGATAAAATGATGCAAAACCGATATGCGACTAATTTTAAATTTTTAAATACCATGACCGAGAAATACCCATTCATGCTCATTACCGATCATTCAACGGCGCGTTTCAATGAAGCGGGTACAACGCAAAAAAGAGTACCGAATGTCCAAAATCATCTATCTGTCACTTCCAAAAAAGAGTTCACCACTACAGAAAGCGGGGAACCCTTCGACTGGATAGCAGTTGCTTTAGGTCCAATGATAGACTGCACATCCACGGGAGAAAGGAAGTACAGGACAAGAATGAACCAGAATCTATAAAACTGCATCTAAATGCAAATTACATGATTGTCGACCCAAGGATAGACCAGTCAGCCACAAAGGATAAAGGCGTAACCGGGACAAGAAATGAGTCTGTTGTTGTAGCACTCGAGTCTAGCGAAGTCTCCGATGAGGTTCACAGAGAAATCGTTGATTGTGAGCGCGGAAGAACTGCCTGATCTATTTTGGTAATTTTGAGTCCGACATGATGCACAGGAGGCTTCGACGAGCAATAAGCGTAACTTTAGAGAGCCGGATCATCATCATGCGAGGATCATCTCCCCGGCATTAGTTGCGCTTTTCAGTTCTTGCTGGAATGATCAGTCTTGGCGAACATCGTGACCAAACCTCGCAAAGGAAGGCGAAGGTCGCACCAAAAAAGTACTTAGGCGGCCACGCACGTGCACGTACTGTGGTTTCGCTGTGGCGAAGGTTTTGCGTTTTTGATTCTGACTGTATGAATCATGCGATGATCGTGCTTTGAAAAATTCTATGGAGAGAACATCGTCAATCCTAAATTCCGCAGAAGTTCATCTTCTCCTTTTGTCATCTTTCCAGAAGATCAGCTTCGCCCACGCCACTTCTCGTCCCTGCCCCTGTCACGTCTTCGAGCATGAGGAATCTGTGCCGCGCATGGACGTCGTGAACCCTTAAGTTCCAGCGGAGCAGCATCAAGATCCGGATGAGTGCCTGATTCAACGTTCTCAAATCGCAGTACCGGTTGAAGAGATACTGGTGCCAGACCCGCAGCGGGCAGCACTCGTCTTGCGCGTAACTATGCCCAACGAAACACCTGAGTTTTGATTTGTTTTTTTTGCTCCTCGGCATTTTTGTTCATCGGGATCCAATCTCAGGCTTTTCATGATAGCAGTGCCTAAGAAATGATTGCAAATTATCTATCACAACATCTTCAACGAGGACTCCCAGAGATGCATACTTACTTGCCATCTCAATTGATCAAAAGCAAGAAAATGAGTCTGTACAATATCGTGATGACGTTTGCCCTTTCCAGCGCTGCCATGGGTTGTGACATCGAAACCGTTACAGTGCTGTAGTAGGAGGAAGCGTGGGCTAAAACGGAAGCCAGCTCCGAGGTTGGGTAGTCGCACAAGTGCAGCATTTTCATCATCCGCAAGTAGATCCGCGCGAACTCGTCGTAAATGGAAGACTGTAGGTTAAGCAGCCGAGCGAACCTGGTCAGGAGAATTAAATCCGTGCTGCAATGCGCATGCTTCTCCCATTTCAAAAACAACGGACTGCAGATTTGCGCCAAGTTGGTGTGGGTCACGAAAATTTCCTCATCTTGTTCCTCGCGGAGGTGCTGTTGCGCAGCCAATTGTCTCAGGTCGCGGTTTTGCTGGTACAGGTGCTGGGATCGCGAGTTGTCAACACCGCGTTTGCTTGTATTGCCTGAGGGAGGGCGGTGCTGATGCAGCTGGTCGATACGACCTGCGATATCTGAACAAGTAGTTGTGACTGCTTGATTTTTACTCGTCGCTAAAGAAGATCCTGTAGAGGTCCCTGCATGGTAGAATTCGTTGTTCGCATTGCTCCTGTAGTCTCTGATACTCTGGCTGTACAGCTTCCCAGCTATGTCCTGTTGCTGGAAGGAACTCGTGCTCGACTGCGTCCCCATGTCGTCAACACCAAGAACGACCGGTACCTTCGTCGCAAACAATTCTCGCGGTTTTTCCGGCGGTCGCTGCGCCTCCAGTTGCAGTTCCAGCGTCGCGCTGTCTACGTCTTGAGGATTTGATGTTATCGTCGTGGTGGTGTTCTCAACATGCTGTCTTGTTCCTGTTGGAGCTCCGTTCAGGTTCAACATCTCTTCTACCGCTACTTCGTTAAGGAGCTCTCCAGACGGGTAAGAGCTGCTCGCCGTACTGTTTGTCTTCCGATTGCCGGGTGACAGAACACCGGCGGTGCAAGCGCTGGTGCTGCGCGAGATTTGCTTTCCGCACGAGGGAATCGACTCTATCTCGCCATCACCGGGTCCGAGTTTGCTGGGCTGATCCTCATCTTCGCCTTTGGTCTTTGACAAGGACGTTGCTGTCGCGGTGGGTATTTGCGCCCCCTTGTAGTTGCTGCTATCTTTATTTCCCGCTTTTTTCAACAACGATGTTGACGCGGCCTGCTGTCCCGAGCTGGCCCTCATTAATAAGGCGAGCGTGGCAGCACTGGGTTTCGGAAAATCGTGCGACAGATGCAGCTTCTGCTGGGCGGCTTTCTGTACTTCCTGGTACACTAAGTCGTCGACGTCGTATATCACTGCGTTGTTACTACTAATACTAGCTGTCGTCCCGTTTACCAGGTCGAAAGCCGGATGAAGTAGGTGTGCCATCGTCGGCCCAGTTGTAGTGCTGCTACTTGTGGCCGCCGCGGAGGTGGTCCTATGATACAAAAGGTTCGGATTCGCAACCCCGCTCACCGGTGCTCCTGGTGAAGCAGCTAAGTTTATTGGTCGACTAAACATCGCCGCGCTGCTGCTGCTCGTCCCACCAGCGGTCACCATCTCCCCCGCCACTGACCCCGCTCCGCTGATGCCGGTGCCGGCACTCAGTTGTGACCGTGAAGAGGTCGGGATTGGGGGGATCCTCGCGGCCATGTGGTTGACACCACCAACACCATAGTGCTCTCGCTCGCTGCCATGCTGGCTCGAAGCTGCGGAATAGCTGGTCGAAGAAAGGGCTGCCGCGGCACCGGCTGCTGTTGTGGCCATATTGATGATAACTCCTGCTTCGCTACTTATGTAACTACACCAGGAACTAGATCAACATGATCTAGAACCTGGTTTACTGCAGTTGGATAGTTTGGACGAGATGAACCTAAAACACCCAGGTCACGTAACTTGTAACTACCCGACGAGATAAGACGTCGTGGAGGTAAAGAATAAAAGGATGAGAATCTTCGTGTGCAACTTAGAAATGTGATGATGTACTAACAAGGACTCCCGTGCCGCAGCCCCCACGGGAATAAGGAATGAAATGTGGAGTCAAAAAGGGGTTTTTGGTCTCAGGGCCCTCCTCTTTTTGGTGGAGACCTGGTGTTTTTTTTTCCGCGATTGAAGCCGATTTTTGGGTTCAAAAAGTAAGGCACTGTTCGATAAGAGAATGAGAATAACCGAAAGCGAGTATTAACAGCTCACACTTGTAGTGCAACTTTTGCAACCGACCGATAAACCTGCAAATTAATAAAGCATCCGTGCCGTTTCATTTCACGGTAAGACACAACAAACAGACCGAGTGCTGGGTGTGGGAATCTGCGACTCCAAAATCTTAGTTTCGACCGAATCGAGATGAAAGCAAGGGCGGCTACTTACTTAGTACTTATCAGCATCACCGACCACAACCACTACTGCGCTAGCTCTACCTGGTTGGAGTAGGCAATAAAGAGGAAAAAGTAGAAGAGGGCAAAAGTAGGAAGAGGCTGGACCCTTGGCAGCCCGGGAAAACTTCTACGCAAGAATGTACATTTCAAATCTTCAATAGTAGGTACAGGTTTGAACGTTTTGTGAATCATACATCTAGCACGACCCTCCTTTTCGGTACAAAGCGCAACAGGCCTCTTTCTCGTAGTCGTAGTCGCCGAATGGTGTACAAATGAAGTGAAGTTGTCTTAACTTATCACCTCGAACAGCAAATGCGTCTTGCTCCTTCTGCGCTACTGCTACAACTAAATCGTGCTAGTCGTATGCCAAAAGCTACACCTCCGCTCAAATTCAAACTCGTACTTGATTGTCGTGCATATACTGAATTCTAAAGATAGGTAATTGTGATAGTTGTCGCTACAACGATAAACTACAAGTTTAGAAGTGCTAACCGTTATGTTTTTGTTTGTCGCCTCTGAGTGGTAGCAACTAAGCTATTGCTATTGCTAGGATGATGAAAACTGTGTCTGTAAAAGATTTCTTTGAAAATTCTGGAATAAACTGTAGTGAATAGTGACAGAGCTGTCTCTGTCTGAACTACTACTTTGCTATTGCTATTGGTCTGTAAACTCGAATAAAGATAAAGTCGCTATAAAAAATCCTATTTTTGTGTCGCTTGAGAAATCAGTGCAGAACCCTGCATGTCGAATGGCTCGTCCTCGTGATGGTCGTGATGAAGATCATGTCACCAACCCTCTAGATCCCGAGCTCTTCGTACAGCAAGGTCAACACACTTTGCGTGGCGTCCGACGTCTTCAAGACCCGGGGCCCGAGCGACACCTGTTCGAACGCGGTTAATTCGTGTTCCAGCTCGTGGTCCGTCCAGCCGCCCTCCGGTCCGATGCAGAGCACAATGCGGTTGTAGGCTCTTTTCCCCAAGAACCCGCCCCGAAACGCGGCGTAGGTGTCGTCGCAGATGATGTCGGAGATTTTCCTGGAAGTGGAGGACGGGTGCGCGACTAGGTTGAGACTCCCGTACTGGTAGTTGTTCGCACAAGTCTTCCCCCGAACTGCGAACATCGTCGTTTCCTCCATCTGGGCACTGGTCATCACGTCGCTGAAAGCTTCCTCGTGGTTCGCGAAGGTGAGTTGCGTCGACTTGTCCGTCGGGTCCGGCGGGAGCTCCGGGCCGCGGTTCTTCTCGATCTTGGGTGAGATCTTGCTGTTGATGCCGAACCCGGACTTCAACAATTCCGTGATGCTGAGTTTCGGCAACACCCGGACCATCGGCATCCGGGTGTAATACGCGGACTGGGACAGACCCTCGAGAAGCGCTCTTTCGATGTTCTCGGGGGACAGTTTTTTCGTGTTGCTGAAATAGGACGGCTCGACCTGTTGTGATGGAGGAATCGGTTTGGATAATTTGAATTTCATCTTAAACTTGTTCTATTCTCGAGCATGAAAAAATGATGAGGACCATGATAGCTTTCCTCGTCGAAACGAGGTGCTGGAAGCGATACGCAGTGTATGACTGGGATCGATGAACAAGTATACACAGCTACTGGACATCACATACAGATGCAGATGATGTACTTGCTATACATAAAGAACCACCCAATACCTTCTTCGCGGCGCCCACGACAAAAATTCGCCTGACGCCGAAGTTTGCGAGTTGCGCGAAGATTTTGTCCAGCGTTTTTGGTCGTGGACAGCAGAGAATCACGTCGATATTCGGGTGCACGTCCCACAACGGCGCTTTCCCGAGTCGCATGGAGGATTTTCGCCCAGATTTTCGTTCCTTGTTGGGCTCCGGACTGCCGGAAGTTTCCCTCTTGCTCGCCGCCATCGCCTCGGCCTTCGGCACGGGCTTGGACAATTTCGCGGGTGGGGGCTTCAAAATGTGTGGGCTCGCCCCCTTGCCCTTCTTGCCGCCGGGGACGGCGGTCAGCTCGGGCGTGCCGGGAATCACGACGCGGGTCGTTTCCTCGCCCTTTTTCGACTGCACCTGGATCTTCGTGTTCTCGGGAACGTCCGGGTAGATCTTCTCCCCCTTCTCATTCACGTAGATCTTGCCCAGGCCGGGGAGCTGCTTGCCGTCGTCTCCGCTGGCCTCGCTGCTCACGAGATTGCTCGGCCCGTCGTTGCCGGAGAGGTCGCCGGAAAGGATGGGGTCTTCCACGTAGAAGAGACGAGTCCGGAGCGGGTCGTTGTCCTCTGTCACGCCGTCCGGAAGCTTCGGGAGCGCGGCGCCCTGTTGTGGGGTTTCGTTGCATAAAGACAAAGATTGGTTTGCGATGATCAACATGACACTAGCTTACGCTCGTCCTGCCTGGGTGGTCACATTCCTTGGTAGTTGAAAAAAGTCATATAAATGCAGCGTGCGCTCCGCTTACGCCTTAGATGGCAGGAGACGGATGCGCATTACTAGCCGCACAAAAAAAAGTTGTACTGATCCCTATACCTTGAAGAAAACGTAGTTGATGCCCTCTTTCCTCTCCTTCACCTGCGTCTGTCGCATCAGCGGCGAGAGTGGCATTTCGGGAGATCCGAGCGCAATCTGCGAGGGTGACAAAATTGGCTGCGGTATCCTGAGTAAAAACGTACCCACACCAGAGTCAGGATGGGGATTTTGCAACACAAACCTAGGAGCTTTGTGAGTCACGCATGACAAATTGCGCTCTGCAGTGTAGTGCAGGTTAGCAAGTGCAGCCGCATCACAGATTCATCTGCTCATCCTGTTCACAGCATCACAAATCCCACATCACGATTGGAAATGGCTCTCATGCGGATGCGCATTACAAGTCTTGCTGTCTTTGCAAATCTGCATTACAACTCTGGTGTGGGTACGTTTTTACTCAGGATATGCGGTGCCGGGGCGGTGTGGCCCAGGGCGAGTTCGCCGCGGGTAAAGAAGTTACAGCTTTAACACCCGTTAGCATGAGAAGTGGCGAATTTGTAGTGAATTTTGCATGACAGATTGCAGATGAGTCCGCCGGGGCATTATCCCTCTTGCCCTTCTGGGAAGTGGGTTCTGCACACCGCAGAAGTCAAGGCTTAATTTATTATGCGGCGGGCAGCTTCTAGGCATGGCCTGGGTGCCGTTCTTTGGCCATGTCTATTCGTCTCCCTGTGCTCGCATAGAGCACTGCAGCAGCCGCGGCAAAGACGCTAAAAAGAAAGGCTGCGAAGCACATGCAATTAGGGAAGAAGGCGCAAAAAAACGAGTGAAAGGACCAGGCCGAGAGCTTTGACGCCTCTACCCGGCAGGCGCGTGAACTCCCCAGGCCTTTTCGGCAGAATATAGACGGGCTGAGGGCAACAGAGGGCGCTTGTCTTTTCCCCTCGGCCCCACTCCCCAGGGCCTACCTGTGCACATTTTTGAGCACTTTTCTGCGCCAAAGTTTGCTTATCACGGTCGAAAAGGGGCGCTCGGTGAATTTTCGGGTGAATTTTGAAAAGGGCGCCGGTGAATTTTGGGTTCCGGTGCCTGTTCAAAATTCGCTAGCGCGTGAGAGACTCCGAGTTTGGGGCTTCAAAAAAGTTTCGCAAAAAGACAAAGCCTCAAAATTCACCAAGAGAATTCCTGACCTGGGGGTCACGTCAAAGAAGACTACTAGAGGAACCGACCAAGATGAGGCAGGAACACAGCTGGGAGGAGGTTACTTACAAAGCAAAGCAGGCGATGCTAGCATCCGTAGCAACCTGTCTCCAGATATCCAAGCCGAGGCAGCCACAACCCGTGACGCGACTTCTCTATTTTGACATGTTGAGCTAGTACCTTTGACCCCCTTTACAGGCATAGCCCTCGTCCCGGTCGATCCGCCACTATCGAGTCTGCGGATCATGCAGCGTCGTGTTGTAAGACCGCCCTAAGCCACCTGCGTTGCTTCGCAGTCCACCAGGTGCGCCTCTTTGGGCAACAAGCGGCAAGCGTCCACAGGAGGGAAGCGCCACCAGCCAAGCAGCCCATCAACGCGGCGCGCTGGCTTCTTGTATGTTGTCCTCGTGTTCTAGTTCTTCGCATGCACCTGAAGATTAATCCATGCATCATGCCACGCAATACAAATTGTTCACTGGAAATTCACCCTTCTGTATGCTAACGACCGGTGTGGCCCAGGGCGAGTTCGCCGCGGGTAAAGAATATGGATGTGTCAGGATTGAAATCGACAAAGTTGAAATAACTTGTAATGCAGAAAATGGATGAAAGTTGCAACCCCGTTGCCAAGTGGCGCATGACAAATTTGGGTAGATCCGAAATCCAGTCTGTCGTGCTGTTTGGGTAAGGAAGTCGCCTTTTGTCATGCTACTTCAGCAGCTTTATTTCTACCTCAAAACAGGCTTACAATCTGCCCCCCTTGCCTACTCTGCAAGACAGACACTTTCTGCGTTGCATTTTATGCATGGCAAACTATTTCAACTTTGACGATTTCAAACCTGACAGCTCCATAAAGAAGGTTTTTCGCGTAAGCTGCATTTCATGGCCCTGGTACAGCTGCTCGGGCGTGAATTTCAGCTTGACACGGAGTCTGTAGTGGATTTTAGATGGGGAAAATTGATTTTCAAATAACAAACGGAATTGTCGCCTGATGTAGATGTGGCGCAAGTAACTATTAATGCATTCGCTCACAAGTAGATCGATGGCTATTGAAACTGATGTCACTGGCACTGGCTAACATTACCAAGTGAACATCAAAACAAAAGTAAAAGCAAAAAACTCAAAGAGGAACATAGCGGCTATGGCTAGTACCTCTGGATAAAGTGCACGAGCTTCTTGTCCCCCGAGTATTTCACGGGTGACATCTGCGGGGTATTACTGGCCAGGCTGTTGGACCTTGACCTCTTGTTTGGCGGCTCCCCGTCCTGTTCCGATTTGGCCGCGAGAAACCCGTCCAGATCGAACTGCGGCTCCCGGCGACCGTAGCTGGGGCCGACCCGCTTGCAGATCAGCGTTTTTCGGTTTTCCAACACATAGGGCAGATAACTATCATCGTCCTGCTCCCGTCCGATTCCCCTTGTGCTCAACAACTGCTTTGCGTCAATCTCCTCTTCCCCGGGTTGGATTTTTTCCTGGGGCTGCAGCTCCTCCGGGCTCACGGAGGTGACGTGGAGGCAAACGGGGTACTTCACGTCGCCCGTTTCCAGTTTCTGACGGAGCAAGTCATTCCTTGGGTACGTGATCCACTCGACCTCGCCGAGCCCCGTGTTGCCGTTGACAATGCCAACTTTCACCACCTGGTCGACGAAGCCAGAAAGGTTTAGGACTTCGAAAATGTGGGTAAACCTGGATGTGTGTTTTTTTTAATGTTTTTCTTGATTTTTCGATTTTGCATTTCTTGCTTCATATTGAGGTTGTACGACATCCCACTTGTTCATCTGTCATCCTGCCATGCAGAGCAGTATGAAAGCATCTACTTGTACGTACATAATTAAATCATGTCCAAAATTGTTCCTCATGCAATCTTCGCAAAAGCAGTAAGTACCTGTAATCTGTGGGGTCGATTTCCACCGTGTACATATTATGCCCCTTCACCTCCTCCTTGGTGATCTCACTGTGCCAGAACAGTAACAGATTCATCTTGCCGTCGGGTTTGTGTTGCGAAAATCCGATGCGGGTACTTCAACTTCTTCTGGTGCGGCGGGTTGTCGCTAGTTGGCGTCGGCTCCAACTCTCGATGTCTGGGTACTACTTGCCACACGGGAGGGGGACGAAATTTTTTTTGTCGTTCTTGCGAGCAGGGAATCAAACTTCGCCTGAGCAGCAGAGTGAGCCAGTTATGATGTCTTTGAGTGTTATCTCCTCTACTCACAATTTTCTTCCACTTTCTTAGGACATTTTCTACAGTACTTTCTTTCGAAAACCCAACAACCTGCAACAAATTCTAGTTTGGAAAATTATTCGGTCGAACAAGATAGGGGAAAAACGGAAAATACAAAAATTTTTGGTTACATGCAGAGAGAAACAAAATTTTGCGTTCGGGGTACGAAACTACTACGAAATTGAAAATATGGGTGGGAGAGAGCTTTTTAAAGATGTAGGGGAATTTTGGATCAAGATTTCACTGAAAAATTGTGACATTTTCAGGAACGTAAGATGAATATGAAAGCTAGCTTCAACATCATGACCGCCGACGATGATCCGAAGATTTTACATGACGAAACATTCCGAACGAATTCAGTTTTACCTTTCTTTACGTTGTGGATATAATTCTGTGCAATGTCCATCAATACGATTACGATTTCGATTCGTTGACGTAAACGTTTTCATGTGAGCGTAGCCTGACGAATTGCGACGACGAAGAAGTTTCACGATGGCATGACGAATTGGAAATTTATCACCAAGAGTTTCCGATTTCTTCAGAGATTAAAGCGTTCTTCACGACAGATTTTCGCTTCCGGTTCGTTTTTCGTACTGAAGACTACGATTTTTTTGACGATCAAACAGTATCGACGACAGCGGTGTGTTGATTGCATATCACCATGACGGCGAAAACGAATCTCCTTCTGGCATTAAGACACGTTTTGGTTTTCATTTCCGATTCACGACCGAGCTACGGAAGTTGTACGAAAGTCTACTTCTTGCATCTAGTTGCATCAGTCACTTGTACTTGTAGAGGTAGAGCGTCGAAGTATTATTCGTGGATTAAGTGTTGGTGGTGTTGTCAAAGTTTTCCCTTCGAAAGAAATACGAAAGATCACGCTCTGAGCCGAAAAGCAGCTTCAGATACAGATTTGTCCAATTAGCTGCAAAAATACGGAGTCACAATGACGACGATCACGATCAGAGGATATCCGTTCTGTTATTCTTGCTACGTCACAATGTGTTTGTTTCTCACCGCATCATCTGCGGTGCTGGCCCCGCGGCTCGCCTCGCTTCCATAACTCGGTCTTTCGCGTCTTCGGCTTTGCTGTCTTCCTCATCCAGCACGATCTGTTTTGGTGTTTGGAGAGTTTTGTTTTTCACAAAAGACAAGAAACGACGGCAGGGAAGTTTGGAGTTTGCTATGCACAACTCTACCAGCTCTAGATAGCAAAACAAAGCACAACGTTAAAGTACGTCCATCTGGTATCCCACATACGCCGACATCCATTCCGAAGAAGCCGCCATGAATCCGATGAAGGCCACCCGAAACGCCGACCTAGCCGCCGCTTTCACCTCCGCTGCTCGGAGTTTCGGGTCTTGGGGCTCGGTCTTGTTTCCGTGGTGGTCTTTCTTGTCGTGGTCGTTTTCGTGGCCTTCGCCGTGGTCGTGCTCCTCATGGTGGTGTTCCTTGCCCATCAGACCGGCTTCGACAAAAGAGGTCTTGCTGTGGCTGTCTCCTGGGTTTCGATTTGGGTGCAGCGTTGATGATTGTGTATGTTTGTCGCGTTTCATCACCGGTGTACAATCAGATTCAGAAGTACGCTGCAGTGACGAGGTCGCTCGCGTTCGTGGCTGCACTACACCGCTGTCGAGCCCATGAAAGGACGACAACGAGTGTGGTCTGCTTCCAGTCTTGCTTCCCAGATTTGCAGCTCCCGGCAACATCCACCAGTTGGCCGAAGACGTCTTTCTTGATGAGGATGAAGACGAACTCCCGGAACTACCTGTGTCAGGAAGACGAAGCAGCTCATCTTCTCCGAAACGCGAAGGAGATTCGTGGCTTGTGGAGGTGGCGTAGTGCTCACTACCGCGAGACCTCCATGCAGGTAGGGACGCGAAAGCGGTCGATATTTGGTGGCTGAGTCCTCCGAGCACCATCGTTGCTTAGTTTTGGTCTTCTAGGTTCTACTTGAGTTTATTTCTCTACTTGTTTTTTCGTTTGGAACGTCGAGCAGTCATCGAACGGACTACATTCGATTCATTTGTTTGTTCGCTTTCGCTATGTAGTACATTGCGAAATAATAAAATAATAAATCTCCGACCCGGTAACCAAATCCCAGGTCGTGTAACGCGCGTTACACGGGCGATTCGTGAATCACAGTCGACACATTCGCGACTCGTCCGAAGATGAAAACGACTGCACGACAACGACTGCTACTTTTTAAGTGCGACTTCTACCAGTAGCGAAGATGCGAAGAAGAAACGATGTCTGGAGCCCTGGGCGAGACCACATCTAGAGTTGGTAGTCACGAGGACATGACGATCACTATGAAGAATACAACTAAGTTGTATTCTTCATAGTGATTCTTCATAGAACCGATCCAAGTTGAACTTGGATCGGTTCATTACATTGAATTCAAAACGGATAAAAAACACAACCCGAGCCTCAGCTCGTAGTTCATTTGACTAGCTGATGCTAGAAAGGTAATTACAGGCGCCAAGAGTTTTATAGGTCCACTAAAGAAGCGTGACTGTCTTCTTTATCAGTTTCGTTAGCAGGTCTGGCATGCAGTAGTTGAGCAGAGTTGTTTTATTTCAGTATGCGTCATTGATTTCTTTGTCTTTCGTCTCAGTTCGACTTCCAGCCGATAAACGCGCCACCCCGTGCCGACTGTACCGCCGCCGCCGCGGCTCCGCCCGCCGTGGCCCAGCTGAAAAGACAGTGGCAGAGAAAGACAGTGGCTTGGCGAGAAAAGACAGCGGCCCCGCCGTGGCTTGGCGAGAAAAGACAGTGGCAGAGAGAGCAGCAGCAGAGCGACGAACAGGAAGAAGAGGACGACTACGCGAGCAGAATAGAGCTATGCAGGCGATTGGGGGTGTTGGACATAGAGACAGCCGTGCGGGAAAAGCGTATGGCTTGGGTGGCACACGCAGCGCGAGATAAAACAGAGCCCTCCGGGCTCTGGATAGCAAACGAGGTCGCGACTAAGTCACCGTGGGGGAAGCTGGTGTTGCAGGACTTCCACCACTACGGCCTCGATGCAGAGCAATTCTTCAAGGCCCCGCCCGATGCAGAAGCCACAAAGGAATTTATGCGTGCAAAAAGGATGGAACAGACGGGCCGAGCCGACCGGCAAAAGAAACAGAGGCAAGCTACGGGGAAAATGGCGCAAAGAAACGAGCAACAGAAGGCGAGGATAGAACAACAGAGAAAAGAAGCAGAGGAGTCTCGGGCGGCGTTCCTTCAAAAAATCAACGGCAGGCGCTGGGGCAGAGTGCCGGGCGCCAACCGGGGGGAATACTGGCAAGCAGAAAGTGACCCAGAGGTTCAATTTACGGTGTCCGGGGAAGATTTTTGCGAGAACACGGGAAGGGAAGTAAAGTACGTTGCCGGCCAGAGCTTCTACCGCAACCAGGACGGCCTCTGGTTCGCGGAGTGACAGCGCGAATGTCACAATGAAATGCGCTCGAGTGTACGTCCACTCACATGAGAATGAGGAAAGACAAATGTTCAAATGTCAGGACAAACACAAACATGATGACGATGATGATGATCTCAGTTTGATTTCCATCCAATAAACGCGCCACCCCGTGCCGACTGTACCGCCGCCGCCGCGGCTCCGCCCGCCGTGGCCCAGCTGCTACGTGCGCCAACAAAACACTGTGGCTGCGAGTGCTTGCAAAGCATGTCCGGAAGCTGATAGGTGGCGACGCGTCTGCTGTCAGTGTGAGGGGGGGGCGGTTTGGGTGTAAGAGCGAGCCGATCGACATGGCAAAGAGGAAGCAGATCGACGAGGGCGATCCGCTCGTCAAGCTGGCGAAGCGGCGCGCTGACAAAGACTCCTTTTTGGAGTCTTGCAGAACTGTAGGCGTCCTTGTTTCCTGGTGTCTTTGGGGATGTTCTTGGGCAAGGGGAATGCTTGTTGTCCGGAGGCCCTCCGGACCTCCTTTCTGGGGGGGGAAAGTGCCCTCGTTTTGCCGGACCTCCGGCAGAACCGATAACAAGCACCATTTTTGGGCACTTTTATAGTCCGCGTGCCGGCGTGCTTAGGTGTCTGCTATCGGTTCAGAAGGCCAAACCGATAAGAAGCACCATTTTTGGTCACTTTTATAGTCCGTGTGCCGCCCTATTCTCCGTAATTTCTCAGGTCAGAGCCCGGCGACGATGGTGGCCACGAGATGGCGGGCAGATTTCATCATCAACGACTGGGCGGTAACCAGAGCACGCCCAAGCTGCCTCATTTCTGGGCATCTATCTGTGTGATGCAGTGGGCAGCTCAGCACTTTCCCCATGTCAAAAACATGACGCGCCTGTGACGCAGGTCCACGTTACAAATTGATCTTTATGAGCCCAAAACAAGCTTCCAACCTGCACTGCCGGAAGCTGAGCAAATCGCATCCACCTGGGACGGTTGGCGCGCAGCTCGAAACGGCCCGGCAGAATGGGCTCGACATGATCCAGGCTTCGGCGCGGCGCTTGGCCAAATGCACACAACTGGTTCAAAATCATAGCTAGTTGAGGTAGCTAAGTCAGTAGCTAAACTTCAAAAAAAAATGGGCTTTGCCAGCAATTTCCAATCCGATAACGATAACAGATTTTTGTTCGATACCGTGCCGACTGTACCGCCGCCGCCGCGGCTCCGCCCGCCGTGGCCCAGCTGAAAAGACAGTGGCAGAGAAAGACAGTGGCTTGGCGAGAAAAGACAGCGGCCCCGCCGTGGCTTGGCGAGAAAAGACAGTGGCAGAGAGAGCAGCAGCAGAGCGACGAACAGGAAGAAGAGGACGACTACGCGAGCAGAATAGAGCTATGCAGGCGATTGGGGGTGTTGGACATAGAGACAGCCGTGCGGGAAAAGCGTATGGCTTGGGTGGCACACGCAGCGCGAGATAAAACAGAGCCCTCCGGGCTCTGGATAGCAAACGAGGTCGCGACTAAGTCACCGTGGGGGAAGCTGGTGTTGCAGGACTTCCACCACTACGGCCTCGATGCAGAGCAATTCTTCAAGGCCCCGCCCGATGCAGAAGCCACAAAGGAATTTATGCGTGCAAAAAGGATGGCACAGACGGGCCGAGCCGACCGGCAAAAGAAACAGAGGCAAGCTACGGGGGAAATGGCGCAAAGAAACGAGCAACAGAAGGCGAGGATAGAACAACAGAGAAAAGAAGCAGAGGAGTCTCGGGCGGCGTTCCTTCAAAAAATCAACGGCAGGCGCTGGGGCAGAGTGCCGGGCGCCAACCGGGGGGAATACTGGCAAGCAGAAAGTGACCCAGAGGTTCAATTTACGGTGTCCGGGGAAGATTTTTGCGAGAACACGGGAAGGGAAGTAAAGTACGTTGCCGGCCAGAGCTTCTACCGCAACCAGGACGGCCTCTGGTTCGCGGAGTGACAGCGCGAATGTCACAATGAAATGCGCTCGAGTGTACGTCCACTCACATGAGAATGAGGAAAGACAAATGTTCAAATGTCAGGACAAACACAAACATGATGATGATGATGATGATCTCAGTTTGATTTCCATCCGATAAACGCGCCACCCCGTGCCGACTGCACCGCCGCCGCCGCGGCTCCGCCCGCCGTGGCCCAGTATCAAATGTAAAAGTGTCTGGGTCTGGAAGAATGCAACTTGTCATGCTAAATCTGAAGCATGCAAAAATCTGTGTTGCATTATTACCAAAAGTCGCCCAGTTTTGACCAAGTCGGGAGGCAGTTTCTCATGCAGGATAGGCATGAGAAAGATCGCACAGAATCTGTCATACTAGGTCCTGCATTCCAGACCTCATGGCTCATGGAAAAGGTGCATGACAAATCGCGCATTTTTCCAGACCCAGACATTTTTACATTTGATACCCAGCTGCTACGTGCGATCTGCGCGCCACCACCAGCACTGCGATGCGAGAAGGAACCCCCTCCGGCACCAGCGGTCAAGCGGCCTGGATTGTACCCTGCGGGAAGGGAATCCAAAGTATCCTCGCTGCTATTCTGGTGCTTGTTCGCGAGTAGAGCACGTTCTCGCGGCGGCACCGGTGCAGCGCGCTGCTCACCACGATGCGACGCAGGAAAAGACGTCTTCGACGAGCTTGAAAAATTGTGTCTTGGAAAGGAGCTCCTGCTGGTTGCACTGAACGCTTCTCCGAAACTGGTGCTCGCGCCACCAAAATTGTAATCATCAGCACCGTTGGGGTTGGCAAATGTAAATGATGTTCTAGTACTCCGGTCGTATTTCTCTTGCTGCTCGCGTGGATAATTCTTCCTCGTCTCAGCGCCAGTAGAACCACCATTACCACTCTCACTCCTTCGCGACGTTTCAATCCGGCCGGTTTGCGGGCAGACGCGGCTGGTTTCGATTATGACAGTGCCGTCGGGTTTTTTGATCTTTGTCGTTTTCACGTCCCAGGAGGTAGTGTTGGACGAGGTATTGGTAGCGGAGTTGGCGATTGCGTTCCGGGAAGAAGTTGTACTGGACATCACCCCTACGTTCAAATTCGTGAACCCATTGTCAAACGGATCGTGCCCACCAAACATGCTGTCGAAAAGATTGTAGGCGTCGCGAAGGGAAAAACTGGGCGGGCGCCACGGTACCCCGCGTGGCGGCCGGTGGAGGCTCCGCGCCTGACTGTGCCGGTGGTCAGTTGTTGCACGGGTCGTGTGGCGATAATTGCTATCTTGTCTATTTCCTCGGTTGAAGTGCTGCGAAAACGAAGGGTCGGGATCTCCGAACATATTACCGTGCGGCTGTCCACTTCCAGTAAAAGCCGCGAAATCATCCGTAAACCTAGCGCCGAATGGATCTGAACCTCCAAAAGGTCCAGCTTGTGATCCTCCGGTCCAACCTCCAGTGCCGTGGTCATCATGATACCGTGGTTTTTCCCCGAAAGGGTTCGCTCCAGGTCCTTCCCCGGGCGCACGCCCCCAGTACTGGAAATCTGCGTCGGGGGGCGTGAAGTTCTGTGGCGCGCGTGATGCCGGGTTGTTCAAGGCGTGGTCGTAGGCTTTTCGTTTCTCCACATCCGACAGAACTGAATAGGCTTCAGCAACCTGCTTGAACTTTTCCTCCGCACTTTTACTCCCCTTGTTTTTGTCCGGATGAAACTGCAGGGCAAGCTTCCGGTACTGCTTTTTGATGGAGCTCGGGTCGGCGGTTTTAGAGACACCCAGGACCTCGTAGTAGGATGGAGGAGGTTTGCCGCGCGAGGAGGAGGAAACCATCTTGACAAGAGCAAGAGGAGGCTGTGGTGCTTACGTTACTCGTATGCTCTAGCTGTTGACAGATCTCACTCCCTATAATACAAGGTTTCAATCATACATACGGCGTAGTACTTACTTGTTGTACTTGGAGTCATCCTTCCTGGCTTCGTCTTGCTTGCCGTTCATTCCATGCTAGATTAGTAGTGCTGCTCATCTATCACTATCGAAGAAACTGGCTGAGTGGGCACAAAAGATCGCTCGTCCGTGATCTCTCACAATTTACGAAAAGCGCAAAAACAACAAAGGACCGGACTCAGACAACGCTCAGACCTCCCGAATTCCACACGCAGACGAGGAACGGCCCGCAGGCGAAGCGAAGTGCTCGGTCTACAACCAGCAGGAACAAATTTATCATGACACAACATCTTGAGGATCAGAATGCTGTTACTCCTGCGAATGGTGCAGCTATTTAGTCACGAGATGTACATGTACATCAACATTGCGGAATACGAATAGGACCATAGATTTTGCTTCGCTAGATACAGGAATCGGTATAGGAGAAGTATGCTCGCGTGTCCTTCTTGTCGATCTAGAAGTACCCCTGACATTGAAATTGAATACATGTATTCTCCGCATTACTTCCTGTCCTCAAGCACATCCCGTGCTTCTTTCCACGTAAGTTCACTTTTCGACAGCCCAACCTTGCCACAACCTCGCACGCAAATTGACCGCCCGTCATTCTGCGTCGTGCATTTTTCATCAAACTTAACCCGCGGGTCCGCGCGGTCCACGATTCTGATCTTTATCAGGGAGAACTGGTGCGGCCGATACAGCGCCAACAGCCTCCACATGGTCAGCCGTCGGTTGCCCGTGCCTGCCAGGTACAGTCGAGGGTGCCGCGGGGGTAAAGTTTTCCCTGGCGCCGGCGGGCTCGGACCGCCGCTGCTGCTGGCTGAAGTGGTTTGTGCCTGCGGATCTGCCCAACAGACGTCCAGACATTCCAGGCTGACCGGGACCAGCCCGGCCGCTTGCTGGCGCAGCACTTCCCGTAGAGAGTCCAAAATGCCCTGATGACAGCGGTGCGCTTTCTCGTTTTGGTCGTAATAGTCTCGGAAGAGCGCCTTCACCGAATCGTGAGTGAAGCGGATGTCAAGAGGGGATACCCAAAAGGTTCTCCCGACCCTAGAGGCAACTGGCGGCCGACACAAGGGCTCCGTAAACTCGAAAGCCGCGTCGTCATCCCGCGGCGGTCGTCGGGCCGGCAGCTGCTTTTTACTAGCACAAGAGGACCTGCTTCCGCTAAGAAGCAGGTCTCGAGAGACAGGCGCGATCAGGTTGCAAGCCTTCCTGCAGAAGGGACATACTGGCGTTTTGTTCTCCGCTGTCGCCCCCGACAGCACCTGCTCGGCGCACTGTATGCAAGTCAGGTACGACTTGCAAACGCAACTCCGCCGTCCGTCGAGCAGCAGGATGGCAGGCATGCTTCCGCGAGAAGCCAAGGCTTCCCAAGATTCAAAACAGACCATGCAGTCCTCATGGGGCGGAACCTGCTTGCACTTGTGCGTCGCGCGCTGATACTGGGGAAAGATCTCCATGCACTGCGGGCACTCCGTCGTAGTGTAAGGGCAGGTGAGGAGGTGGCGGCTGCGGTCTTCGAATGCGCCCGTCCACGTACAGCCGGCACTGTGGTTGTGGGTACAGGGGACAGCGCGGCGCCTACACTCCGTTTTCGTGTGGTCGTCAAGGCGCCAGAATGGAATGGTGTCTTCGCCGCACTGGGGACACTCGACTTCGCGGGACTCACACTCCTCGGCCAGATGAATGTCAAAGCGGTCGGCGGGTATGCGCATGCGGCAATGGTCACGATCACAAAAGATCGGACGTTTCGGGCACTTCTTCATATGGCGCTTTCTCACATTGCTGTTTTTTGGTAGCTCTTCGCCACAGAACTCGCACTTGCTCGTCTTGGCCTTCGTGGTCTCCGAAATCTGTCCGTCCGCAGCGGCGGAAGCAGGATTTTGTGGAAATACCTTCTCACAACTCTCGACTCCGAGCTCTTCAAGCTTCATCGCCAGATTTGCGATCTCTCCGTCCGTGGCCTTGTTTGCGACTAGCGATTCGCTCGTGGGCAGCTGCGGATTCGCCAGAAGGTTGTCAAGCGTCTCAGCAGCCTCCGTCAGGCACGTTTTGAGTTTCGTGATCCGCTCGGCAGTAACCGTGGCTGATCGAAGCAACCGTCGACACGATTCAATAAGCTTGTCTTCGTGCGCCTCCACAACCGCTAAAACGTCTGGGTCCTGCTCGACGGTATCGGAGATAACGTCGACCACGTCCTCACGGAGTGTTTCGCCCAGTGCTACGACTGCAGTGTGGCTTTCCGTCAACTCTTCCTTCATTTTCTCGAGCTCGATACGCGTTGCGAAAGAAGCTCTCCCGTCCTGAAGTTCATCTTCCACCTGTGTCAATATTTCTTCGCATGCAAGCAGCCGCTGCGTCTGTGCCGATTCTTTCTTAGTGATGTTTTTCGCCGCGATGCTTGCGTGACGGTATTGTCGCAAAAACGACGCTACCATATCCTCTTCGAAGAGGGCACGTTCCCGATTCTCATCGTCTGTGCCAGCTTGCTGCCGGGCCCTCTCTTGTTCCTGCGCACGGGAACTTGGTGAGTTATTTTCCCATGTCTCACCAAGTGGCAACGCAAGATCGTCCGGCGGTGCACACTTCTTCAAAACGTCTATCAGGGGCGCATCCACTACATCATCGTGACGGAATGCGATCCATTTATCTTGTAACTCGTCGTGCACAATGTAGAGGTCGTCGAAGGCTGCTTCAACACGTGGGCCGCATCCCGTCGTGGTAATCGCTCCCTGCGAGGAAGGGCCGTCTCGGTCTACTAGCTGTGTCAACAACTCTCGCCTTCCGGGGCGCTTCGGAAACGGAATAATTTGCATTCTTTTTGTCACGTAGACGATGCGAAGGTCCAAGGCGGTTGGGGTCATCGGGCTGGGAGGCGTTGACCCACTCGACAAGGCGAGGGCCATGGCATCGGCCGCTCGAGTAGAGGATTCGCAGATACAATCTGGCAGCAAAGCGCTGTTTTTCACCTTTAACAACAACCGCCGCTCGCAGAGCAGCCTATCAAGCGAGGTTTTTGACGGTCTCCGCGATGTCGCCGCAACCTGTCTGCGCAACCAATCGCAGCCATTTCCACCGCCTGGCAGCGAAGCGTCGAGCCAAACAGGCTTTGTGAGCTGGAAGGCACACATTCGCGCGTCCATATGCTCATCTGGTTCGCCATCTCCTTCTTCGCCATCTATCACTGGGCCTTCACCGGCAACAAAGCGACGAATTTCCGTGGTTGTGTCTGGCTCCCCCGCGGTGAGTCGCGCCGCCCTTTCTAGAATGAAGATCGGGCACAGGGGGTGCTCTTGCACGGCTTCGACAAACCGACAAGCCAGGTCTGGCGCTCCGTCTCGAATTCCCATCCAGACATTTACGTACAGCATGACTGCGCTATGCCTTGCTGCGATACATTCAAAAGGTGTTTCTAGGATCCCGAGTCGCAGAAAATAAAAGTCGCCAGCTGAAACGCACCAGTTGCAGCATTCTTTCCGCATGCCCCCAGTGTCGGAAGGATTCATAACGAGGAGCGTTTTTGCGATGACGGCTGCAGCCCGGTGATTTCCAGTTTCGGCAAGGAGGCAGGCTTTCAACATGAGTTGGCGCAAGTACGGTCGAGGCTCCATGTCACTCCACAGAAGACGCAGCTCGCGTTTGTATACCATCATCTCGAATTCGTGAACCCTTTGAAACAGTTCGCGGGCTTCAAGTCCAGTGGCCTTCAGGAGACGGGTACTAGCTGATGGCTCAGGTACCGCTGCCGTCGCCTTCAGTGCGACAGGCAAAATCCGTTCTAGCACCTCTCTGTACCTCGGAAACGACACATGCACGCGATGAAGTGTTTGAGCGACAATTTGCAACGCGAAGGCCCGCTGTCCCCGCATCTGCAGATCTTGCGCAAGCGCAAGGGCGGCATCGTGCACGCTGCCATCCAAATCCAGCCGCAGGGCCTCGCGAGCAAGTTTGTTGCGACGTGCTAGCGAATACTCGTAGTTTGCAGATAGAAACCCAAGCTGGACAGCAAGATCCTGCGCAGTAGCGTACTTCTTGGCTTGATCTGCCGCAACCGCCGAGATGTATCTCGAATACTGGCTGTTTTTGTGCACCCCCTGAACACAGTTATCGTAGAAACGGTCCTTATCGTCGGGCTGTACGTCATCGCGTCGCTCCAGAAGGCGATAAAAGTCCAAAGCTTGGCCGAACCAAGGCTCGATAGCCAGCTCCACGTCGCGCGAAACCCCGTGTCCCATGTAACATGTCGATTCTCGGGGCGGATCAAAAAGACCTTCAAGGCTCCGAGCCCGGGCTTGTGTCATGCGCAGTCGCTTCGATCCGAGTAGGTAGCGCAAGCGGTTTAAGCAACGGTTCTTGCGCACTCGTACGTTGTTTGTGTAGGCGGCCTGATTGTGCCTGGACGATGCAAACTGACCGTGTAAGTGCGAGAATCCTATGAAGGTGTCCACCAACTCCTCAAACTCCGCATCCCGAGGCCTCGGAGCAAGATGGGAACCATCGTTCTTCTGCGTAAACAAGTCGAACACACATTGGCCATCTGCACGGCCGCGGATCGGAATCTCGTGCTGGGCGTGATACTGCAGAATTGCCTTGTCGGCAGGTACGTTCGGCGCATCGCTCGCAGTATCGACAGTAACAAAACCGTCCGGGTCGTCGATGGCTGTGGAATAAATTTTAAATCTACCCTCCGCCACTGAAACGTACCGATTATAGGCAATATAGGGGCCCGGAATGCCGGTCTGCTTATCGGGCTTCCACATCAGCGGCTCAGTGTTCGGACGGATTTTTCCACGCACAGCCGGATCTTGACGCACCAACTCGCTTTCCTTGAACTGCTTCAGCACAAGAGGCACGTTCACAATTTTAACGGCTGACGTCTCATTAGTCCCTTTCGTATCTTCATCTTCGTTAGCGAGCAACTCCACAAGATATTCGGGAGCAGCACTACTTCTATCAGCACCGAGTTCGTCACAAGCTGTGTACGCGATCACAAGAGCAGCTGCATTTGTAGGACTGTTCGATAAAGCTGCAGCACCTCCCAAGCGGACATCAACATGTTCGCCCAGGGCGAAGCGCGGCTTCCATAGATTCTCAGCTTTCAGGGCTCTCGAAACGTCTACCTGCGCCAGTATTTTGACTGGTAATCTCCCAGTAGAGCTGTTTGCGCCGCCCCCGAGCACCACTCCTATTTGGCCGTTCAACGCTTTTCCCTGCTCCGATTGAAGTCCCCGAACAACGACCATATCTCCCTCGGTAAATGAACAACAAGGCTCTTCAGGACTACACTCCTCCTCTTGTTGCGGAGAAGGGCAAGTGGAACGTGTCCGCGTAGAAGCTGCGGACAGCGGTGTGCTAATTCGCGTTGTCTCGCTGGGCATCATTTTTTTCAGCGCTTGCGAATCTTGTTCCTGTAGCCAGTGTTGGTCGTCTTCCTCTTTCGCCAAGTACTCTACGAAATCATGATAAAACTTGTCCACGAGTGCACGAAAGGTGTTCTCTTCCGGATGCAGGTCGGAAGCAATCGCGAACCCTGGACGAATCACCGTCGCATCCGTCACGAGCTCCACTTTTGTCACGCGCTGTGCCTGCTCCGTGAGGCCCTCTTCACGGAGCCACTGGGCGAACGCAGCGTCAAACACTGTAATTCGTGCGGGCCTTGTTCTCTCTATGCCAGCATACCGGGCTGGATTCTTGGTGGCAGCGTGCACAGCAGTGCAGCCGTAACCGCATAGGTTGGCAGCAACCTCGGACCACACTTTTCGGTAAATCTGGCGTCCATGGGTTTCGGGTACAAACATCTGATGTACAATGGATCCTGAAGCCGGCATGAACGCAATAAACATCCAGGGCTCCGCATCTGCAAATGGTCCAGATTCGTCGTAGAGAGTATTTCCAGCCTCGCGCATTCGGCGCTTGAAGTCAATCGCTTCCAAATGCAAATCCTGGCTGTAGGTTCCGCGTGGATCCATCTTGCTTGGCCGCAACGCCTCAAAGTCGAGGCGGTATTGTTTCGTTGCTTGAAGGGTCATTTTTTTATTTCTTGCGGATACGGTAGTCTAGTGAGCGGCTTTCTGGTACTCAAAATTTGGCTTTCCTGATGAAGAGTTTCTTCTTACCAAAAGCAAAACAAAAACAAATATATGAAGAAGACATCATTCTCAACACGAATGGGAGAATATCATGTACTTAAACTTATGTCCGTGACTGTGAGACCAATTGATACTTCTACAGCTTGAACAGCCAAAATTCTGAACATAATGAATCCTGGGACTGTTCGTGTAACTGCTCGCTGCACTTTTTTCGTTCACCTCTATAATGGCGATGCACCAGGACGGATGCGGAAAGGTCCATGCCTACTAATTAAGTAGCATTCGTTGTAAGGATCGGCAGAAGGGGGAGGACCCGACAAAAATCATGAAGAAGACAAGAGGCATGATCATCACGTGCGTCATTCAGAATCAGAGAGATCACCAGTCACAATTGAGCCGTGCGAAATTGTTTTCCTACTACACGAAAGCCGGGAATAGAAACTCAAACTTCTCACGCACGGAAATAAACCGGAGTGATCTTTTTACCTGCATTGCACCTGGTGCTGCTTCAAATGAAATGCTGCATCGGCATGGAAGAGACGTGGATCGTTTCATTGGTTACATCATCACGTCGGACAGGAACCTTTTAAAGCTGGATCTGGAACAACGCATACGAGTATTACTCACACAGATGGACTTCTGCGGGTGCCACGAGAAGCGGTGGTGAATATGGTTTAACAATTTTGCTTGGCGACGCCCTTCTGAGTCCTTCTGGCTCTGAGCGAGATTATTTCGAATGCGCCCGTCCACGTACAGCCGGCACTGAGGGCGTGGGTGCAGGGGACCAAGCGGCGCCTACACTCCGTTTTCGTGTGGTCGTCGAGGCGCCAGAAGGGAATGGTGTCTTCGCCACACTGGGGACACTCTACTTCCCGCGATGTTGATGCACCCGGGGTGCTTTCGATTGCGCTCTTCCTTTCGAGATTGTATACTTCTGTCCTTTGTCTATTTTCGTGAAAGCCGAAGGAAGCCCAGGTCTCTGTTGGTTCACCGACTGCGCCATTCCCATTTAGTCCCTAAGCAGATCAAGCGCCTCCTTCCAAGTGATCTCATCTTTCGCAAGTCCGACATTCCCACAGCCTCGCACATAAATCGACCTCCCCTCGTCTTTCGTTGTGCACTTTTCGTCAAATTTGATTCGCGGGTCAGCCCGGTCCACGATCCTGACTTTTATGAGCGAGAACTGATGCGGACGAAATAGGGCGAGCAGCCTCCACATGGTGAGTCTGCGATTTCCGGTTCCAGCGAGAAACAAAAGCCGCGTATGGTCGTTCTGGCCTTGTTCTTCGCCTGGTGTGCGTGTCGTGCTACCACGCGGCACCGACGCGCTTTCCCAACACACATCCAGACACTCAAGCCGCAATGGAACGAGGCCGGCAGACTGCATGCGCAATACTTCGCGGATCGACCCAAGGATGCTCTGCTGCGACCTGTGTTTCTTGACATCCGGGTCATAGTAGTCGCGGAATTCGGATTTGACCGAGTCGTGCGTGAAGCGCAGGTCGAGTGGCGAAACCCAGAAAGTACGACCGAAAGCGGCGTCAGCCGGAGGACGGCAGAGAACGTCCGTAAACCGAAACGCCTTGTCCTCATGCCGCGCTCGAGTAGGGGGAGAACTATTCTCCGGCGACCTTTTGTTTTTGCCTGCTTTTGCAGCTCTGGCAGTCGTGGTATCTGGAACCCCCAGTAGTAAGCTTATCGGCAGTGGTGTCGCCGAGTCGCACTCCCTTCTGCAAAATGGACACGCTGCGTTTCCGTTCTCGCTTGTGTGCGTCACTTTGTCTGCGCAGCCAAGGCAGATGTTGTGGGACTTGCAGACACAGGTACGGCGCCCATCGCGAAGGAATATTGCAGGGGGGCTGCCGCGCTTCGAAACCAATGTGGACCACGATTCGAAACAGATAAGGCACTCCCCACGGGGGTCGACACGCTTGCAGCGATGGGCGGCACGCTGGTGCTGGGGGAATACCTCCAGGCATTGTGGACACTCAGTTGGCGCATATGGGCACGTTAGATAATGCCTGGGGCGCTCTTCGAGCGGGCCCGCCCAGGCACAGCCGCTCGCGTGCAAGTCGCACTGCACAAGACGACATGGACAATCTGTTCGCATATGGTCCTCCAGGCGCCAAGCGGGAACTTTATCGTACCCACACTGAGAGCACTCCACGTCACGGGACTCGCACTCTGCCTCCTGGTGATATTCAAACCGGTCCGCAGTCACATGCATCCTGCAGTGGTCCCTGTCGCAAAAGATCAAGCGCTTCGGACATTTCTTCGTGTGATTTCTGCGGGCGTTGGTGTTCCCTTTCGGGATTTGCTCACCACATTGCTCACACTTCCACAAGAAGCGAAGTGCGTCCCTGTTCGACTCATTCGTGAGTGTAATTCTATTTGGGTTCGAAGACATAAAAGTGTCTTTATCGTCAGTGAGTGCGCAGACGAAGTTTCCGCTCGTCGTGCTCTGAACCCCCGGCGCTGCAAAGCCACCTGCAATGATTTCATCTTGCGTGTCTACAACTTCCTCATGTCGGTCGTTGTTTCCTGTCGGCGAAGAAGAAGCTGTCGACGGTGTTCGGGCTCCTGACAACGTCCTCGCTCCTGTGCTTTGCCGAGCACTCAGTGGAGCAGTTACTTCCCCATGCAGTTCCTTCTGATCGTTCGTTTTGATCTGGTCTAGCCTTCCTGGTATTTTTTGTTCTAAGTCGAAGTCCATATTGGAGGCGCGCGCGATCAAATTATCGAGTAGACTGCGGGAATTCTCTGCTGACTCAAGTAGTCGGCGAAAGGCAGCCAACAGGGACTCGTTGTCGTGCAGCGTGATAGCTGCCAGGACATCCTGATTTTCTTCCATTTCGTCTGAAACGAATCTGCGGACATCACGATCCAGCTTTTTCTTTAGGGCTGCGAGGGCTTCCACCAGTTTGTTCGTCATATCAGGTTCTTTCAGTGCTAGTGCACAGCACGCGTAAGCATCTTCTTCGTCATAATTACCTCTTGTCTTATTTTGCTGTGTTGCCACCCTGCCCCTGGCAGAGCCGTCGTCGCCAGTGCTGTCACCGTCGCCAAAATCTTCAAGGAGGTGCGGGGACCGGGCCTCCTCAGAGCGCAAAATCTGCACCTCGAGCTTTCGCGCCAGCTCCGAGACGTGTTTTGCCACGGCCTTAGCGTCACGATATCGGACTAAATATTGCGTCCTCACCTCCTCCTCAAAGCGAGCACGCTCCTGCGCCGCGTCTTCGTTTTGCGCCCGTGTTCGTGCCCGTTCTTGCTCCCGCTGCGCTGCCTCGGCATTTATGCGTGCCAATGCCTGATCCTCGGACGGCGACGCAAAGTCGCGAGGCGCCGGGCACTGCAGCAGCAAGTTTATTAGTGGAGCGTCGACCACGTCGTCGTATGTGAAGGATGTCCATTCGCCTTGCAGCTCGTCGTGGACAACAAAGAGCATCCTCGTATCCACTTCTCCTGTAGGGCCCACAGCTGAAGTCTCTCGCAAGCGATCCACGTATACCTGTCGTTCGGGTCGACTCGGATAAGCGACCATTCGCATACGGTTAGTTGCGTGAACATGCCGTAGAGGAGACCGCGACCCGGCGGCATCAGCCGGGAAGGGCGGCGGCGGGCTCATTGTAGTGGAGTTCGCAGATTGATCTTCGTGCGGCGACTTCAGTCTCAAGAGTATCCGACGTCTTCCTAGCAGCCTTCGCAATTCTGCCTCAGTCGGTCGCCGCGAATGCGCTGTCATTTGTTCGCGCAACCAATCGCACCCGTTGCGGCCGCCAGGCAGCGGCGCGCCATCGCGCCATACACTCCTCGCAAAGTTGCTTGCGTATCGCCTTGCCTCATCATGCACCAACACGCCTCCCTTGCGCATCGGAGCCATTCCCCTGTTCATTACCACAGACGCTAGGTCTGAGCGACTGAAAGCTTCCAACAGTGCATCAGAGTTCGCTCGGTGATACGAGAGTTCCTCGCGCGCGGCGGAGTCCTCGGGGCCGAGACCAGGAGGGGCTTCGCCTGTGCAGCTTGCGCGCGCGAGAATGAAACTTGGGCAAACAGGGTGGTCCTCGAGAGCCTTTAGGAAGCGAGCACGCAGTGCTGGTGTCGCCCCCACATTATTGTCTTGAATACCCAGCCAAAGGCATGCGAAGCGCACGTCGGCCCTCGTCTCTTGTACCTCCGGTACGGGATTGTTTTCGAGTGCGTGTTGCAGGTAGTCGAAATCCCTCGTGATAATGCACCAATTGCAGCAGAGACCCCGCATGTTGCAGTGATCCTCTGGATCCATCGCAAGCATGACTTTTCCAACTAGCAGTGCTTGCCTCGCTCGCCCCAGATCCGCAAGAAGGACGGCCTTCATCTGCAGTTGGCGCAGATACGGTCGGTTGCCCATTACGTCGAACCGAACTCGCAAATGAGGGAATCTTTGGATCTTGGCGGGATCGCACATCGCACTGTAAATCGCCAGGTCCATCCCGGCCGGACGAGTCCCTTCCAATGTGGTTGTGGCGCTCAGTGCAACACCAAACAGCTCTTGCATCGCGTCGCGGTATTTTGCGTTCTGCGCATGATGATCATGAATTGCCTGCGCAACGAACTCCAGCGCGAGCGCGCACTGCCCACGAGCGCGCAGTTCCAATGCCAGACCAAACACCGCATCGCTTACGTCCGGACGCAGTCGAAGCGCTTCGCGGGCAAGACTCCCTCGCCGGGCCAAAGGAGTTGATTCGCGGTCCACCACAACAGCACCAATTCCCACGGCCAAGTGCGCCGCATTAGTATAGTGCTTGTCCTGTTCCTCACGAGCGCGAACAACTGTGTCAAGATATGTGCCGTCCTTGTGGCACTCCTGAACGCAAATGTCAAAAAAGTGATCCTTGTCGGCCGCCGAAATTAGACCAGAAAATCGGAAGAAGTACATGTTTTTTTGCGCATCCCCTTGCAACGGGGGTCGCGGGCTGAATGAGGTTGGGGGGTGCGAAGGCGCGACCGCGTTCCGGGTTGTTTTATCCCGGAAAAATTAGCCCCCGGCATTGCGGCTGCGCGGCCGGGGCCGGGGCGGGTCGGCTTGGCGTAGATAGGAAGGCGACGGCACACAGCCAACACCTCGCCACCCGCCCCCACGCTGGGCCCACGTCGGGGACACACAACAGACGCGGCGCGCATCCCGGGGCCCCAACGCGAAGCCCTTCCGGGCCCGGAAAAGCTCTTGCTTTGGCTGCGGCCTGGCGCGCCTTTTCCCTTCATTCCGGGGCCCCGGCCGGCGGGTGAACTGCAGGCCCCCCAAGAGGCGCGCGCGCCTCCCCCTTTCGGAGGGGGGGGAAAAGGGGGCCCGAATTGGCCCAATTCGCCTCCCTTTTTGAGGGGGGGTAAAATGTGCCCGATTCTGGCTCATTTTGCCCCCCCCCTGTAGTAGCGGGGGAAGGCCATTTTTTGCCCCCCCCTAAAAAAGGCGGCAGAATTGGGCCAATTCGGCCCCCTTTTTACCCCCCCCTCCAGAAGGGGGGCCCGCGCGCCTTCCGGGCCCCCCTTCCCGGCCCCCCAATTGTGGGGCGGCTGTTGTTGGGGCCGAAGCAGGCCCCACCTTAGGGGCGCGCGCCCACCCTACTGCTTCGAGGGCCGGCCCCTCCGGTACGGCGAGCAGGCCCATGCGCTTCCGGCAAAAAACATGGCGGCGGCGCACCGGCCCGACCGGGACGGGCCCGCGGGGAGGCCGCTTGGTGGGGCGGCGTTTCTCGCTCTTGGCGGGCTTCGAGGTCGGGAGGCCGCCCCGGCTCTCTTTGGCAAGCCACAACCCCCGAGCCGCTGCATGGCGCAGCGAGGTCCTCGGGCCGGGTGTACTGTCGGGGCACCCCGCCGCCCCCGAAGCGAAACGAAAGCGGCCCGTCATGCAAGCGGGTGCGCGAAAAAGTATGTACTTCTTCCGATTTTCTGGTCTAACGAAATATCTGCTCGACCGTCTATGATGCGAGCAAGTTCGACCGCCTGCGATCGCCAGGGGCACATGGTGCGCTTCGCACTGCGCGAAGCGCCAGGGTAGTCTATCATTCCATCCTCCTCTTTCGTGAGGGCAAGCTCGAGCCGGCGAAGTCTTGTTTGTGTCATGTCGAGCTCATCGCGCGACTGCAGAAGATACCTCAAGCGGTTCATGACCCGACTTTTCCGGTAGAAAGAGTTTTTGGCAGCGGCCTGGCTCTGCTCGGGCGATTCGGTTGTAGATTGCGTCTCTTCATGATCATCCACATCTCCTGGCCGGGGCAGAGGTTTGTTTAGAAAATTTTCGACCAGGTCGTCAAACTCCGCGTCGCACGGTGGTGGGTGCAAGTAAGAGTTGTCGTGCCGACCCGAAACCAAATCCGCAATGCTCTGTTCGTCGTCCCGACCCCGGATCGGAATGTGATTCTGTGCATACAGTCGCAACATGGCTTGGTCGATCGTCTCTCCCGGAAAAACGAGTCCCTCCGGCGTGATGTGGTCACAATACAGGGCGCCATCTCTCGATCCCCTCACATTCTTGACGACAAGGAGCCACATGGCCGGATTGAATGGCATGTATACACGGTATTCCACCCGCACTCCCTGACACACTCCATTTTCATCGTAGTTCCATAGAAGTTCTTTCTCCCGAAAAGGAAGTACCTTCCCACTCGTAGCAGATTGAAGCAAATCCATTTCCTTCACTCGTTTCAGAATCAGTGGCTTCCCAAGGATGCGCGTGGTGTCTCGTCCGACGTGGTCCACCTCCGGACGAGGACGAGATTGTTGATGATGTTGTGTGCCGGTCGTGCCAGGCGATACTACTGCAGCTGCTGCGGTCGTTGTCCCGGCGATCTCCGGCTGCTCAGAACTACCGGTTGCGACGCCATCGCCGCTTGGTAAAATTTCTACGAGATATTCCTCTTGTCCTGCACCGCAGGCTGAAGAAATGACTACGCTGTAGCCCATTACAATGGCGGAAGCCAGCTTTTCTTCTCGCCCAAGCTCTTCTCCCGATTTGTTGATGTCCACCGCACAACTTCTTCCAGTGTCAGTTGTCACTTGACAATCTTCCCTGCGACGAAGGCGGACATCGACATGCTCCCCGAGTGAAAATTGTGGTTTCCACAAGTTCTCAGGCTTCAAAGCCACTGCAGCCTGCATGTTCACTGTCGATAAAATGTTCACACGCCACCTGCCTGCGGAGTTGGGTGTATCCTCGAGAATTGCTCCCAAGAGTCCATTTAGTAGCTTTCCCTCAGCCGACTGCAACCCTCGGATGACAACCCGGCTGTCCTTTCGAAATAAAGAAGTAGCAAAAATCGTAGGCGGAGCGTCGGTTTCGCTAACTCCCGCCACGCCTTCGCCTGCAGCACGTGTTTGGGCAGAAACTCCAACGAAGCCCTCCGATGAAGAACCAGCAGCGTTTTTCTTTTGTGGTAGATTTTCATCATCTTCACCACCAGATGATTGGGTGAGACCACGACCACTGTGACTGTGATGATGCTGATCGTCTTGTAGTTTTAGTGTCGGGCGGTCAGGAACTGCTACTGCGTTCTCTTCTGCGAAGATCAGAGTACCGCTAATGTCCCTTGACCGCGCGAGTATTCGGGACAAAGTGTTACCAACCCAGGCTGACAACGATACCTTCGATATTTCTCCTGCACAACCGTCTGCCTCTTCTTGTCGTACAATTGCAGCGTTACGCGCAACGAGATCAACCTTAGTCTGCAACTGCGCTCGCACGGACAGCCCTTCTTTCCGGAGCCACTCCGCAAAAGCCGGATCAACGACAGTTACACGACTTGGTCGTATTTTCGTCTCCCGCTTGCATAGGGCAGAAACGACGGCTGACCACACGATGCGGTAAGTCTGTCGGCCATCCGGATAGTGAACGCGCTGCTGGTGCACTATGTCAAGTTCCTCGTTGGCATCGGCTCCGAAAGCAGCCGGCATCATAATTCCTAGGAAAATCCATTGCAAAAATCTTCCATACACGCCACCGCTAGAGACATTCGTTGCGGTAGCAGCTTCCGCCTCGGGACCTCCAGTCTGGGATACGTCACGCACAATTTGGAGATGCAAAAAAGATCCGTCCACCGTGGATAAATCATTGCTGCAATTCTCCTTTGGTGCTTCTTCGGTGTTCTGCACGCTTTCAACTCCGGCTGCAGCTGAGGGCGTCAATGCCTCAAAATCAAGCAGCCGCGGATCTGTCAAAGAAGTACTCATTATACTGAAGATCTTCTTGTTCACGGACACGGACTAGAACAGATCAATATCATCCTCGGTCCTGCTGTCAACGATCATGAATATAAGCAACGCGTTTAAAAATTTGTGCATCAGCATCAACTGGGAAAATAAATTGAAAAAACATCCTCAAAATAACCATACAAAATCGCGAACAAGAGGTGGGTCATATCTACTTCTGGAACGGATACTCAGGACACTGGAGATTCACTTTTGGTTGTGGTTGCGAAGAAAACCTAGAGCGACTATTTTTTGAAGAAGCGGCAATAGATCTCTTGCTCTTGCAAACGCGATACCAAGTCAAGCAGCCGATAGTCAGTTTCACATCGAGCGTTAGCGCACACTTTGTGTACTCCATCTTGGTGAGAACAACCAGGCTGCGCGGGCGCACGCAAAAGCTACGGCTACGCGACAGCTACAGTTTCTTTTCAGCGATCCTTCTTGGGGTTCTCGCTTCCGTGCTCAAGTTGGGATCGCGAATAGAGATACTTTTACGTAATTAAAGGAACTCCTGCAGCCATGCCTTCTGTACTTCAGGCACAGATTCCTTTATTGTTGTGGCGGTCGCTCGTTATCTTTCGCACAGCAGGTGCACGTGAAGGTTCATTCAAAAAATTATCCGTTGGAACAGGACGACGATGAAGACCTGGTCGATAAACTATACTCTAATTTGGATTTTCATTCGTGCCGTTCCTATCCTGGAGTCGTGACACTGCTAGGCAGCTTGACGGACTACAAGTACAAGGGCGACACAGTCCTCATTGTTGGGGCGTTGACGTTGTTCTTGTTCGTACATTATGTTTTTCAACAATCTCTTTCTACGTGCTCGTCGTGCTGCGACATTATCTAATACGAAGAAGTGTAGTTGTAAGCGGAACAACTGAAAGTGAAACCACGGTAATTGATTAGAAGATGATCATGATGATGTTGAACATCAAGAAGCGGGCATCATACAAGGCGAAGCAGGTACAACTTGAAGTGACTGTTACATTTTCAGGTAGCTGGAGGGTCACGTCGCTCCTGAGCTTCTGGTTTGCGGTGCTGACTACGCAGAACGCGAAATCAAGCTCGAGGCAAATTCAGATCTGTATGCGCATGGTGACCGCTCCACACGATCCGGATCTTCCGACAGTCAGAATTAGAATTGCAGGAACGGAACCGGTCAACTACATCTGCATTCCTCACCTCCCACTCCCTGCGAGTATCTACTTAATAATCTTACAGCTACATCCCTTTTACCCGAGTTATGCCATCGCCGGCAGCCCCAACTGACTTCCCCCAGCAGGCTGCGATCCTCCTCTCGCCGATGATTTGTTGTTGCGGACAAAATTGAAGGTCGAAAGCTCGTCGTCTTCCGTCCCAGTTACCACCCCAGCAGTACCGCCTACAACTTGCAGGTCCGAATTATCTTCTAGCTCCACGATCTGTGAATCGGGTGACTGCGGCCTGTTCGACGGCGAGTTTGATGAAAAGCCGCCTGCTTTGTCCGCACGAGAAGACTGCAGGGGGTGGCCAACATCATATTCCACCTGCATCACTCTCTCGTCCCCTGCCACCGCTGTTTCTTCCTTATCCAATTCACTCAAATCCACCACCAGTGCCGGCAACACCGTCGATCCGGCTACGATGAAGACGAACAGGGTCAAGTGGTCGAAATTCGTGGCGGTGATCCCCAACAACTGCACACACATCGCACTGTTCAATTTGTTGACAAACCGCGCCACTGTAGGCAGGAACGACACCATGGCAAACGTGGTCGCCTCCCGCCCGGGCGGGGCAAACCGTTTCACACAGTCCGTGAAGATCGGGAGCATCAACAGCCATCCGAAGCTGTCTCGCAGCACTTCCCCGGCGAGAGCTAGGAATTTCGGGTTGATGTGCAGATATTGGTACGCGCCGGTGGTGATCAAAGCCGGCGTGGCGAACATCACGGCGGAGAGCACCGCGCAGGTCTGGTACAGTTTTTTCGTCGGCGTTTGGTACAGAAACAGCCCGTATGAGGCCATCGCGACAATTTTCGCGGTGTGGTGTGCCAGCTGGATCGCCCCGAGGAAGTCGGGCGTCCAGTGCAGGCGGTTGATGTAGAAGAAATTCAGTGCGTCGTCGTAGTTCGGACCGAAAATGTACAGCATGACAAACGCCGCTGGAAGGAAAACCCTGCGGTCGTGGTACATGCGGCTGGCGAGAGAACGGATGCTTAACTGGTCGGGTATTTCCTCCGACTCTTGTAGTGTTGGATCGCGACTTGTTACTCCCGTTCGTGCTCCGGAAGCCAGGCCTCCCTCTGGTGCACCATTGCTGTTGCCTCGGTTCACCATGTGTTCGGAATACTGCCTCGCGAAAGCCGCGGAGCTTTGCCTGCTGACGTCCTCGGCGCCGACGCAGTCGTCGAAGGAATTCTGGAGAATCAGAGTCGCCGCCACGATCGACAATGGGAACATGGTCATGCAGTTCAGCAAAGTCGACGGTGCCACGCCCCGGTGCATCAGCGCACCGCTGGAGTAGGCCGCAATCAGTGCGCCGACCGCACGGTAGTAGAAGAATCCGGAAACGGCGGAGGCTGCGGCGTTATGGCTGAGTGGGTTGTTGTCTGCGGCTGGGAGGTGTTGTCCTGCAGTGGAGCTGCTGCTGCGTTCCCGCTGTCCAACCTCACTCGTCCCATTCATTGCTTCCTTCGTGCTTTTCTCCCTAGTGCCCGTTATCACCAATGCCTGCGCCACAGTCTGCGACATGCAGTTTCCGAAGCGGATGGCAATCAGAGAAAAGAAGGAAAATGCGGGATGCTTCGCGGAGATTACCACGTGCGCGATGGCGGAAATTGCGTTCACGGAGAGCAGTAAGAGCTTCCGCTGCTGCAGTTTCCGGCTGTTCAGGTCGTTGTTTGCCGCGGATAAAGCAGTTGCAGCAGGATTTTCGTCCCGGTCCGCACCGGTGGTCCCATCGACGAGTGAAATTTTCTGCTCCTCATCACGTTTGACTGCGCGTTCCGCGTCCTCGTCATCGCCCCTGCTATCCACCCAATGTGCGAGCCAGGGCTTGAGAACGAAGGGCACGTGCGTGATCGCGGTCAGCAGCCCGACCGGAGCAGGGTCCAGGTGGTAGGTGTCCTTGAACAGGTAGAAAATCGTCAGCATCTGCCCCTCCATCAAACCCTCGCAGAACGAAACGGACTTGGTCAGAATGTCCGTGCTGTGCGCCCGCTCCTCGCTGGTCTGGAGGTTGGAGTAGTAGGACGGTGGAATCACATTGTTGACAAAATTCCTCGCGGCGGACGACGCAGACCCGCCAGTGTCGCCGGCGTCGTCTGTGTAGGGGTTTGTGAGGAGGGTAGTTGTCTCCGCGCGGTCGTCGATCACTACCTTGGAAGAAGAGGACGAGGCAGCATTCTTGGCTGCCGTCGTGGTGCCCCCGTTGACTTTTTTTGCTTGTTCCTCTGCAGTAAGGTTACTTTCGTCTCCTTCCGCCCCTAGTGCAGTATCTTTCTCTGTGTAAAAAAGTTGGTGTGTACTAGGGCCTTGAATTCCCGGTCCCGTTAAAGAGGACACCACCACTGTGGCCGCCGCGGATGAATCTTTGCTTCCACCCAGCGATCCAGGCTGACCGCGCCTTCGTTTTCTCAGATGCATCAGTTCCTGCAGTTCCGCGCGATCTTTCCGCAACCGACCTAATGCGCGGCGGGCCTTGTTCATGATCGGCAGTTGCTCGACAGGAACCCGCTGCGCCTGTCGGTCTGCGTAGGCGGAAAGGTCTTCAACATGATCTCCGACCAGCACGTCGGCAGGTTGTAGTTCTTGGTCGGTTTCAAGAACATTCCTATTCCCGAGTCTTCCGAAAGAAAACCCTGGCTTATGATTTGAAAAGAGCGACTCCTCCTCCGAGAAGGTCTTTTCCGCGGCAGAAGACTGGTCGGAATCGTTTTCGTCGTCCGTGGCATCTTCGGGGCGATGGGTCACAACGCCCTCTGCGAGGAAGAAGAGAAACCCGAAGCCCCGGTCACCCGGGTCCGGCTCATCGAGTTGTGTGGTCATGGTGGGTTCGTTTAAGTTTACTTACCTCCGGTTTCTTGTTTCAAGACCAATACCACGAGAAATGGAATCTTTTTCAGCTTGCTGAGTTTAGACAAGTCCAGAAATCAGTATGACGAAAACCTTTTGTCGAAGATTGATGTCGATTTGGTATGTGGTAAACACGCAAACGATTATCACGCGACTGCACTGTCGAGATACCATAACTAATATGACGATCACGATCCTCTTCCTCCTCACTGGAAGGGCGGGGGCTGTATTACAGAAAACGATCTATTTCACGAAATCAACTGCGCTACGAAACGATCACGAATCCGATGTAAGTAGGCGAAGGCGACAACAGCACTAATTCAGTGCTGTGCGGGAGCACCCGGTAGTTGAATCAGACATGTCAATAGAACTACTGGAACTGGCTACACTTTCATGACAAGATGCATCTTCAGAACGTGCTGGCTTTATTCTCGAACTACAACTATCTGCGTTCGTGTTCCACAGCTGATGAAGTCGTTCCGTTCTTGTACTATAGTTCGCTATTTTCAGCATCAGCAGTACATCACTGTTCTACCTGTCCTCTCGTCGCACACTCCTCACCACCCTCCCGCTCCCGCGGCTGCTTCCCGTCCCCCCATCCGGCACGATTTCCGCCTCACCCGTATCGCGGTTGAACGCCGAGAAAGAAACGGACAACAGCGGATTTTTCGCGAGAGACTTCAACTCCTTATCGGGAATAAACACCGAGCTGCTAGACGCGAAAAGCGGGTTCTCGCTGTCCTCGTCGTCTGAAGAAGTGTTGATGTCGACCTCCTCCAAATCCAGATCTCGGACGACAGAGGACGACTGCGCACTATCATTATCAATCCGCGGCCTTTCCTCCCTTTGGAGCAGCACCGGCGAACTCTTGGTCGCACGCAGAGTGTGTTCAGCTCGTATGCCAGTGCTCGCGCTGGTGGACGACGAGCAGGCTGCTCCGGAGGCACGCGGTGCTTGGGGTGTTCTAGCAAAAATGCCGGTGGAAGAAGCCGCGGTCGTCGGTGTTACTGATGTAGTAGTCAACGCAGCCGAGTTTCTCGTTATGCTGAACATTGACCCTGCTGCTCCAGCAGCGTTTGTGACGCTACTCCCACCTCGGCCAGTCGGTGTCCAGAAGCAAGACACTGAGTCGTCCTCTACTTCGGTGGAAATCGCGGGCGGGCGCGCGGAGGAAGAGGACGATGCACTGCTCGGCGCGCCTGCTCCGGGAGATCCTCTCAGAAGTGGTGGTGCACGAGAAGTAGATATGGATTGCAAAAATGTCTGGGTCTGGAAACTTGTGATGCAAGGAAGGGAACATTGAGCTCCCTGTGATGCACTGCCAAGCATGACAAGTTTTTTTCATGGTGCTGAGTTGCGTATTCCGCATGAGAAACTGCGTTTTTGCATGACAGGGAGTAGGAGCTCTTCGCGGCCACGCAATGCAGAGTTCAGAGTCATGCCAGACTAGCATGACAAATCTCGGAATCCCCCAGACCCAGACATTTTTGCATTTGATAGTAGACGTGCTGGCGTTAATATTTTCTTCGCCAACTCCTGCTCCTCCCTGCTCAACACCCCTCGGCCCCACCTCCATTGCCCAATGGGAAACACGAGCGTTCAAGTCTCGTGCGATGACCAGGTGCAGGCTCTCCCGGCGTTGCTCATCCTGGTCCGTCTCGATGAAAAACTTCTCCAGGGCCGCGAGCAGCTGGTGAGACACCGGAAACTGCTCCAGCGCCTCGTGCAGTAAATTCTCGATTTCTATACCATCCTGGTAGCGATGATGACCCGCCGTGACGGCGCGGTTCGATGTTGATGTTATGTGGCGGTCGGAACTATTGGTTTTCGCGGGAGAAGTTACACTACCGACCTGGTCTCCTCCACCTGCAGGTCCATTTTGCTTGCTACTGGAGGAAGTGCCAGAGGAGCTGGAGTTACTGGAAGAAGAGGAAACTGCGCCGTCTTCCACTTGTTGCTCTACCTTCTCAGTCGCTCCTTTGGAGGTACTACTATCACGACCGTCGTGGTGTCCTTGACGATCCCGATCCTTCACCAATGCCTTGATTGAGGTAGAAAACAAAGATTTCTGCCTTCCTCGACTTGTACTGCTCGAAGACAATGATCCTGCTGTCCTCCTGCTACCGGAAGAACTAGAACTTCGCAAAAAGGTTTTCAAGTGCTTCAACAAAAGCTCAAACCGGTCGGCCAGCGCGAGTATGGTGGTTTGCTCGTGATACAGCAGCGCGAGCCCCACCTGGAAGATGATGCGATCGCCGTACGCGAAGTAGAGGTCCCAAATCCGGCGCACGCAATCCTGCGGCAAGTCCGCGGAGAAGAGCGTGAGAAACCAGCTCAACGCGTAGTATTCCGCGGTGACGTTGTTTTCCTGAAACACCGCGGCGATCTTCGGTAGAAGAGCAGACACCAACTGGTCAAACTTCCACAAAGTTGGTCGAATTTTGCGGAATTCGTGCGAGTAGAAATCCACCAAATGCAGGCGCCACAGCATCGCGATGGTGCATTGGAACGCGATCTCCTCGTCGCCGTTGAACTGCAACAACAGCGTCGCGACGATGAAATTCAGCCCCTGGCAGTACCCGACCTCCCACAACCGTCGGGAAACCGCTTTCAGCACGCGGAAGAGCTTCTCCTGACCGGTTTCCGTCTGGAAAAAGGGCTCGTTGGGCAGGGTGCGATTCACGTCGCGCTTGATCAGCGAGGTGATGGTCTTGTCCTGCTTCTCTTTTGAGGGGGAACGGGGAGGTGGTGGAGCGAATGCCTTACCGGTCGTAGAGCTCGTTTTACTTGACGGGGCAGACGGAGTCGCAGGCGTTCGCGTTTTGTTATTGCTGTTGCTTGGGCTGCTCCTCGACGGCGTTGTGTTCGGTCCCGGGCCTGCTCCCACCTCCGCAAGCGTCCAGTAGGAACAATCTCGGAAGGACACACGCTCCAGAAGCAGCGACTTCCAGCATAGCGACCGCAGCTTCGCACGCTCTTCCTCGAGGCGTTCTTCGGTAATATCGTCAACGTCATCTTGATATTGCGCTCCTGCGTAGTCATCGTTCTCTCCAGGCGCTTCTTCATCGGCCAGCACGTCTGGCGGGATCTTGATGCTCTTCGCGTCCGCAGCGAGATTTTTCGACGTTCCTGCTCCATCGTGACCCGTTTCTTCCTGGTCCGTTGCGGATTCGCAACTGTAAAATTCCTGCTCGTGATCGTCTCCGTCACGCACGCCTGCGCCGGACGTAGGAGCGGTAGTTGTCCTCCTCCTGTTTTGGTTTTCATCTCTCTCCCCGTCAAACTCCCGCCGGTACGCAGCATCAACTGGAAGAAACTGGAGCGCTCCACCCAGCTGCGTCGCTGTGATCAATCGCACGGCACTCGAAAACGCCTTGCGAAACCGCTTTCCGACAGCTTTGCAGGGCCAAAAGTCCTGTAAGCGCAGATACCCGAAAAAGGCTTCCTCGACAAAGATCTGCAGGATATCCAAGTAGTCGGGGTGCGACAGATTTCTTTCGTGATCGGTGCGCCGGCGAGTTCTTGTGTCTTTGCTGGCGGCGAAGGGTTTTAGTGCATGCTGAATGCGGGAGATATGATCTTCGTGCTGGTACTGATGGTTTGGATCGCGATCTGAACTTCTACTGCGCATCATCTTTTGCTGCGCTTGTTCGTGCGGCGTCTGGTGTGAATCTTTATGTTTATTCAATTTAGGCGTCGATAGGTACAAAAAAGGTGCATCTCTTCCGATTGATTGAAGACGAAGAGCTCTTTGTTTTCGTACAGACTACAGAGCTGCCCTCCTCTAGGTGTACTAGATGAGACAGATCCAACTCGCGCCAACCACGATGAAATGGCGTTCGCGTTCCCTGCTGAACTAGCGGGCTCATATGGAACGAGATCCTTCTTTCCTCGATCGTGACAACGGCGAGTTACAGATGGAGCACAAAAGATAGCAGCGAAGGAACGGATCTGCAGCAGCATCACGAACGTACCTACGTACAAAAAAACACGGTAGCACAAACACAAACAAGGCACGCATTAAAATCATCACCGAGGTCAGGCGCAAGGGGGAGACTTATAGAGGTATGAACATGAAGCGTAAAACACAGCCGGTAAGAACAACAGCAACGCCACAGGAGCGCAGGTCCTGTCACACCTCCAAGTAGGAGCACAAACTCGGAGCTCAGTTCGGCTGCTCTTTGACCAATGTGAAATTTAAATTTGAATTTGTCGGAAACACAAAGTTGTAGGCCACACTGGCTCCTTATCTTCCTTCCAAGAAGTTATCTGGTGAGATCACTGGTACGTAGTCAGATCACCGTTCTTTTCATTAGTTTCGTCAGCCACTTTCCACGCCATCGTGGTCGTCTCTGATGAGCACGAGATCCAGTTCCGGATCGTGGATCGAGCTCGTTGAAATTGGCTCCCCCAATTCCTCCGGTGGCCTGCGCACATTCGAGTTCCGGACACTCAGACTACTGGGAGGTGTGGCGCGACTGCCGTTGTTGTTCGGCGAGGTGTTGGTGTTCATACTGCTGTTATTTCCGGCGCTCGGGGAACGCGGCACACCGGGTGGCCGCGCGGGCGGGGAGAAGGACGAGGACATGGACATTGGCGCTGAAGTGTTTTTCGCTGGAACGGTCGCAACTTTATTTTTCGCCGGGGGTCCCGCGGCTGTAAGTGGGGGTAGACTTTTGCCGGACAACTTCTCGTTATTACTGTTGTTATTCGAAGATGCCGCACCTAGTGGCCGCATTTCACTGTATTCATCTTGCTGAACTCCTGTTCCTGCTTCCTTCGCTTCCTGCAGTTTTCTGTACTCACTAACCCGACCAGCGCCGGAAGATCCCATGCTGCCATTACTAGTTGCCGAACCCAGATCGGCTGAGATCCCGGTCGTGCTTTCAATGTACCCCTGCGCGGTGGCGTTGGGCGGCGGAACATAGGCGTTTTCTTCGTCGACTTGGTTCCACCACTTCACGACCCCCCAAACACTGTCCACCACGTTTTTCACCGTTCCGTTGTTCCGCGCGAGGTGCAGCCCGCCGCGGACCCACTGCGGAAAGGGACGGGGGACTTGCAGCTGCTTGCACAGCGCAAAGGCGAAGTCGACACTGGTGTTTTTGGTTGATGGTGTCAATAGGGGGATAAGGTACACCAGCTCGTCATGCTCAGATTATGTGATACAGGAACACGAGCAGCGGTTTATTCAAAATTTAGATTCACGAGCAAAAGTACCGTACCAGTTCCTGTCCGTAATGTGGTACTTCACCGACGGCCAGTTTTCCATCATCACCAGTAGCAGCCTCGACACCTCCATGGCCTTCAGCGGTGTTCTTCCCATGTAAACCGACGATCGGTACGAGAAATCCGGGTGCCTCCGCGGGTACACGCGGTTACACCCCGTCACCGTCGGATCTAGCACGTCATTGTAGAACAAAAAGCTCCACTCATCTCCGTACACCTCCACGCCCGCGTGGTACGCGCCCCAATCGTTGTTGATCAGAAACGATTCGTTCAGCCATTGGGTGAAGCCGTCGATGTCGTAAATGTGCAGCCAAATGTTGTTGCCACCGGTGTACTTGCTGCTCGTGTCGTATCTGGGCTCCATCCCGTTTTTCGTCAAATCTTCCGACCAGTCCGCCTCGCCGCGGGCGTTGTAGAAGGTTTTCGGTTATGCAGATTGCAAAAGTGTATTGTCACTACGTTTACATTGCAGTTTTGCAAATTTTATTCTTTTTCTTTTTTATAATTTTCCAAGAAAAAATAAAGTCATTTGAAATGCTGGCTAAGGTAGAATGTCAGATTGTCCTGCATGGCTGCATGATTTGCTAGGAGTACGATACTTTTGCACTGGATATTGGCCGGTGGCTCTGCCTGACGCCACCGGGGGATGAACCGTCTTGCTGTTGACCGAGCTGTGTAGTAGCAGTGGAGGAGGCTGCAGTCGTGCTGGAGGAGGATATGGTGTTCTCAACTGTTACATTCTCAACCAAAAACAGCAATAGGGAAAGGGGAAAGCTTGCAAGTCTTGCATCACAAATTTTGCACGGATTTAGATGCTGTTTAGCACTTCGATAATTTGTCATGCGAGGCAGCTTGATCGTCTTTCGGCTCATGGTCAGTTTGCATTACAAATCATGTAACACTTGAGAGTGTAACGCTTGAGAACGCCATAGAGGACGAAGCCGGGTTGTGGACGTCGAGATCTGTAGTTTCATCAAGGGCGTGAGTCGTGTCTTTTTGTGTAGTAGTTCCACCATTGGCACTAGCCCCGACAGCAGGATTGCTTGTTGAGCTGCTGGAGCTCGCGGTTCGTGTCGTTGCACCTTCCGTCGCAGTCTTCGTACTGCTAGAGGTGCTGGCCTCGCCCTTGCTGTCCGTTTTATCAACATAATTTCGACCTTTAGTACCGCCCTTCATCCTCCTCGACCCCGGGGAATATCCGTGGTCTTCGTCTTCCTCTTGGCCAGAAGAAGTCGTCGCTTCCCACAAAGCGGCGTAATTACCCCCTCCACCGGGAGTGGTCGCTGAAGATGATAATCTTGCAGCTCCACCAGATTGGAAGGAGGTGTTGTTCTGCAGTAAGTTGACTTTTGAAGTAGACGATGCACTAGAAGCTGCTGAAGCTGCTGCACCTCCCCAGCCAGGATTTCTTCCACCGTTGTTCGAAGGAGTTGACTGCGAAGGTCTTCGGGTCAACCCTCCCCCGTCACCTTCGTCCACCTTGATAGTCTTCAGAAATTTGCTTTTTTGGGTTTGCGCGCCGTTAGGTGGTAGAGCTGCAGCTCCAGAAGTTGGATTTTTAGAAGAGAAGCCTCGTGTCGTTGATGCCGGATTATTGCTCGTTTCTTTCTGGAAGTATTTCTCGACGTCCAAAGCTTCCTGCTTTTCACCAGTTTTATTTCCACCGTTCACTCCGCCAGTTGTTAATGTTACCGGCGCCGCAGACAGCGCCTGTCCGCCGCGCGTGAGCTCCGTTGTGAACCATCCTTCATCGGGAATGTCGCTTGACTCAACGTCCTCGGAGGCAGTCTCGAAGGCGGTATTCGGCTCTGTCGGGTTGGTTTTATTGGTTTTTCCCTGCTGGTTAGACGTCGTCGCCATGGCCGTGTTGGGGTCGCAATGAATCACGGCCCAACTACGAGCTGGTGCTGAGGACAAAAAAGCAAGAACTGATGTCTTCAGGAATTCGTTTTCCTGGCGCCCCGATTCATCTCATTCCGTTGGACGACCCTCAGGATCATCTTGATGTTGCGTCATGGAAGTGCTGCCATAGTACTACGCAATGCTCTGTTTCATCTCCTCTTTGCAGTAATGTTACGAGCGTGTAGTTTTGGTTTCGGAAATATCAGATTTAGGGTGGTGGGTGTCGAGACCGATCTGGGGAACAAGAAAAAGGAGCCGCCTGGCCCCATACTTCTTTTGTCATCTTCTATCTGAAAAAATAGCAAAACTGTAACTGTGGGCGACATAAAATCTTCGAGGCTAGGTACGAGCGGGAGTTTTTTTGCAACACCTGAATAAAGAAAGGTGAGAAGGAACGGAGGTTGTAGACCTCCAACGAAGGTAGTGCCAATAGTACCACATCACGCCCAGTGCCTGCTAGTACCTTCGATGGTTGTACCAAATAAACCATTTATTCATGTTTCTCCGGCGATGTGCCCAATGCAGGGTGAAACGTCTGTGTCTCTCAACTAGAATTCCCTCGTTGTCTTATTCTTGTAGGAGCGCTTCACTAATTGTGAAACAAAGAAAATTTCGAACACCAAGTCATAGTCAAGTTTCCTCCGACTGAAAGTACTTTCAAGGAGCCGGTCCACCAAGAAATAACACACACAACTGATATTCATGTGCGTCTTCTCGTGCTCTTCTCGCTGCCGCTACGAGAAGCGACGCTTCTAGTCAGGACGCGAAAGCGTAAGCGAAAACGATGGCAGCGTAGGGGAGCGGGAGATATCTACTTTAACAGAAGTAAAAACCACGCGCCAGGAGCGCGGTCATCTACTCACACAGGTCGAGAATCATGTCATTCATCACATGGTAGGTCTACTCGCGGCCCTCAACACTGTTTTAATCAGCAATCAGACTTGCCTAAGTAATATGCACAGGAAACTGTGTACGCAGTTCTTGTTGCGTGCCTTTTATTATGCGCAACTACAGCAGCGGATATTCTTAATTTTTGCACCTCACGACGAGCAGGACAAAACCGATTGTTCAAGAACTTCTTTCCGGTATAAATTTAAATACATGAGGTCGACTATAAGCATAATCACCTTCACCACCGCAACTATTTTCTCGAAATAACTGGCTCAATTCTTTTGTAGTTCAGTCACAAATTCAATGGACATGCACACACACGAACAACAGAAGTGCTGCTAGTAGAACTTCAGCGTCGTATCATGAAAGTTGAGCAAGAACTAAGTTGAATTCAAATACAGAGCAGGGTATATCCTCGCGCGGTGAGGAATGTAAAGAAAGGCTTCAAGAAACTGTCATTTGACAGTATAGCAATAGAATTACCACGACACGACCAGCAGTTTGCATAGCTTTCTAGCTATTTGAGCCGGACAATCGACTCTTTGAATTATTGAAATCTAAATCTTCTCATTATGTTTTTCTTTCTTATTCCACGTGGTCGGTCTACAGCGGCCTTGGCGGCAAGTTTAAGCGTCCGACGTCGAGCTTTTGCAGTCCCCGGAAAAGCGAAACAAGATCACTTGTCCCGGTCAGCGACGGTGTGTTCGAGGATGGATGTGCGGCCCCTGCCGGATCATCCTTTGTGTTTGCCACGGCACCAGAAGTCGCAGATGAAGCGGGATTTATTTTCGCTGGGGTGGTGAGAAGTTGACCTCCTTCGCCTTTCTCCTCTTCCCCATCACCTCCTCGGAAGTCCAAACTGGTACCTCCAGTCGGCGTCGCTTCTAACCGCTTCCAGGCGGCGTCCGCTTGCTTCTCGTAGCGCTCCAGCTGCTCTTGCGCAGCGAGAAACTTCCGCTTCCAGTCCAGTTCTGAGGTCCGCCGCTCGGGCAGGGGTGGTGGTGGTGGTAGGTCATCGTTCTTGGGTACAACTATTGCAGCCGTGCTAGATGACTGGTGCTTCTCGAGGTCCTGTGTTTTTTTTTGAAACGAAAGAAAATGTGGAAACGCAATAGAAAAAAATAGAGTGGTGAGTCACATGATAGTAAAAGCCGATGCTAGATGAAGACGAAAACGAACCTATACTTAAATATATCAGTTTTTACCTGCAAAGCCTGCGACAACCGGTGCTGCAGATCCTGCTTTTCTGCTCGCAGACGCGTGACGCAGGCGTGGAGCTGCAGTTGCTCGTCGGGGACGAGTCGCGGATTCCTCTCATTTTGTTGCATGACTGAGCTGGAAGACGAGCTGCTCGAGAGTGGAATAAGTGCGGATTTTCCCTCGTTCTGCTGCTCTCCACCCGCCACACCCAGGGACATCAGGTTGAATCCGCTATTCTTTGCCTGCAGAAGCAGCGTCGCTTCGAGCACCTGCGTCTCTAGCTTCTGCAGTTTCTCCGCCTGCGCGTCCAACCTCCCTCGGATGGAGAAGTTCAGGCATTTATCAAAAGCAGCGAACAGGTCCAGTTTGCCGGAATTCCAGGTGTTCTGCGCCACTTCCAGCTGGTCCTGGAGTTTGTCGTCGACAAACTGCAGCAGGTCTTTTTCGTCGAACTGGTACTGCTTCCCGAAAAGCCCAGAAGTGCTGCTGCTGCTTTTGTCGAGGACATTTTGCTGGGCGGTTGCTGGGGTTCTTGCGCCGCTGAGTGCAGCAAGAGCAACTACACCTCCTGGTCCTACTCCTGCTGCAGTGTGTGGCATTGCGGGTGGTTTGTGTTTTGAGTTCGTCCTGGTTCTCTTCCGACGGTAAATCAACGACTCCTGCAACTCGACGTCCTTATCCTGATGATCGTTGTGGTCGTTCATACAACCTCCATTTGCAATATTGACGGTGGCGGAAACCGACTGGGCCAACACGCGAGAGCCCCTCCGCGAGCTTTTCTGGCCGGCGAGCAACTCGTCTTGAAGCTCATTGTCGTGGTCCACTTCGACGGTCTGCGTCTGCGCGGCAACAGTCGTACTTAGAGCGGGACCTACAACGTCACTTTTATTCAGCAGCCCTGATGCTGCTGACAGAGCGTTGCTGGGTCTTCGCGAGTTCGCTCGCTTCTTCGAATGGAGTCGGGAGTCTTGTGCTTCGTCGTGGATTCCGGGATCATGCTCGTCCAGCTGTTGATCCTGTGCGTCGTGGTCGCCTGTGTTTTCCCCTTCCGTCACTCCTTTCATGTACTTCTTCCCCGTGGACGTCGAGAGAGGCTGAGCGTCTGGCTGGGCCGTCGCAGACATCGACATGGAAGCAGCGACCTGGAAGTGTTGAAGTTTTTCCATTTCTGTGCATTCCTTAATTATAATTTCACCCAACAAGAATGAAAAAATATAAATATAGTCATCTGCCAGTGCCATGGATGTTGATCAACATCAAAATAGTACTTATCATCATCGTGAGGAATCATTACACTACCGCTAATACGTCCTGAATCTGTTTTTCCGCTTCCAGCTCGAGGCACCGCTTTTCCACCGCCAGAGTCCACACGGCCTCACGCCACACCGCGTGACGATCCTCCCCTCTGGCCACGCGAGCGTCTAGATCGTCCAACACCGTCATGGCCCACTGGTGCACTTCCAGAACTTGCTCAAACGCCACCTCCTCCTTTTTCGTGGTTGTGAACGTCGCCAGCGCCGCGGTGGAGCTCGGACTATTTTGTTCTGTCATTTGATGCAGTGCCTGCTCCCTTTTCGACGTCCTGGCCACGCGCGGGTCAGATGACTGCTGCTGCTGCTGTTCCAAGGGGCTGGGACAGGGTTCGACGAGAATGCGTAAGTGGCGATTCTCGTCGTAGAAATTCGGATCGTGCTCGAGATTGTTCTCGTTCGGCGTCGGCCGGTACAGTGGCTGGCTGCGGAACGCAGTACTGGAGGACGATGCACTCGGTCCCGGACCGGATAGTTGGGCGAGTTTGCCCGAGTACCCTGAAGCAGTCGGAAAATGATCTTCGCTGAAGAATCGGTTTCTACTGCTCTCGCTGGTCATCTGGGACGGCAGGATTTTTGTTGATGCCGAGGCACCTCCCGACCCCGAGCCCGACCCTGTATGATAAATAGCGAACGGCTCTTGATCACGTAATACCTGGTGCGATGAAGTAACCGCTTGTTCTTCCTCCGCCGCTATCAACCGCGACGTCGACGCCTTGCTTCCGCCAAATGTCTCCCACCCGCCACGCACAAGTTCGGGATTCGGGATGGGATTCGCCTTCAGCGTTTTATTTGTGGCTGCAGCTCCGGGAATCGACGAGGAAGTGTTCTCTATTGCATTTGCAGCTCCTCGTTGCTCACTACTGGTGCCTTGCTGTAGTTCCTCCTCCGCTTGCTCGGACATCTGCGCGAGCGAAGACGTCACCCCTTGCTGCTCTTTCAGCTTTTCCTTCCTCATTCCGATCATCTGATCCATTGTTTCTTCTTCGCTGGTGCTGGTCAGATTCCCGCCACCGCAACTGGTCGTGTAGCTTCCCGCGGGTTGATGCACTGGCGCACCGTAATATTTGAGCCCGGCCAGCGCGGGCTTCCTCGAGGAACTAGCGGAACCAGAGGAGGACGCCGTATTGGATTGCTCGCGCAACATCTGCGATGGACTAGTCCGTGGCGGAAGCTGCAGCGCTAATTGGGCCGCTCTGCATGTGGTTGTGGTACTGGTCACCGCGTTGTGCATTTGATGGCTGCTTGATATTGCGCCCGCATTTGTACTTCTTGTTGTGCCATGCAGCGCAACAGCCGTGGAGGAGGCGATTAAAGGAGGTAGGGATGACGCCGACCCTTCTGGCAGCAGTCTTTCGAAATTGTACACGTGCAGCTGCGGGAGGCGTTCGCGAACTGAGTCCACCCAGGTATTCGTGTCCGCAGCGTTTTCTGTCAGGTTCAGATCGACCAGGGAGTCCAGCGTTTCGAAGGCCGTGATCGTGCTCACCCGGTCCTGCAGGAGGTTGTTGCTCAGATCCAGGCGGACCAGGCATTTCAAACTCGTGAAGTTGGTGTTGTGCAGCTGCGATATCTCGTTGTGGGCAAGAACCTGAAGATAGAAATCACGAACTCTTCATTCTGCATTTCGAATCTCAATCTGCGATAATATCGGTGTACACTTTGGAAGATCTCAAGGACAATCACGATCTCATGTTGATCGACGACCACTAGGTCTAGGAATGCAAAAATCATTTGCCGTGGTGCGTCTAAAACCTCCGTCACTTGATGTTCGAGGTTGTAGTAACCATCTTAGTACCAACTGCTTCAGGTGCACGAGGCAGAGGAGGCCGAACCCCACCTCCGTGATTCGGTTCCACGACAGGTCCAGGGAGACCAGATGGCTCGCGAGAGACTCCAGTGAATTGATTTCCGCGATCTCGTTGCGGGCCAGGTTCAGGTATACAATACAAACTTCCCGTACTACGCATCACAAACTTCACCAAGAACTTGTCATTCTGAATAGCATTGAAAGAAAGTTTGCCATGCAGAAACTGCATTTGTACATGTAATACGGGAAATCTTTTACTTTGGATATGAGGGATCGGATTTCCGGGTAGTTCTCCTTGATTTCCCGGACAAACTCCCGGGAAAGGCTGGAGATCGGCATCTTGACAAGAAGCCTGCCCGGCGAAGCAGGCGTCTTTCAATTACTGTTACTGAAAGATGAAAATTGAGGCTGTGCTCAACTTGCTGCGCAAATCATTTCTCGTCATCAGTGCAATGCCAATGGGTCGTTGGCATTATACGTGGAAGCGCCAAATTCTGTTGCGCAGAAATGAGCTTTCTGGTACTATGTAGTTGTGGCCGCAAACAACTACAACCGCATGACTATTCATCTATTTGTATTTTGATCATTTCTACTGCGGGCAAGACTGAAGACGAGATACGCAAGAACAAAAAAACCAGCAACCACCTGCACATCAAGCCGTGCTCACCAGCGACACAACCGCAACCCAGCATGCAATTAGAAGAAGTCACGCACCACCTGCCCCCTCGACTCAAGGTGCGCTCGTTGGCAAGAAACTAGAAATACTCGGTAGCCGTAGTAGTACGAAGGAAAAAGAACGTCGGCGGTAGAACATTCAGGAGTAGCAGAGGATGCGATACAACATCGCCCTATCAACAGATGTAGGCCGAATACTTGCGGAATTTGTGTTTGATTTCGATTGTATCATCTACTGTGTGTGCATTAGCCGGCCGCGGCGGTCAACAGGGGCACGTTGACATTCACATTCTTAAATCAAATGCCATTTGCTGCTGCGGACCCCGCGTTATCACTAATTGTGTGTAAATCCGAATCGTCCTCTTCTTGCAGCAACCACTACCTAGTTCAACCTGCATTCGTTTCAAATGCAGAATCACTCCACGGGTGCCTCCCCGCCCGCCGCGCCGGTCATTTCCGTTCTTCCGAGAAGCCTTTGCGTCAGCAGGGGGCTCCGTTTCCGCGCGAACGCGATGATGATCGCGGCAATTGCCGCCACCGCGGCAAGAATTAGGCAGAGGCTGGAGAGTGACGTTGTGGAGAAAAAAGGCTTTTCGCTTGCGCCTTGTGATGCTGATGCTTTCTGTTCGTTCAGCAACAGATTCTTGGTTGCCGTGGGTGAGTCGGCGACGCCGACGCTGTGGGGCTGTGATAAAAGAAAAATAAGCTTATTGACGAGTCGTGTTGTATTTTTACGATTCAAATTCATCGGTTGTATTGCTGCAAGAGCAATGAAAGAGCACCAGAGATGACACTGACAGCAACTGGAACTACTTGCCAATACAACTAGATCGAACACAGAACCAATTATAATATACTCCCCGAATCATGATCGCTGCTGCATCGGCGGTGGCGGGACACTGGGTTGGACTTCTGCCGATTGTGCCTCCCAGTGTTTGCCGTTGTTTGTTAAACTCGTCGCAGTTGTCCAAAATTTTCAGACAGCACGGCTTCATGCGCACCCCGTATCCGATGCGAAAACAACACTCGGCCCAAACGAGGTCAACGGAGAGAATGAGAACCGCTGTTGCCGCTCTGAGGAGCGTAATTGTAGGGAGTGGCGACATTTTTATTTTTCTGTTGCTCTTTACCAAGGTAGGGAGTCTAGATCTTTCTTTGCACGGTGAAGAAGTTGAAGTTCTATTTCTGACTAAGTTCTTCGCGTCTACATGGAAAAGGAAAGGCAAAGGGTACGAAATATCCGAGTGGAAACCTAGAAGTACGACTCAGGCAGACAAGCCACTGCCAATACTTTGAATTTGTCCAATTTCTATTTCCAGGAGCAGAGGGGCCGGCAAAAAAAATCCACAGGCTGCTTGGCTTCCTAAGTGTAAGTACACACGGCCCACACGACGAACGAGGACCCCGGCATTTTTCTTTTTGCAAAACCATAATCAACTTCAACCAGATGCAGATCCAAAAGCACATCGAGTTCGAGACGACCGAAGCAGATAAGTAAAGTTCACGTGGTTTAGCGTCTGCAAAATCCCGCTGACCAAGAAGCGAAGGAACATCAAGCGCTAATCTTTGAGAAATATTAATTCAGAAGTTGTTGATGTCTGTCAATTACTTGCGCCAATGTGAAGGTTCATGTGCATCATGTTATACAGAAATCCTTTTTGTTGAGCTGCAGCCACAGGTGGAGGAGCTGGTTGTGCTATTATTCCTGCTTCCTCCTGTCTTTTTAACCCTGGGTCGAGTTCGGGTTCGGCTTCATGTTCATCCTGCTGAAGCGACAGCAATACCGAATACAAGTCCCTTCCCCGATCTAGCTGCGCTTCTTCGGGCTCCACGTAGCTGGGGACGAACGGTTCGTCCACAACGGCGCCGGTGGACCATTCGAGAAGATCTGTATATGAAAAGCACAGTACTTTTCTTGGAGCAACGATAGCGATTCCGCTTTCGTCTGAATAGACACACAAAATATTTTGATTTTCTGCTACTCCTCCACATCCACCTCGTGGTCGTGCATAAAATTTTTGCAAAACCAGAACAAAAATCATCTTCACGCCAACTGATCATAATGATCATGATAATACTTAAAGCTCTTCAGTATAAAAATACGAATTTCCATGTCTAGCTTCTGTTTCCCGAGATTTCCAGCGACCACTTGCGTCAGGAAGGTCTCTGCCTCCTCCGGAGCCCCCGCGTTCATCTTCGCTACTTGCTCGGTCTCTGCGAACGGCACCAGCCCCCGCCATTTCCGGTCTTGATCGACGCTATCCGGATTGCTGCGAAACAGGTCCTTACAGGCGGAGAGCGGGAAAAGCATCGTGTATTTAGGGTTTGATTTTTCTTCTCCGTGAGCAGACGAGCACACCGGGGCGGCATGTGACGACTCTTCTATTCCGGCTGCACCAGCATCTTCTCGTGGTTGTATTGGCAGTTCGTGCTCAAAAAGCTCCAGCCGCCAGACTTCGTCGCGCAATGTGGAATGTGCGTCGTTACAACTGGAGGTTTGATGCCCATCTACTTGTTCTTCGTTCACATCACAAAATGCATCACGGTTCTTCGCGTTCGCCAACATTTCGACCACAATCGTGCTCCTTGCGAGCGGTGTTGCGCGGGAGCGCCAGTCCGTGGTGGCGGCCGCGGCAGGAAGATTTATGGAAGCCAGGAGCGCGGCACAACTAGCGGGGGCATCTTGACGTCTTCCATTTTTTTCTTCATCCACGGCTGCACTTGTTTCGGCGCGTGTCTTGTGGTCGCTGTTATCGTTAGTGCGAACGATGCGCAATGCCCGGATTCCGGACGAGCGTGATTCAAAACCCCAGAGGGAGAGCTTGAGCTTGCAGTGCGGACCAGAGGTGGTTGCGCCAGGACCTGCTTCGGGAGACGCTAATGTTGCCATCTTGGGGTTCAAGCGCGGAAAGTATTTTTAGAGAAAACCACGACTCAGCTATTTCAGAGTGAAAAAAACCATTGACATGTCTTCATCTCCGTTCTAGACCTTCACCTTCGGCGTACTTTACTTATTTCTTCATCTCACAAAAGCAACGAACAAGGTGCTGGAGGACACGACAAGTGTAGACTGCGAGGCCGCTTGTAGTGTGTCACCCAAAACATGTCACGACCCTCTTTGTTGCCGTGGGTCGCTCACTGCGGACTCTCCATCCTGTTCGCAGCTACAACATTGCTAATTTGTACCTGCTGCTCGTCTTTCTACAACTACGTATCAACCACGCATGTTGAACCGCCGTGGGATTCCATCTGGTCGTCCGAAGCAACGGTTACGGACAACCAACAAAATGTCTGAGGCGCCAGGCAGAGGCGGACTGACACGTGAAAAAAACGTACATGTGATTAGTCATCGTGGTACGGAAATAACCATGAAGCAAAAGCAATGTGGTTGTTGTTCTTCTATAGGCAATTTCATCTTCATCGTCACTCTGGCTCCCCGCAGCTTCTCGTCCCAGATGTACTATCACGACTGCGCGTAAAGGAGCACTTCGTGTAGTCCAGTAGACCAAGAACTGAAATTTTCAGACCTTTCTGAAAAAGATTTTTTCACAACAAGAATTTATTTTCGGTGTTAAAAATTCAACAAACCATCACGATACTTCGTTTCCTCAAATTTTCGTTCCTGATTTCGAAAAAAAGCACGTGCTTATACACGTCCGCAAACATGAATAGAATACTGAAGCGGAACCTATCGGGGCTATCGTTGCTTCATGATCAACGTCGTGGTGGATTATAACAATCCATTGTCAAATTCTAAGTTCAGTTGTTCGCTTTTTTCACAGCCTGGAATGGATCTTTTTTCTGAACCGCTGAGGAGGATGAGGATGATGACGCCAGCGCGCCTTGCTTTTTGCTCTTTTTGTTCTCCGGGGACGACTGCATTTCCACTTCAGCTTCTGCTTCGTCATTTTGCAGCGATAAATCTTCGAGTCCTGCCTTCTTGCTACCCCGTGGTCTACCCCGTGGTCGCTTTGCTACCATCTTCTTTCCCGCCGCCGCCGGACCCCCTTCCGCACCAGTTGTATCAGCATTGCCCTGCTCCCCGGCGTCCCCTGCTACTTTATCGCCCTTTGCTTTTTTCCCCACCAGCTTAATACCGCTTTTCTTCATCGGTTCCTTTTTCCCTTTCGCCGTCGCAGTGTCGCCCGCCCCCGCATCGTCCTTCTTTTTCTTCAGTTCCTTCTTATGTTCTTTCAACTGCTCCTCCAGTTCGATTTCTGACAGCGTGTCCTCGCGCACAAAGTCTGCATTTCGGTCTTTTTCCCACTTCCCCCAATGCCCCTTTTTGTGCAGCTGCGGTCGCGCGAATTCGCCCTCCGTCCGCGCGGACAGAAGGATTCTCCACGTGCCGCCCGTCTGCTTCATCTTCGGCTTTCCGGTCAAAGGGTGCAACACCGGCTCCCCGTCCTTGTCCAAAACTGCCTTCTCCAGCGGATCGCCGTTCTTATCCACAGTCGCCCGCACCGACAGCTCCAGTTTCTTGGTGGAAATGCCAACCTTGAGTGGCGTCTTCGCCCACTTGACGATCTTAAGCGCCTCGTCGCGGGTGAGATTCTGGTCCTCCCGGAGTTGCTTGTAGTGATCCTTGTCGATGCGGCCAAACGCCAGCTCCATCAAATCCAAAACCGGCTGCACGTTCCGCGCTTCGGCGTGCGGCGGCCGGATCCACCACCAGTTGGGCGGGTGGTCCCGGTAGCAGAACAGACCGAGGTATCCACAGAAAAAAAACCATCCCCATCCATTTTTTGCATGATAGACACGGAATTTTATGCGCGTTTTGCATGACAAAGTGGATGGAAGTGGGCCGTTTTCATCTGTGCCTACGAGGTCACCGCTACCAGTCGGCTTTTCCCCGTTGAACCAGGACAATACCCGCCCCTCGACCGCACGGAAAGGAGCGCGCATCATCCGGCGCGCCTGCTCGGTTTCCGACTTCGCAGTGCGGACTTTCTTCGTTTTCTTTTTCGCACCAGCTCCATTCCCTGTTGTACCATCAGCAGGAGCTGCATCTTCTTCAGAGTTCTCGCTGTTTATTTCCCCGTCATCATCTTCATTTTCGTTTTGTTCGCCATCATGTGCTCCCGGAGCGTTGTGGTCCATCTGCGTCACATTCCCGTTCAGTAGTTGCATTTTCCGCACACTGTCCGCAAAACCTTCTTCCCGAAATATGTTGTCGTACATGTACCAGGGGTTTTCTTCAAAAGCTGCGTGGTTCGAAACGAAGTTTTTCGGCACCACGTAGCTCTTCCCGAGTTTTTGCTGTACCTTCTCTTGGATCTCGTTCTCCTCGTCCTTCATCTTGTCGCTGCGCAGGTGCGCCTTGCCGCCCATGTAGACCACATCCTTCCCACCCACTTTGACCGTAACGCCCTTATTCCCGTGCACATTCACGCGCTCCTTGTACTGGTCGAAATTTTTCCGGGCTTCGAGCGACCAGGGCTCGCGCAGTTTCTCGAAACCGAGACTGGCCACCACGTCGCAGGACCGCTCGATGCACTTGCTCGGGACGGCGCAGCCGTGCGGATAGAAGACACACACGTACCGGACGATGTCGGTCCCAGATTTCGCCGCGCCCTGCCCGCCCGCCCAGGCGTTCGCTGCGTCCATCAGGTTTTTTGCCTCCTCGGGGGAGGAAGCCCACTCCAGGTTCTTGCAGTCGCGGATTGACGCCGGCCTTTCCTCCGGATGGTCTCGCCAGCTAGCCGGAAAAACCGGCGCGGTGGCGTGCGGTAATTTTCCGTCGAAGTCGCCGAGTCTGTGTAGGGAGGTAAGTCTGATGTATCCTGTGCAAAAGTTCTATCGCACTCGCATAAATACATATAAATGCCAGTCTCGCATTACAGATGGATCTAATCCTTTTTTTATACCTGAACAAGATCAAGATTGAGATTCAGCATGATGCACTCCATTTTTTGTTTTGGAAAAACTTGTCATCATGTCATGTATTTGTATACTAGTTCTAGTACGATAGATCTTTTGCAATGCGTAGGACCATTGGCAAGGCGATATCAAGGAGTGTCGCCTCTGTGTCCGCAGACTCGTCGACAAAATTCTTGTCGCAGATCAAAATCTTCCGGTCGCTCATGCGCATGAACCTGTGAATGTGATTAGGAGTGGCTGCAGTGCGTGCTACGTACATCTCTCACGCTAAGTCGGAAAAAGCATCGAAGCGCAACAATTCGGATGTAGATGTACTTGAGAGGAGGACTAAGCGACAAGTTCTGATTACTTAAACGGCTTTAGCTCGGTTTTCCCATTTCCGAAGTCCCTCGCCCTTTCCTGCAGGCTTTTGGGCACCAGGCGCGCTTCCCGCGGACAGGGGTACCATTCCACCCCGTCGACGCCGAGAGCGTCAACCTCCGACGCCTCTGCCATGCGCAGCGTTTGTCCACCCACAAAGCCCTTCCCCCAGGCGAAAAGTCGGCTGGGGCCCAGGTTGCCATCGTCGACATGGATCTGATTTTAGTGGTTTTCATCTCCCTGAGCAGCCAACACTACATCGTGAAAGATAGCAAGAAACCGAGCATGCCATGCGCTCAAACCTTCCTGAATCGGGTTCGGGAGTCACACAACAGCTTTTTACTTACTTATATACTCACTTTTACATTGGTAATCCCGCCGCGGTTAACCGTGCAGCTCGAATACCACCAGTCCTCCCGGGCTGTGACGGTCATCGGTGCCCTATCATTTGTAAAAACGTTCTCACCCCAGAGTTGACACGCACATGCGCAATGACAGAAACACTTGTAGTGCGCATCTCCATATGATGCATTTTCAGTCGTGTTTTGGTATTTGTAATGCTGTAAACAGGATGAAAAAATGGCTTTCTCTTGCGGCTCTCCTTGTTAACCAGCACTACACTGCAGATGGAGACTTGTCATGCAGAACTCCCAAAGTTTGGAGATTTGTGTTGCAGATTTCCCATCTTGACAATGGGTTGGGGACGTTTTTACACAGCATATGCCCTGTCTTTGCCGCACTTCATCATGACATTGACCAGGAGGCTCAACTTCCGTCCATCCGCTTCCCGCATGGCCTTGGAGCACTTTCCCAGCGGGCGGCAGGCTTGCAGGCCGAGATTGAAAAAGGGCCGCGTTTTGCGTTTGTCCACACCGCCGGTGACCCCGACGCCCAGTTCGTCCTCTTTTGCGGTGTTCAAATAGATGAATTGCAAAAATGTCTGGGTCTCGAAGATTTCAAAATTTGTCATGCAGTTTTTCCAAGCTACCACAAGTCTGGAATGCAGGGCCCAGCATCACAGGTTCTGCAGCCTCTTGGTGATGCCTTTTCTGCGCGAGAAATGCATTAGAAATGCCCTCTCAGGTTGGCCAGAAATGGGCACCTTTTGCAAGTCATGCAACACAGATTTTTTTATGATCTGCAACACGCATCACAAGTTCCATCTTTCCAGACTCAGACATATTTGCAATGCATAAAATAGATGTTGTTGCGGTTCGGGGAACACGGAAACGTCATTTTCTGCGTCTCCTGCAACAGAACTTTCCACTGCGTCTCGGCGGGGAGGGCTGTGTTTTTGAAGAGGTTTTTTGCATGCAGCAGCTTTTGGTTTTGCTGTATCAGACTGGTGACCGTGACATTATGTTTTTTCTTTATCATACCCTCGCGTTCATCGAAATCAGAATCACAAGTCACCAATACAAATTTTCTACAAAAATTGCATCTCGTCTTGTTCGAGATGAAAACGAGAACGCCACATCAGTACCTGCAAACGTCTCACAAACGTCCTTCCAGTGTTCCCGCTTCAGTGCGTCGAGGAATTTCTCGGTCGGATCCAGCTTTGCGAACGCAGTGGCATCTTCACGCGGTTGGTTTTTTGCCATCTCAGTATCCTCGTTCTGACTAACATGACCGATCTTCACTTTCAAGTGCGGGTTGGCGGGGTCGACAGCCCCAGCACTTGCTGTGGCAGTTGTAGTACTGGCCGCAGCAGCAGCTGCTGTGGTCGCGGAAGAAGAGGAAGAGGAGGCAGAGGACGAACTACTTGAGCTTGATGATTTTTTGCCCCCTGCTGCTGGTACAACTTGTTCAGCCGAAGCTTTAATATTCTTTTTACCACTTACTTTCGACGCGCCGTTCTTTTTCGGGGCTTCTTGCTGTTCGGTTATTTTCATTTCGTCCTCGTCTTCGCTCACAGGCTTCATTTCCACGTCAGCATCAGCAGCGTCTTCTTCAACAGCGTCAACTACGTGGTTTGATGTTTCTTTGCTGCTCGCTGCGGTTGCGGCTTTGGAGCTGGCAGCTTTATTTCCTCTTGCAGCAGGAGGAGCAGATTTCATGACCTTCATCGGTGGAGCAGCAGCAGCTTTTGCTTGCTTCATCGGTGGAGCCACTTTCATTGCGGCAGCGGCCTTCATCGCCTTCATTGGCGGAGCGGAAGCAGCGGCTTTGGAAGTAGACTTGGAATCAACCACCTTCGATGCTTCGTTTACGGAGTTGTCGGCGGCCTGCTTCTCCTGGCGACTCTCTTTTTCGTTTTCTTGTTGCTTTTTTCCGCCCCCCACGCTGGTTTCAGAGTTGTCAACCACTTCCATGGCTACTGCAGCGACGCGGTCGTCCGAAACCAGCTGTTCATCCTTTTCTTTGATTTGCTTTGACAACTTTACGTCGGCCTCATCTGCCTGACGAAGTAGTTCCCCCCCGCCTGCCGCGACTACAACATTTTGCGATGCTGGCTGGACGTCTTCCATCCTGTTGAAGTAGGAGCTGTTGGATGTAGAGGTACTGTAGATGTTGATGTTGTTTAGTTTCTCTTTTCACAAGATACTGGTAGAACCCGTCACGGTGACAGGCTTTGCTGTCCGCCGCGTCGAGGTTCCTCCTATTCAAAAAGGGTCTCTATCTTCTTGTTTTTGACTTCATAGTTAGATGAGCGTCAGAGAGACGACACACGGTACCGTCCACGGAGCGGTTTAGCACCAGTGGAATTCAGATTGCTTCTGAGAAGAGAAATCGAAATGCATTTTCAACGCAGGTCAACGTCAAACTCAAAGTCTCAGACTGTGACGGAAATAAAGAATGAATTCGGAGGACGCTCATCCACTGCTTCACTCTGGTCGTCTAGTCGGGATCGATCTGTGATCGCTGTTCTTTTTTCGCACTATTCATACGACGGCAGCGGTGGAACCGGCTCAAACTCTAAACACGCATCGACTACTTGTCAACCACACCGACGTTTCTGGCCTTCCTCCACCTGGGATAATAATTTTCTATGTCGCTTGTAATTTTTAGTTGTACTACAGCAAGCTCATGCTTGTTCATTTGACGCAAATTCAAATTCTTTGGTACAAATCTGCGAAAAAAGAGGACATAGAAGTGCAACAACGCAACTAATAAGCCAAAACTCAAACTACTGTACCGTCAATCCTTTTTTTTTACGCTTATTTTTTCACTACTAGAAACGATGTTACATTTTACATGAAACCGCTAGCGCTACCGCTTCAATTTGAAAAAGGAAAAATAAAGACCGTTGGATTCGACGAGGCTTTGGTTAAAGGCAAAGGCTAGCAAAAAATGAGCACACTCTGGAACAACTGGATTCATTTTATTCATTGTGGTTCTTTGTCATAGTAAATGTAAAATAAAGAAAATGCGCACTATAAGCCGTTTACTCGTGGAGGAATTGTTCATGGGTTTCATCTGTCTTATGGTCAACATAGGCTCGTGTGTGGTCAATATCATTCTAAAACTTGAACTTGTGAGAAATGATGTTAATTTTTCATCTCTACATGAATTACGTATGACTGGTGTTTTGCGTAAAGTTAAGAGTAGAAGTCCGCCGCATCGAGATCTCAATTCTCTGGAACAGCTTCCGGGGGCCCACCTTGCGGAGGTGCAACAGCTGCTGCTTCCCCGTTCTTCCCCGCCACTTCTTCCTCCTCGCTAGTATCATACTCCGGCGGGTCGTAAATATCCGCCACTCGGTCAAGCTGCGTGCGCAGGGGTCGCAAGAGGTTGTCAATTTTCGCATTTTCCAAAACGGTTCCTTCGCTCAGTTTCCGTTTCTGCCTCTTCAAAACGTCAGGGAAAACGGTAGGTCTGGCTGTCATCTTACTGTTTATGTTTCTCCCGCCGGCATTTCTGGAGCTATCGTAGCGCTCCCCGAAGACGAGGTTGTTTTTCGTTTGGTTCTCATTGGGATCCCGACCCAACGCTGACAGGATTTGCGGCTTTTGCGGCGACGAGGCCTTCATTTTTCGTCTGGGTGAGTTGGAGTGTTGGCTGGGCTTTTGGGCCGCTGGTCGTGGCGGAGATGAAGCGGTAACTGCAAGGGGAAGGTGTTCCTCTTGCGGCTGTCCCGCGTTGACAATATCTCGATCTTCCTCGTCTTGGAGGAGAGTTGGTGGATTTCCACCCTGTTGTTGCGGTGGCTGTGTAATCCCAGATGACGATGAGGGTGCGTCGACAAAATTTGCTGGCCTCCCTGTCGACGTATCATTTTCCACTTGCGAAGCAGCCACTACTGCTGCTTGTGTTCTTTCGTCGTGAGATTTGTTATTCTCCTCGTAGTACACCCTGGACGCTCTTCTGCGTGCGAGTAGTTGATCTGCCATCTCCAACGGGACTTCGAAATCCAAATACGCCACGTTCCGTGGCAAGTGTTCCTGCTGCTTGCGACGAATGGACGAGAAAGACTGAAGATTCTCAACACCGGAATTTGATGATGTTCTCTCCTGCTCTAACTGTACTACCCGTTTTCGGTAGGTTTCTTTCGTCTCCTGGAGAATTTTCTCCGCCATCTTCTGCTCTAGTTCTGTCATGGGTTTCACCTCAACGTCTTCGTCGTCACTGTAATTTTTCTTGTTCTCTAGCTCAACCGCCTTCTTCTTTCCCTCGAAAAATTTGCGGAGGGCGCGGCGCTGCCGCTTCGTGCCGGCCTGGGAAACTAGAAGAGGCACGTCGGAGCCACCGAGTCGGCGGGGATCCTGATAGAAGTGTTGATTGGGTATGGTTGCAATGCATCTTGGCATCATGCAAAAGAAAAACGAGGACCAAGTCCAAGACAAACCGCATGCAAATAGAGCAAGACTGCTACAACTCCTGTAATTGTAAATAAAGTACCTTCGCTTTGTTCCCGCCGGCCTGCAGCTCCGTTTGTGTGTGCCCCATGCTCATGTTACCCAACATGTTGTGCTCCAGCAGCCATGCGTTTCTCAGCAAAAGGTCTGACGAGTGGAACTTCGCTGCGGCTTCCGCAACTGAACTGTGGTACAGCACCGCTAGTAGCGTTTTCGACGAGCACTTTACTGATACCCCCTGCTCTGAGGAAGTGAGAAACGAACTAGTACCCGATTGTCCAGGCAGAGTGTAGAGTTGCTGCTCGGAAATCGGTCCGTGATGGTAGAAGTTGTGATTCATCATCCCAGAAGCTGCACCTCCTCCACTACCCCCCGCCGCACAAGAAGTTGTACTAAAGCAGGGTCGGAAAAGCCCCCCGACCATTTCGCCAAACCACTCCCCCGGTTGCGAGATGAGGCCAATCACCCCCTTGTCCTGTGATTTTTGCAAGGGCAGCCCCTCCAGCAGAATCCGGACGCAGGGCGGGCTCGCGAGGATGTTTCGGTGCTCGTGTACCACGGTGGTGTCCGGCTGATGCACCTGATACATGACGTAATTCTCGATCAAAAATCGCAAAAAGCCGTCCGTGACTCTGTAGTCGCTCAACCGGCGGAGCGAAGTGAGCAAAGTGAAGAGAATCTGCTTCGTCAGAAAACCGTGTGTGTGACTGTCACGACTGCTGGAGCTTGTATTCAAATCTGCTGTCGCCGAGGGGGCCGAAGAAACTGCTGAAGAAGCAGCTGTCGTTGGTGTAGCAGAAGCTGTTGGTACTACAGTAGTACTTGTATCGGTATTGTTGACTAGGAGTTGCTGTGCTAGCGCTTTTTCCTCTTCTTGCACCGCTTTTTGGTACAGAAAGATCTCGATCCCCCGCCGGGTCTTCTTCAACCGGCGCGCTGCCAGCGTAAGTGGATCTTCTTCCGGGTGATCTACTTCCTGCTCTTGACCGTGTTGACCAAGCTGCTGCTGATTCTGAAGCGGTTTATTCTTGGTGTTCTTTACTGCGTCCATGTCGCTGCTCTGTGTCTGCTCCCCCGACACAGCCCGACTGGAAGCCGCGGAGACGGTATCTGGCGGTGCTGAAGGTGCTTGTTCAACATGATGTCCACGCCCGGTGGCGTTGTCCTCCACTTCGGAAGAGGTAAAACACAAGTTCGACTGGCTCGTCAAAGTCAGACCAAGCTCGTCCTCGGAAATACTCCCCATCTTCTGTACAGCTGCATCGGGAGTGCAGGCGTTTTGGTCGTGCAGCTTGTTCTTACCGTTCAATAGGTTCCTTCCGTGGTGATCCTTCCCGTCAATATGCTCGTCCCCGCCACGACAGATCTTACACAGACGCGCCGCTGCGTCGTGAAGAGACGCTTCCCCCGTCATTTCCAAGATCACGCTTTCGTGAAAGAGGGAAACGAGCAGAAAACCAACAATTTGTCTCTGGACCGACTCCGGTGTTAAGAGTGGCGGAGCTGCTGATTGCTGTCCTGACCGCTGCTGCTCGTCATTCTGAAGATCTACCTCCGCACTTGCTTCTAGTCTGCTTGAACTGGCGTCGCTGTTACAACAATCCCCTTCTCTGTCAGAACCCGCGCAACTTCCAGGATACGACGTGGGTGGTTTCCTCAATATCATCGGATCGGAGGCTGACGACGCCGCTTTTTCCACCGCGCTGTCACTCGTCTCCCCCCCGGACGCGGATTTGGATGGACTGCGACTATTTTTTCGCCTCGAGGATTTGCTGTTGTTCATCGGGACCTGCAAATTCACGTTGCGTTGTTTGTTGCCGCCCCGACTGCCGCTGGACTCCTCGTCGCCAGAACTGGAAAATTTCAACGCGGACGTTTGCATCGCTTGGGGCGCGGACACGGACTTGTTGGGCATCATCAGCAACGACCCCCGGTCCGGGTCGGAAACGTCTTCCCCTGTGCTCTCGCCATTGTTGGACGATTTGTTCCTTTGGAGAGCAGACGGGTGCAGATGTTGTTCACCAAGCGTTGCAGAGGCAGAATTGCCTACGACAGCTGCGGTTGATGAAGATGATGGTGAATGAATTGGATCTCCTGTACTATCGTCAGCATCCTTTTCAGCGTTCTTTCTTCCAAGAGCCACGGCAGCTTGAGCTTGCTCCTGTTCTCTTCTTTTCGCCTCTTCCTCTTGCTCTTTTTTGATCCACAGTTCTTCCTCCTCCTCCAGAAAACACCCGCTGCATAGAATCGCGGCGACGATGTCCGTTTTCCGCAGAAATGCGTACACACAGGTCAGAGATTCGCAGCGCAGCAACGTCCGGGGCGGGAAGAGCGAAAGGTTGTTCACAGCAAAAAATGGGTCTTTCGACTTATTTTGCGCACGACTCTGCCTCGCACGCCGTCTTGCCTTTCGCTTCTGCTTGTTTATTTTCGCAGCAGAATTATTCGACGTCGAAGATGCTGCTTTATTATTTCCTGGCGAGGACGTAGTTGTGCTGGCCTGCTTGTTCGACGACGTCTTAGTCTTCACTCCATCCTTATCCCCGCCTTGGCCTTCCCCCCCGGTTGCCGAGCTTGTGCTGGCTCCGGATGATGACACGTTGACAGACTTCTTGTTCGACACCATCCCATTTTCACTCTGTCGATTCGCGCTGCTGTTAGACCGACTGTCCTCCCCCGAGGGGGGCTGCTCTGGGGTGCGATTGTTCCGGTCGGAGCCGGAGGTCGCACCAGAGAGATCTTCCTCCACATTGCTTCCACTGATCGATGCTTCCTCACTGTAGTTGCCCTGGTCAGACTGATGGTTTTGCCGCGTGGACGTGGTCCCAGAATGACCCGCTCTAGTAATTTCGTCAAAACCTGAAGAAGAGCCTGCTGCAGAAGGCGTCGTTCCACCGCCAAACAGTTCCCGCGCCGGCACCAAAATACTGCCTCCAAGAAAGCCTCCCTTCCGCCAAAAGCAGGCGTGTCCACCAAACGTCGCTGGGCTGTGCAAGGACGCCAAATACGACGGGTGCGGATTCTGCGTCGCGTGGAAGCAGCTTCCGGATTTCAGGACTAACACGACCTCGCCCTCCAGTTGCTCCTCAAACGGGAACAAAATTTGCCCCCGGAACCCGGTAAGCCACTGCAAATTCGACCGGTCACCGATCAAAAACTGGAGGAAGCGACGCGCGGCGCTGGCTATCATCTCTTGGATTTTCTGCTTTCTCGCGAGTGCCGCTCTGCGCTTCGCAGCTCGGAGGGACAAGGCCTCCAAATCTTCAGTGTCTTCTGCCGAGATGGTGGTCGTCGCGCTTTTATGGTCTTTGTTCCTGGAGTTTTTCTGCGTGAACGCCTCGGTTTTGCTTTTGCCAACCAGCGGATTAATATCATTGTTCCCGTAGTGATGTCCACCTGCCCCGGCTTGACTCCGACTCGACGAACTTGTGACGGACTTCTGGCTCGCACTCGCGTCCGACTTTGCAGCCTTGGTGCCGTTCGTCCGCTGACTACTACTCATCATGTCAACGTCACTCAGACACGTCGCGCTCTGCTGCTGTGGACTTTTGATGTGCTTGTTGTGCTCCTGCTGATTCTGTCTATTCGCAAGTGCTTTGGTCTTCTCCCCCTGGGGGCTCGGTGTGCAGGAGTGCACTTTCCGGATTGTTCCAACCGCTGCGGAAGGCCGTCTGCTCGAAGCGCCAGAGCTACTAGTGCCACCACCTGTAGAAGTTGCATGAGCTGCATGGTTGTTCTTGTAAGAGCTAGAACTACTAGCAGGCCTGTTTTGCTCATTCTCCGATGCGGATAAAGCACCACCGTCTGGCGCAGCAGTGCTGATGACCAAATGGTGTTTGGGTTTTCCGCGCATTTTTAAAGCGGTGCCGCTACTGGAGGTTCCTGAACTCGACCGCTGCACGTTGTTGTTTTCGGATCCGGAACCGCCGGAAGACACCGGCGACTTGGGTTCTTGACTACCGTTTGCGTGGTTGCTCGGGCTGGTTGCACCACTGGCACTGCCGTCACCAGGTTGTTTTTTTCTTCTATTATTTGTAACGCCACCACCAGCCCGCCCATTGTTCTGCGACGATTGGGATTCCGACTGTTCCCCCAGACGTAGAATCTCGTCGCGGTCGGTTGCGGATTGGTAATTGTCGCTCTGATCACCTCCATTCTTGTGCGCCGTATTGTTTCCTCTCATCACCATTTCCTCGTCGTCCTCCCAAATTATCAAATGTTCGAACAGAAACTGCAAAGAAGCCCTCAACCACTGTTGCGAAGTAGACGAAGAAGGATCATGATGTCCTCGTGAAGATGAATAAAACATCCCGCCAGCCGTCCGGGCTTCGACCTCCAACAAGAAAGTTTCGAAAACCTGGTCTGAGTTCTGGTAGACCGAGGCCAACGGGAAGGCGAGATCAAAAACCGGCTTGAACCAATCCAACTTGGAAAAACATCGCAGGACGGAATCAGGATGGAAGGTGAGCGTTTTCATAGACGAGGCTGCGGACAAAGACACTTGCTCCGCAGTTTTGGAGGTGGTATCCCGGTCGGGGTCAACACCATGCTCTGTGGTTGTAGCATCAATTGGGGACGACGTGGCCAGCATCGCAGTCGATGCCAAAATTATCGGCGAAGAAGAGCCGCGCTCTTGTTGAAAAAATACTGGAAGCGGTGCAATCTTGAAATCCCGGGCCCGCAGCGGTACGGGTTTCTTGCCCTTGCTGGGTTCACGTGCTCCACCGATGGCTTCTGCCGGTGACGTGGCTAGTACTGTCCCGTCCTTTTTCTTCTCTCCGA